AGTAGATATAGTAGATATAGTAGATATAGTAGATATAGTAGATATAGTAGATATAGTAGATATAGTAGATATAGTAGATATAGTAGATATAGTAGATATAGTAGATATAGTAGATATAGTAGATATAGGTAATAATAATAGTAATAGCGGTGATAGGTTATACTATGGCCGGAGTGCTGGATATTAAAATCAGGGTGCTGAATCACTTATCCCTAGAAAAAAAACGTTGAAAAGCATTCGTAGTTTGTAGGAAGGGATCTTTACTCCGGAGAACCTGAGTATCATATCCTTTACCATCAAATTCATTTAGGGCATCCCTCCAGGCTTTGGCTGGTGTTGATTGGGACATCAATCCGCCAGCCACCACCAGAAGGCAGCACATCTCATAGCGTCGCGCGCAGCTTAAGCGAGGCAAATAGTGAGGAGGCTCCAGCACCCAGTCCAGCGGCGTCTTTCCCATGGAATCCGCAATGTTCACGCCGGCATTGCATCGAATTAGCTCGGCGGCTAGGCCGGGAGAGGCCACGTGAAGCGGTGTGCATTTAATTCGATTTTCAAGTGTAATGATGATGTTAGGATCCTGACCGTGATCCAACAGTAGGATGGCCAGTTCCTGCATTATCGTCACAATGGCGGCTTGTGTATCGTTCTCGCTAAAACCGCCCTCGATAATCGCCCCAGTTTCGGCCGCCCAAACCCTCTTTAGCAAGCGGGGAAACAATTTTGTATCTTTGGCTATGCTATAGCCGTGTTTCAAGATCAGGCCAGCTATTGTCAGATGTCTTTCATGAAAGAGTCCACTGACCGGTTCAAAAACAAGAGAAGTGAACAGAGGCACCTGAGCGCGCTGGAGGGAGATACGCTGCAACTCATCAGGATTGCGGGCAATCCAATCACTGATGCAGAGTGTCGCCCATAAGAGGAGGCAAAGGCCAGGAATGCGGTGTTGTCATCGTACGTCGGAGGGCAAGTCTAAATCAAGCGTTTCAAGTCTGGGATTGGAACGCTATTAATGTAGTCTAGCTGGCTAAGGCCTGTGGTTGACTCAGATTTCTCAGCGTGGTGAGCAATCAACTTGCGTTGCTCCTGTTGTTCTTCAAGAGTCGAGTACCGCGAGTTTGCAGCTGTTATCCATAGCTCAGTATTGTTCGTTGTTGGGGAGAGTCGTCTCTAAGGCTGGTCTTTGCCACCAAGTATTTGAGGTAGAAGGAATGTCCGTTCTCGTTTAAAATGGCAGCAACATCGCCCATCACAAGCTTCTTAAATCGCAAGTCCATAATAAACTCCAAAACGGTCTGGTGCATAAGCTGTAAATGATCGTGCGCCTTTATCTCGACAAGCCCGCCTCCCCAGGTCGAGATGTCATTGGCCACCTTTCGGTCCCAGTTCGAAGCTGTGGCGCCCTGGCATTGGAGCGCATCAAGAAATTCTTGGAAAGTCGTACAATTTGAGGTAAGCACAGCTCCCCATATATCGGTCGCCGTAGGCGAGGGCCCGGCACGTCGGGCGAGTAACTCCAGCAGAGCGAAAGTATAGCGGCGGTTTGCCTGGCTAATGCGCGCGATGATAAGTTTATAAAATTCGAACAAGTCTGTCGGGAGCTCTTGCAGTTTCTTTGTAAGCCGATCGAACAACAACTCTGCCTCGGTGGTCGCTGCAACGGTGTCGAGCAACTCCTTCAAAGCTAACCTCACCCATAGGAAGACGCCATTGGCCCGAGTAATGACGGATGGGATGATTTTCATAATCTCTTCTCCTTGGGAAGAATTTATACGCTCCGAGCGCGCCAACGGGCCCGTCGCGTATTGCTCTATATCTGCCTTCGTGTGGTCTTGTAGCCTTAAACTGGGATATTTGGCAAAGTGGTTATTTAGCAATTGCCACGGCCGGCTAGAGAAGCAAGCCTTGATTCGGGTTTTTGATTTAGCCGACCTTTCGACCAGACTCTTGAGAAAACCGCTCAACGTGTCAAGGTGTCCGTCGAACTCGTCCAAGGCGTCAAAGAAGAGGACCAGGTTTATCTCCTTTATATCCTGGTCTAAAAGCCGGCTGAGAGTCCGCTCAAGCCTGTATGGTTTGGAGTAGTTGCCGAACTCAGCCACAACGCTGCGTAGAAATCCCGTTTCAGGCTGTGTTTGGAAGGGTCTCGCCTCTTTGGCCAGCGACGAGATGGACTGTGAGATGTTTGCCATATCAGCTCGCTGCTGGCTTAACTTTACCTCAAGGTCAGACTCGCTTTCCCGGATGTCCGGATACAGGTTGTCCATTTCTTCCATTTTCTTACGAACTTCGCTTAGCTTTTGATTGAGGTCTTTCACAATCTGATTTCTTTTCGCTTCGCTTTCGCTATCATCTTTAGCTTGATGCAGCTGTTCTTCCAGCTCTCTTTCAGAGCTAACAATCTGGTTACTTTTCGCGTCGCCTTCGCTATCATCCTTGGCTCGATGCAGCTGTTCTTCCAGGTCTCTTTTGGAGCTAATCAGCTTTTTTTTTTCGATAATAAAGTTTATTTTTTTCTCGATGTTATCTCTCTTTTGTTTCAAAGGCTCAAACCTTTCCCACGTTTCCTGGTACTGCTTTTGGAACTCGTTGCGATGGGGGTGTAGAATCTGGATAATGAGACTTCTCAAGACACCTTCAAAAGACTTTTGTAAAGCGTTGCCTCGGTGGTGGAAGAAGAAGCCAGCTTTGATATCTATCGATTTCGCTATCGATTTCACCCCCCATTTGTGTAATAAGTCTTGGGTCAATGGGCTTCTAAAGATATATTTCATCAGCGTTGACTTCCCCGAGCCTGGTTTGCCATTTATCCAAAATAGGCCGGATCCCTCTTAAAGCCAGTGAGAAAAGAAGTGCAGATCAAAAATCCATTGGAATGTGTTTTGAAAAGGATCCTCAATGTCAGTAATTCGATGATCGAGCTCAGGCTTATACAGTTTATCATGGATATCTAGCGGTGGTTGAAGTTTGTTAGATAACAAATAAGACCGAGAGCCAGATAATTTTAGGGGCATAATTTACCTTGAATGGCCGACAAAAGTAAACCAAGAGCCTTTAAGAGCTCGATATCCTGAGTCAAGACGCCCTCACCTGCGGATTGGTAACCCATTTTCTGCCCCAGGAGCGTTTGCTGACTCTTCGAGGCATCATTAGCCACCAAAAGGGGCTGGCTTAATTCTTCTTTCAATAATTCTCTGACCGAAAAGACAATTGTTTTCAAATCTTCATCTCATGGGAAGAATTTGACCATGTTGGAGTGGTCTTTGTTGATTGGGATTGTTAAAGACTTGTCTGTTCGGCTACAGTGGCATGTAGCTGACTCAGGATTGACTAAAACGGCCGAGGGCCCTTTCTTGTTCCAATCACCATCTGGACGTTTCTATTAGGCAGGGTTAACTATGGGTTGCCTCGAGTTTCAGGCCAAATGACTTACAACGATAGTGGGTGACTCCCTGGTCACATAGGCCCAAAGTATTTTCACACTGTGGACAATGGAGAGGCCGTTGAATGCTAAATCAAGCTGGCGCACGTAGTAGTTACTGTTCCGGGAAAGATCTTGAACAAGCGTCTCGTTGGCTTGGCCTTCAACCATAGCCATTAAATAAGACTGCTCCATACCCAGGCTAGGGACTCTAAACATGATAGCCCCCAGCAGATTACGTATAATGTCCTTCACGCTTTTGTCAGTACTGTTGGCCATTTGTACAATAGCATCTTTGAGTACGATGCCACCCAGGCTGTGGGCAAGAAAGATGATGGGTCTGGAGCTCGGCAAATTCCAGCCCCCCGACTTGAGATTCCAGATGAGTCTCGCCGCGATGTCTCCGATGGATTGGAACGAGTTACTGTCTATGAGCTGCGAGTCGTATCCATAAAGAACTGTGCGGACTCCGGGCACCGACCTTGGGAGCTCGTCCCTGATCCACATGAAGCTCTTGTCCGGGCCATGTGGTTGCCATGACCCAAATGGATGACTACCTAAGCCAGATATGGCGATGCAGCTTTATTATAGTCTATGGCTTAGCCAATAAGGATTTAAAGAGGGGAAGGGAGAAAGAGATGGTAGACCTAGTAGGTGTAGTAGGTGTAGTAGGTGTAGTAGATGTAGTAGATTATCTAACATAGAGGAGGAGCAACTTACTCCGCACGATGGTTCGCTGTCTCCACATCGTTCAACACAGTCATTCCTTCAAATTGTGTGTCGAGGATCAAGACTTCGTTGTGTGGCGATTCCCGGATAGGAATTCTCCATTCGGTGATTGAAGTTTCCGAGTCCAAGGTTGGCGGAATGTCCTTGAATTGGACCGTAGCCATTTTGGACATTGGCCCCCATTGATTGGATGTCTTTGCTAGCGAGTAGACGGTAATATTGTCAGGTGGGAGACCCAGAGTCTCGCCAAGCAGTCTCGCGGCGTCTTTTGGGCTTGAGATGCTGCTTGGCAATCCACGCAGCCGGAAAACCTTCCGAGTCCAGCTCGATGCGGTCATTGCGGATAGTCTTAAGAAATGCTAGAAATATGGCGGCAGTTTAAGAGATAGATGGCGGCACTCTTTGGCCAACTTGACGCTCGTTGTGATCATATTGTTCGTGGGTTAGATCGATACGTATATGTGCCATGCATCTCAGCCTTGCTGCCCAAACCGCGTCCACGTGCTTCTAATTGTTGGTAAACCAGTTGGAGAAAATTTAATGCTGGGCGGCTAATGGACCTTTTCTACTGGTTATGTCACCAACAAGAAATTAATAAACAAGATATACATCAATCGATAATTTCTTTCGTAACGAGAGGTAGATCCATATAAAATATAATTGCCAAAATAGAAATATTGCAAACCATGGCAACGTTACTAAATAATGCTACAGGGTAAACAACCACTAAACTTATGTTAAACCTGATGTACTGATGATTTAGGAAAAGGACTAAAAAAAATTACTCTATGCAGAATCACAGACTGAAGGTACCTACCTAGGTACGTATGAAACAGCGCATGGGAAATGGCGAGTGTGGCAGTCTAGTGAGAGACACGCCAGATTACTTGTACTATTGGGCAAATGCAAAGTCTTCAATATATATCGGCAGATGAGCACTCGTAAAGAATACATTCTATAAATGGATACACAAGTTGAAAATGCAGATGTGTTAAAACCAGCAATCTCTAATCAGTCTTCTGAGTTTCTGCTTGTGACTTTTATCAATCAAACTTTGTATCTGCCTTGATAAGTAAACCGTATAAAAGCAGCATATTGTAGCGTCCCTGTTCGTTATTGCCTATGGGCACATGCTTGGACTGATTCGCAAGTCGGTTGGTGAAGTAGCTTAGCACATCCAATCAGTGCAGAGCTGGCGCTGCGCCTGCTCGCAGGCTTGTCTTTCAGCTCTGCAAGATCCGAATATCCAGCATTGATAGTAGTGACTTTCTTTGTGACGGACCGTCTAACTGGTCAGTATTACTGAGGATTCTCACCAAAGAGATAGTCCTTGGGGATCCTCACTGTTACCAATCCTCTAGGAAACTGTGAAGAACCGGTATTTACAGGTTAGTATAGTCTAGCTTTTCAAGCACAAACCTCTAGGTTCAGGCTTGTGTTGGCGGGCCGTCAGGTCGGCAATAGACAATAGTATCACTCAGCAAGTCATAGCAAAAATGGGATCTCTAGGTTCCAATCTGAATATATTGAATGCCGTGTAGCAACTAGCTATCTCAGTTATCTGAACGAGTGTATGGGAGTGAAATTATAAACTCAGTTGGCCGGGCTGAATCAATGAAGATTTTCATGATCCTGACAAGAAAAGCCAAGTAACTAAGTATATAGCTTCGTTATTGTTGTATGAAGATCGCAAAAGCCAATTCCTAGAAGTTTATTGCCATCAAGGCTACCCTGATTATCCATAGGTACCTTTTCGACATCTCGATCCATGAAAAAGTACGCTTGCAACATAGCAGGCCAGCCATTATGACCAGACTGAATGCTTTCCCATGCTTGTGCGTACAACTCCCGACCTGATCTATGCATAACCGTCCAATCAGAACCTGTATAGCGCTCTAATTCCTCCAGTATCTTGTTTTGTGTAGTCTCATGCGACGATATTGTAATGTACTGGTTTGCCGTCTCGGTGGGCTTTCTTAAGATAGCCGCTACAGCTTCGCCAGCAGTAGCCAGATCACAAGCCTTAAATGTCTCGTTCCCAGAATCGATAATAGTAGCAGACTTGGTGTCCAAATGGAAACCAAGCAGTCCGACCTTGATACACTGTCAAATTGTTATCCCTCTATGCTAACAAACCTGTCATTCTGAATGTGTAAAGGTAGTGGAAGACATCCAAAGGACCAATGGAGGACTTACCCAATCAAACCACAGGCGCGTGAAGACGCCACTATATGTAAGTTGAGGATTTTTGGTCACTATATCTTTCATCTTGTGTCGGAATTGTATCCTCGGCTGCAATACTCTTGCCAGCTCTGGATTCTCCCTCAAATCAAGGTTCGGTATACCGAACTCGCTCGGTATGAACCGCTGGACACCTCGGGTATTTGAGCTCCAGCTCTTAGCCGCAGCGATGAGAAGATTTGTCTGAGATTTCTCTGCGCCAAGCCCTAATGTAGACACCACAGCATCCTGACCGGAAACAGCAGGTGCCAGCGACTCTAGAGAGTAGTCTGTCTGGATAACGCGGACTGTTCTGCCGAATAGAGACTCGGAGATGAATACACGACGAGTCAGGACAGACACCGTATAGTTAGCTGCGACTAGTGCTTGAATAATTGAAGGTCCTATGTTTCCTGTGCCCTAGAAGCAACATTGTTAGACAGCTCGATGGCTAGAAGTTATGCAACCCACTCCAGCGACAAGAACATTATGAATAGGCCGCATCTCCATAGTGGTGAGACTTGATAGAGATAAATAATCGTAAGGTTAAAAGCTACTATCAATTTAACTGCTAAACACGTAAATAGCGAAGTTTTAGAATAGTTTTATATTCAATAATACCACCTGAACTTACATAATATCAAATATAAACTTATTCAAAGTTAAACTAAAGCAGCTTCATAAGCTTTAATACAATATCAATCAGTTGTGATGCCATGCGCATAATGACATAGGACATAAGATGATAAATCAGCCGAAACTATATATAACATAACCTCCTTTTCAAATGATGAGTATAGCTACAGTTTTTATCGCGCTAATTTAGCTGCACAGTCCTCATTATGACCCCACTGCCGATCGGATACTAATGCTCATGATGCTATACTGCTAAGGTAGTTTTGCTAATTACAAATACAAATACAGATGAGTAACCTTCTTTTGCTAAGCACAAGTGTGGATCGGTAGCCTAAGGAATGACGAACAACCCAACCCCTTTGTATGTTTCCACGATATACAGCTGTGCCCCCCTTACAGTTGTTCTCAGTCTGTAGCAGCATGCATGCAAACAAATTGAGAGCAGCCAGCTTTATGGCCCGCAAAATACCTACCATAGGTCTACTCCAGTGGATTTGGTTAGCTACAGCCTTCCGTACGAATTTAAAAGCAATCATATCGTAATATTCTTAGATAGCATCTGATAATTATCCCCTGATTGAACCAGCGCATTGCATTGGGGATTACTACGAAACAAGGACGTAGATCTCAAATTTATATGATTTCTCATTACACCTTCAGCTAGCACCCCAAATCTGAAGTCTTGTCAGTACAACATTGTTACCGTCAGTTAACGTCATTACTGACAACTGAGTATAGTAGTGCCTCGTCTGAATAGGAAGCAAGGCGCAATGACTCTCCCTAGTTCTGTTGAACGGCCAAATGCTGAACAAGGAGTCCCGCTGAGCAGCTTCAGGGCCATCTTCATAGCAGCACTCCTGATATTGACTCAACTGGTTCAGGTGAGCTACATGGACCATCTATTACTCCCTGAAAGCTTACGCGCGCTGACGAGGTTGCTCAAAATTCTGCAGATAGCACCCTTTGGCGCTGGCGTGGCTGCCGCTTCGAGTATTGGGCGTGAATTCAACGTATCTGACCATCAAAGCGCGTGGATTGCAGCGTCTTACCCGTATGTATTACCTACGAGTTATCCCTGAAAATTGCAGCTGACCTCTACGGATAGCTTGACACAAGGAGCCTTTGTCCTTGCAGGTGGCCGCGTAGGTGCTGTGTATGGTCATAAGCATACGTTTTCTGTAGCCAGTCTTTGGTGGGTCATATGGACTTTGCTCAGCGGCTTTGCACCCAATATTATTGCGTTGAGCTGCTTTCGTGGCCTTGCAGGAATTGGAGGAGCTTTCATGGTGCCAAACGCCATTGCGCTTATTGGTATTACCTTCCCACCAGGAGAGATTCGAAATATAACAATAGGGTTGTTTGGTGCTATGGCCCCCGTCGGCTCAGCGCTTGGGAATTTCCTGGGTGCGCTTTTCGTGCAGCTGACTAAATGGAAATATCTCTTCTTTTGCCTGTAGGAGATGATTCAAATGCCTAGGGAAAACCCAAGATTCTAACGAGGCGTATAGGGCAATTGTCGGAACTATTGTATTCACTGCTGCATGGATCCTCTTACCGGCAGAGGATCAGCCATTAGACCCGGAAGGATCTATTGACTATATCGGAGCTTATCTGGGTATTGGTGGCTTGGTGCTATTCAACTTTGTCTGGAAGTAAGAACATCTGACGACCTTGCTTCGATTGTATAGGTATATATGCTGACCTGTAACTGCAGCCAGGCACCAGTCGTTGGATGGGCTACTCCGTATGAATACGTGTTGTTGATACTAGCAGTACTGCACTTTGCTGGCTTCGCTTTATGGGAAAGAAAATACGCGAAGCAGCCCATTATGCCCATGAATATTTGGGCAGCACCGTCATTCTTCTCCCTGCTCGTGGTGACGCTCTTCTGCTTCATGAGCACGGGTATTTCGATCTGGTACTTCAGCATATGGATGCAGACAGCCCGACACTGGTCGCCATTGTTGACCTCTGCTGGATTTGTGCCGCTCGGTGTAATGGGCGCCGTAGGTTCTGTTGCTGCAGCGTGGCTCATCCCAAGGCTTGCGGCGCAATACATCCTTGCAATTGGTGCAACATGCATGACAGTATCGTGCATCCTCTTTGCAAGTATGCCTGCTGAGCAATTATACTGGGCGCAGGCCTTTCCAGCCATGATCTGTCTTGCGTTCTGTCCAGACTTTGTTTTCACTGCGGCTCAGATCATCACCAGCAACTCTGTTAGACTTGAGCATCAGGGTATCGCGGGCTCACTTATCGGCACGCTGATGACCTACGGGATGTCAACCGGTCTTGGCTTTGCGGGGACTGTGGAAATGAAGGTCAACAATCATGGTGTCGATATTGTCAAGGGTTATCAAGGGGCATTCTATCTCGCTGTAGGATTGGCTGCCGCATCCCTCGTGCTAGATTTAGCATTTGTCAGAATGCCAAAAGATGCACGTGGAGCGTAGGATACGCACGAAAAAAAAAGCTGTCACAGTTCCAGGCAACGCATATACGCCCCCTAAGCTGACTATCATAGCGGGAATTTCATAGCCTTGGTTGAGAATCGTAGCCATAAACGACCATGCGAGAAAATTCAGGAACCGGGTATGAGGCTCCTCATGCACACTTTTACAGTTAATACTACTCGGTTGTAAATGTGATTGAAAGCATCATACCAAATTGTACTTATTCTACGAGATTCATGGCAGCATACTAAATCTCTTGTATCTGAAATATTCTACTGCCAGCTGCTCTGTCCTTGGTGCTGTGCTTCGTATAGTGTAATTGTCAATAACTAACATTCACTAAGCTCGTTACATAAAGCTACAACTAGGGAATAAAACAGCAGTATCCACGGACTGAAGTTTTTGTTTTACTAAGTTTCATTTAAACAAAAGAAAATTCTCGCACCTGGCTAACCATTACTTCTCGATTTAGCCGACGGGCTTTATTTGTTTTGGAACGGCGTAGCTGTTTTCAGGGTACCCATCCATACACGACGGCGTAGTCCTCCAAGTGAATAATAACCTTAATATGAAGAAATACACATTATGTGAACGCTCTTATAGAAGAGTTACAAGACACAAAATCTAAATCTAGAGCTGCTGTGGGACTTGGTTCTCTAAATGTGCCTTTAATACTTGTTAATGCTTCTATTTAGTCTATACAAGTCTATCAAGATATTGCTTCAACAAGTTGCTTCAACAAAGGTTTTGCATTTATGCCCAACAAAGGGACTAGATACCACCTAAGAGAAAGCGTCTTACTGACTATGATGCGGACGTATTGTCCACATACTAGATTGTATACATAGAAACCAAGATCGTTAGACTGGACTTTTCCATTGATCGGTTTGGAGTTTGAGAAGAGGCTCCAACGCCGCCGGCTGGATACGATCCCACAGAGAGCCGGTTCCAGCTGCTCGACTTTTTTTATCCTGCAGCCGAAACCACTCCTCAACGGTACGGATTCGGTTGGGATGAATTTTGTCCAGTATTGCGTAATCGCGCTTGATAACTCCCACGTTTCCCCCAGAATGCTGCCAGGAGGTCCAGAAACCACTAAAGTTTTGTTTAAAGGTCATGGTTGCTGGATCGGAGGCATCAGTACCATAACCTGCCGGTAATTCTTGGCGACCCTTGAAGGGACCCTCTTCCCACCACGTGTCCAAGTCCACATCAATGAATCTGGCCTTCCGACCTGTTACCTTGGTAAAAGCTGTGGCAAATTCCTCGTAGCGAATATGAGACATGGATACTTCAAGGTTCATTCCGTCGGCTTCTTTGTAGTTGTCAAAAAGCCACAGCGCATAGTGTCCACAATCATCCAGCGCGACATGGGGACATGCACCGTCGCCAAGCGGTGCTCTCCATGTAACTATGGCCTCTCCGCCCTCCTCTGTTTCGATAACGGGTGTGATGACGGTGCCTGGTGACAGCATCATGTCGATATAAGGTCCAGTGGTGAAGAGCGCAATCTTCATAGTGTCCTGGGAATTGAATGTTTTGAGACTTGGGCTGTGAGAGAGAATCCAGTCCCCAATCCTTCCCTTGCCATCATAATGGCCGGTACGAAACTCAGGTCGGTATCCAGACTTTTTGTAAACATAGTCCAGGTTGCCGTAGACAAAGAACTTGATGGTTTGAACTTCAAGCGCAATTTCGAATGCTCTGATAGCCCAGAATGTTTCTCCCTTTTCACCAACGTTGAAGCCGTCAATGTTTATAAAAGCACCATCACATTGACTGTAGAGGCTGCGGAGCAGTTTCTCATCGGTAAATGACCCCTTGACCAGTTCCACGCCCGGAAGTGTTGCCAAATGTTTAGCAGGTCCGCTGTCGAGCACTCTTGTGAGGACGCAGCATTGGTATTTGCCATTGCGCGTTAAGCCTTCTATAACCGGCCGGCCCTGCGCACCCGTACCCCCAATGACGAGAATCTTGGTAATGGTCATCCTGCCTGTGTAATTGGAGTTGAAGCCTTCGATTGTCTTGTTGATCGATCAAACTGATGGCTTCGCACTCCTTTAAGTACATGTAGTCTTCTTCATCATTGTGCAGAGATCTTCGCGCTAAGCAATCACCGAGGGTCAAGTCTGCCTCATCTCGAAAATCTCAGGCGCCGTCCTGCAGCATTTGTCATATGTTTTAACCTTTGACCCTCAGCATATGTCATATTTCTTGAGGTCTGAGTGCTAATGTTCACTAGCATATTAATCATATATCTATCTATCATGGAGAATCTCAGCGCCGTCCCGCAGCAGTTGCCATATCCGGTTGCTAACTTGTTCACTAATACATCCCATTAGTCAGATAGATTAGCAACTGCTGCTGTTCACTAATCCATAGTGTCCATGATGTCGGACTTGTCGAGCGTAGGATCCATTCGCTTGGCACTCGCTTGTCCAAGGCAAAGGCCCGAGTCCCGAAAGCTACAGGTGACTAGCTAAGTATTTTCAAGATGTTTTAGCTTAAGTCTCGACGCTACACAATCGCTCAGATGCAGTAGCTCAAGAGTTCTATATGTCAGAGTGCGGTAATTGTCCTAGCTTTGTAGCCTATGGTGGAGTTTCCGTGGCTTGAGTGAACAGATGATTTAGGCTGGTAACCTAAGTCTCACAGGTCGACTAGCAGATAGTTGTGACATCCGCCGTATGGTAACGAAAATAGGGCAAAATATCAAAATAACAAGTCAATCGCAATCGTTGCAGCTATCTTGCCTGGTTCAGCTACTTATAAGAGATTAGCCTGCTATGTAACTCAGATTGTACAGTTGGTCTATAGCATCTCTATAGTCATTATATGCTAACTACGAAGTATCCTTCTTCAGTGCCAGCTGCTGCTCGATTAATCCTCCAAGCGTCTCCCGTAATGGCCGCCCACTTCATACCAAGTGCCTGATTGTCAACCCCAACTGGTGCCGGCCCGGCTTCTTCTATTCTAATGCCTAGCTCCGGATAATTACTTTGTAACAATGCAGCAATATCCTTCCAAGATATTGGTGCGCCCGAGGCAATAAGCTCGACTCCATTTGGTATGTCTAGCTTTGCTGCCCCAGTACATGAATCAGCAATATCTCGGGCATCAACAATTACCGCTGGGAAGAGGGATGTTTTTGATTGCAAAGACTTCCAAAACCATGCATTTATGCCACTAATATCACTGGCTGTCTTCCGGATTCAGCTTGGGCCAAATACATAAGTTGGATGAATGGTGGCTAGTATAAAGGCTGGCTTTTGCTCTTTGTGGGTAAAGAAGAATCGCCCAATGCCTTACTGATGTAATGCAAATTGATGCATATCCTTGAAGTGGCAAGAGTCTGTATTACAAGTTATGCATTTTGTCGCTGCTACCCATAAGACATCTCTACTTAGTTCATGATAGTACAACTATTATCCGGAACTCAATACATCACGTCTTCAAGTACTATAATATGCCAGGCCTTTGTCATGGACAGCATTCTATGAAACGTTCCCTATCCAACTAGGCTAGTGCGGGCTTCAAATCATTCCAAGCGCACCCAGCCTCCGACAAAGCCGTCAGTTCGTCAGTTATCCATGTGACGAGCGACTGACTTAGCCCCAATTCGAGAAGATAGATAACAGTCGTGATCCTCTTTTCCCATTTGTAATAACAAAAGCGGGTATACATGGGTGTCATATTCATTCTTAGTAGCTTAATTTACATATTGTATGACATTGTAGTTCCGTCATTGGTCATCGGATATGTGTATAGTTCCAAAGCTAGGTGTATTTGATCGATGAAAGCTGGAAAGTTCCGAATCTGTTAATTTTTCTGAGGGGCTAGCCAGGGTTGAAAGGGGAATATTAATTAGAAATACAAGTCGCACAATTATGTCACAAGTGCCGCACATAGATCATGCCTGGTATAGCGCTTGAATTTTCGTTTCTGCAAACCATGTGATTATTCTTAAGCATGTATATTGGGCCGCCTAAATTGGGGCGAAATGGCTCTGGATATCTAAGCGTCTTGGCAATATGCTACTTGAGGTCGATACAGGCCAATTCCCTGTCACAGCACGGTCAGAACATTATACTACGTACGACATACTATATGGAGAGTGTCGATCTTTTGTAATAGAAACTAATTATTTACGCTTCAGCTTACTAGCTTCTCAGTAATCTCATTTACAGTATAATGGCTTACAAAGCTGAATTCAATATACATCATTGAGAGCACATAAGAAACACAATTAACACATTATATATTAACAGCATTAGCAGAGGATCTTGTATAGACAATGCAAATTGATCGTATCACTCTGCTTTCATTCCTATGCCCGTATCGCACCATGAAGAGTTTATTACTTCTCCCGCTTCTTGGATGGTTATTCCTGGCCTCAATTATAGAAGCACACAAATCTATTATTGAACCGACTCAGGTCAACCTTACTTCACGGGTTTCTCACATGGTTGGCTTAGTGAAGCAAGCTATTCTCCCCTCTGATGAGTTGCTAGCGGCAATTAGTAGCTTAAACACTTCTATATCATCTGGCATATCTCTCAAGACTTTAAAAAGCCTGCAGAATGAATGGATCACTACTTTTGATTGGGAAAAGGAACAGGCTGCTATTAATAAGTATTGCTATCTTATTGTAAAGTATTGAAATGAAGCTAAATAAAAGTAGGTACAATCAATATTTCGTTAAGCTTGAAGGATTAAGTATTCACTTTATCCATGAAAAGTCTACGAAGCCTCATGCTATTCCAGTGATACTTATCCATGGATGGCCAGGGTCCATTTTAGAGATGCTGCCTGTTGTTGATATACTCATGGAAAAGTCAAATGATATACCATTTGATGTAATTGTGCCTTCGCTTCCAGGGTTTGGGCTATCTTCACAAGCGCCTCTTAACTGGACAGTGGCCGATACTGCCCGGACACTCAACACGCTCATGACTCAGATTCTCGGTTATGACAGATATTCAGTTCATGGTACGGATTGGGGGGCGGCGGTGTCTTATGAGCTCTATAGCCAGTTCAATTCGACTGTTCGAGCTTTGCATCTAAACTTCTTACCATTTTTCCCTTGGAGTGCCGACGAGCTCGCTGCTGCGAACATTACGCTTTCGCCGATTGAAGCACTTCAAGAACAAAGAAGTGTTGATTTCATAAATAAAGGTTTTGGATATTTTCTTGATCAAACGACCAAAGTAAGCGGTTTTCTCTCTTGATACATTTCGAAATAAACACTAAATTTTTTATAGCCTAATACGCTTGGCTTAGCCTTGCAAGATAACCCCATAGGTCAGCTAGCTTGGCTTGCCGAGAAATTCATATTGTGTGAGTTGGTTCAAAAATGGCTTGCGTCGCATCCCGAACTGAACTAATTAGAATTGCGATGCAGGGTCAGATCCAAGGCGTGGTACAGGCCCTTCAGTCCTTACGAATAATGAAATTCTTAAACATATATCATTCTATTTTCTCACAGGATCATTTACTTCATCCATTTACATCTATGCTCAGAACCCTACAGCGTTTCGTACTGAGTTCACACGAGCCAAGACTGACGCTCCTCTCTTATACACATCATTCAACTATAACAATGCTTTCTGGCCAATGGCACTGATTGAAAAAGTTGGAAACTTGGTTTATTATAAATGTAAGCATATGAAGCCTTGATGATTACCGAAAGCTTATCTAATACATGTGAAGACGAAGATTTTGGTGGTCACTTCCCTAGCCTTGACAATCCATTCGCTATAGCTACAGGTATTCAACGTATAGCAGATTTTTATAAATAAGTTTAGAAATACTTTGTTTACTAGTTAGATAAAATATACTTGGTTATATTACTCAAGCTAATATTATAATAAACAAAGTTTCTCTGGTAATCATAAGTAAACTATTCTTGAGTGAAAACCGGTAGTTCCGGTTCATGTGAACAGTTGGTTGGTCTTAGTACACGAGCAACCTTGTGACTAGCTAGTAGATATAGCAGCTGAATCCAATCGTATTGCTATGATAATAACTAGGTTTCTAAGTAATTATAAATGAGTGACATGAAGCGAACTTATATAGCCCAGGTAACTGAGTTAGATCGATAATAATTATATCGATTCGTCTGTGGATCGATGTCAGGTTATTGACCCTACGGACTGAGAAGTTAATTCTCGATCCTTCTGGGAGTTGGGCCGTGACAAGTTAGCATATTTGTCATTTAGAATAAGCAAAACGCCATCAGCCGACAGAAAACCCCCATCATGACAAATAGTTATTATAAATCCAAGGAACGTGATGTAATATTCCGAGCCCTTAACTCTAATTGTGGGTTAACATCCAATACTCAGTAAATTTCTCAATATTTGGTCCGGTGCGTAAAGATGAATGGTACCACTTAAGCACAATTGAACGGTATAAGTCTACCTATATTAACTCCTTCTATCCGTAGTAGTTTCCATCTCTATCTTGATTTGTCTCTTCAATTCAATGACTCCCATATTGTCTAAAATGAAGCCTTCCATACTCATTTTCGGCGCTGGAGGTAACTTCGGACCCTTTGTTCTCAGTGAGCTCGTGAAAAACAAAGCGAAATTTTCTCGTATTGCAATACTATGCATAGAGGAGAGAAAAGAACATTTTTCCCCTTGGTTGGAGAAAGGGGTGGAGGTCATTATTGGTTCAATGACTGATTCAGCTTCTTACCGAGGTGAGTTTTGCTGCGTTCCTCATACTTGCAGCAAGTGCAACATCTGACAATAATAAGGGTTTACTGTGGCTATCTCCCTAGTGGGGAATCTAGTTCTACGTCTGCAGCCACAGATGGTCGATGCTGCTATTGAAGCTGGTGTGAAGCATTTCTATCCATCCGAATTTGGGAACGACATTGACCAGCCGGAGTTTGTTAACGCCCGCTATTATGTGGACAAAATGCTTACACGAAAACACTTACGGGCAAAGGCCAAGGATTACCCTGATTTCTCGTACACAATGGTACATATCGGGCTTTTCGCTGAATCATTTGCTCTGGGTGATGAGTTTGGCGTGGACCGAGCTGCCAAGACCTTTACCTGGTTTGGCAATCCCGAAATGGAGGCATCTTTCTCATCTATGGCAGAGTAGGTTCTGCGTTATTCATCCCGACTACTAATTAAACCAATTTCTTAACTCCTGAATGGTGTAGCACTGCAAGATACACCGTTGAATCAATCCTCCTTCCCATGGGCCCTTCTCAGCAAGAGCGGAAATTGAATGTACCGAATGGCAACTTCAAAATCCGAGATGCGATAACTACCTTAGGAGATGCCCAAGGAATTACATACCGGTGTAATTATCGAGATCCGCAAGAAACGCTAGATATCGAAGAACGTTATCGGAAATTGGGAGATATAGGGCTCGAATTACTGTCTAATGTACGGTGGATTATAGGCCAGCCTCAGTCAGCTGTCCCGGAGCCTTGGGATTTAGAGAAATTTGATTTCAAACCCCTTGGATTAAAGGCTATGTTCCTAGCAACCCTAGGTACTAGGGCTATGAGAAGCAGTAGTCTGAAGTAAGCTCGAATCCAGCACGCGTTAGTTAACAACTCTGAGTTTTGGCATATATCCACTTTCGGCTATGATAGTAATCATTATTGGAAGTATTAGTGTCTCTGGGATAGAAGATAATTATTACTTGCCCTTTTTCTCGAACAAAGTGCTATAACAAAACCCATACAATAGCCTATCCATTAGCATGTAAAACACTTGTCGAGAAAGAGTATTTATGACTTCAAAATATACATCATTCCTATTGTCCCTAATAAAGGCGCTTTGCAAATGGTCATAATCATCGTTGCGCGACCCACCATCTTCTAAAAGGCAATTTCCTATGAAGGATTCTATTGTCTCAAGATTTAGCCCAAAGGGAACAATCTCGGCCTCTGCCCAGTCGATAACACCAATAGGTGTGAAGAAGTCTCGTCAACCATAATATTAAACGATGAAAAGTCTTGATGGAGAAGCACTATCGGCAAGGAGAAAATTGTGTTCCATGGAGCCAATACATGTTTTGATAATGGGTTGAAAGCGACTGGGTAGAGCGGCTTGCAACATTGTGAGCTCCTTGGTGTATTTCTTCTGTAGCTGGCCTCGATAGTCTGGGTCCACTGGCTGAGGGGCATTCCATGAAAGCGCAAAAAACCTATTGCGCTTAGCGTGACTTGGACTAAAGATCTGGACGTTGAGACCATGACTTACTTGGCGACATCTACAATGAAGTTTTCACGGTGATTCAAGGTTTTTTGCGAGTTTTCGGGAAATTCGTTGAGTTGACCAGGATAATTCGAGGTGAGTGATACCGTTCATGCGATCCATTACGTAGACGTAAAGAGGCTCTTTGTCGCTAGTCTCATCTCCCATCTTGCCCTTGAAGGACACATTAGGAGCCAATTGTCCATAGAAATTTTGTGGCTAGCAGACAAGTCTGGTCTTTGAGTTGAAGTGGCTTGAGTCGGAACTGCACAACGTGTTCCTTAATCGAGACCAGCATAGACAGAGTAGCTGCAGCAACCCTGCTGTTGCACTGGCATAGCCTTGCCTCCAGTCAACTCAATTGTTCGTGCATCGCATTCAAGCGTGTAAGAGATGTTTCGGTAAAGAAAGTAGCAATGGCATCGTCAAGCGAGTATTATTTGTGGGTAGAAGCAGTGGTAGTATCATTGGGAGAGTGTTTCGGTCGGTAGTCCTCATTTTCAAATAGCTTGTTTGACTGATGCAACGTCTCGCTTGAAGTATTTGTACTTTATTTACTACAGCTTTTTATTTCTCCATTGTGCCTTCAAAGCGAAAGTCCACTCCTTATAAAACATAAAAGTCCATAAAGAAAAAAGACAAAGGAGTAAGGCTGCAATAGCTATAAGGCAAATAATACTAAACCATCGACATACAAGCCAAAACACCGTCCATTGATGGTCTACGTATAGCTGCTCAACTGCCATTTCAAGTTGCATAGCACTAAGCAGTACCGACAAGATACCAAATACAACGAGAATAGGCCCAAAGATACGAGCAAAATATGCCCCATACTGACTGTTGATACGGTGGAAATGTTGCTTTTTGAGGAAAAACTTAATGTAGAAGTTTAGGCGAGACAATCGGATTTCTCCATATTTGTAACGCTCGCAGACTTCATTATCGGGTATCCGGCCAAACGTTTTAGAGAAATCGCAAAACTGTTCCCATGTTATTCCCTTTGGAACCAGTTGCAACTCTTCATCTGTGGCAATTCGATAATCAGACTCGTGGCGGATAAGGTAAAAATAAGTCCGCAAGTATCCCAAAGCAACTTTGTATATTAGCTCGCGTTCTATTCCTAGCGGCGATGTGCGAGGCAAGAGATATGTTTCCCAAAATTGATAGGATAGAAGATACTGGGGAAGCGGTTTTAAGAATATACGGTTGTAGTACCATACCCCATGCAGTCGAGCTTCCTCAGTAATTACAATATCTCGGCCTTTGACTTTTTGGCGATGCAGAGCCGAAATGTTGCTGCTATCTTGCGTTGACATGATCCATAATCTAGGGGCTAATATGGCGAGGTCCCCGAGATCGAACTCTTGACGAAGAAATTGACGCACTGCTGCATCGTTCTGCTCCAGTCTAGGATGACCGGGTAGACGTTTTGATCCCGGGGCAGAGTTTAGAACATCCCATTCCTTGTTAAGCTCGTGTCGACTTTCGAATGGTGGCTGAGCCATCTTTATCTCCATGACTAAAGCCCACTTGCGGAACTCTGTACAAGCCTTCCTGGTCAGACGCTGGGAGATTTTGACATATTTAAGGATTCCATGTAAACTGCTGCGACAATAGACATGGAGGGGTATGAATCGATCATGTGATCTGGATCGCTGTATCGGTCACTACGTGTAGCCTTGCAGAAATGCACCTCTGCTTATAATCATGTTATCGGAGTAGTTCTTTTTTATGCATGGATGTGCCGTATCAACTTCATGATGCCCGACGAAGTTGGGTTTACCTCCAACATTCTAATTCTACTATGAATTTTGAACCTCTTGCTATTCTTGCATTGGACGTCTCAGTCAAGCAATAAGCAGTTGCGAGCCCATATGGCTAACCATAGTAAAATATTAAGCTACAACGTGTACCGCTATCCATTGCGGCTGCTGCTGCTTCACAAGGAGATGTTGATAATGGAATTCTCAGTGGTGTCTGTTTTAGATATCTGTCTAGATGATTAAAAAGCAGGCTGAGTATTACTCTAGAAGGGCGAAGATCAATTGCCTGTGGAGACGCGGTTAAAGGTGTGGTTTATCACAGGCAGTATCATCCATTATGAAACCTCGAAGCCTCTGAACTTTCTTTCCACATTTATGCATCATGTGCCCTGGCTGAAGGTTTTCCTAGAAGGGAACTGGCCGGCCATTCATATGGATTTATGACGGCAATAATACGGGGCGCTGAACTTAGGCGGAGGATCGCCGTTAGCGTTGGCGCAGATACGGAAAAGCGTAATGGCTGTGCCTGTCTAAGCCCGTTTTGCGCTATTTCATGTCCTCTTCTTGCTGCCTGCAGGTATCTCTCCAGGTTCTTGTATAAGTCTAGGCCGGGGGCGAGGCTCATATCGATCGACTGTGTTGGGCGCAGATGCAGCTACGAAACGGCGATTAAAGCCCTCATTCATGTACGCAGCAACCAATGCCTCAATTCTGCACCTCCATTTCAAGTGGCGGTCAAATGACCAGCCGTGCTCATCGCAGGAACAGCTCGCCTAAAGCTGAGTGCCGAATCTGCCCACGCCAAGCGTTAGGTTGTGCGGCTGAGAAGCGCTATCCGGCAGTTAGTCGAAATCTGGCTTGCCCCTTGGATAACTGCGTCTTGAGACCTCGCCTCACTGCCAAGTGTCTAGTTACTGCTTGTAGTATACGCCGAAGTACAATATCTGCTTAGTACATGTATGTGCGGGAAAGCTTCTAGAACGCCTGGTGCTGCGCCACCACCGCTTAGAGAGTCGCATTATACCATGCCGTCTACGGTCGACCGAGGAGATGCTGGAGCTAACAGCCCTGCATTATAGGCCAATGATTGCAAGGCGCAAATGCGAGGCAATGTCAATCTGGGCTCTCTATTGGGCTTATTTACGCTTCTAACTATCTCTGTCTTGGCATGGTAGATATTTGGTATAAATTGGCGCGTGATTGTGTTTGCTATACGGAACTTTACATGTGCTCAGAAGCCAGTTTCAGCCACCGATTTATAGCAAACGACCCAGTCACCAATACAATTGCATTTGTGTGCCTACTTATACATACATACATATATATACGTGTCTCGTTTGCCTTTTTTAGTCTCGTACCTCTCCCCTACTACGTTATTTATTTTGCTTCATCTTTCCATCAATTCTACTCCTCCACTAGCATTCTTGTGGGCGAGAAGCCAATCTTTCCATCACCACACCATCAAACAAACCTTCCATCATGTCGTACAAGATTTCTGCTCCGGACGAATACCTCGCCATCACCGGCATGGGTATTCGTACCGTGAGAATCACAAAAGCTGCCTGGGTATGGCCCTTCCAGCGATATACCCGCTTCAGCGTCCAGCCGCACGACTATGCCATGGACCTCCAGGCAATGACAAAGGAGAAGCTCCAATTCTCTCTCCCTGTCGTCTTCACAGTTGGACCAGATGTAAACCACCGAGGAGCGAATATCAAGGGGCGCACCGCGGCAGACGTGGCTTCGCATGACGGCGAAGAGAACGATGAGGACGGCAGCCGAGAAGACTCAGGAGATGCCCTTGTCAAGTATGCTATGCTGTTGGCTCACTCGAAAAATGGCAATTCTGATGTCGCGGATCGAAACCATGTGGAAAACATCGTCAAGGGCATCATTGAGGGCGAGACTCGTGTGCTCGTATCCGGCATGACCATGGAAGAAATCTTCACCGAGCGTGAGGTCTTCAAGCGACGCATCTTCCGCAACATCCAAAGCGAACTCCAGCAGTTCGGTCTCAAGATTTACAACTCCAACGTCAAGGAGCTCAAGGATGCGCCAAACTCCATCTACTTCGAGTCGCTGTCACGCAAAGCCCATGAAGGTGCCACCAACCAAGCCCGTATCGACGTTGCCGAGGCTCAGCTCCGCGGTAACGTTGGTGAAGCCCAGAAAAAGGGCTTACAGGATCGTGAGATTGCAAAGATCAATGCCGAAACAGCGGTCCAGAAGACGGAGCGAGATATCGAGCGAGCTCAGGCCGAGGCTCAGTTACACACCCGCCAGGCCGCCCTTACTCGTGACGTTGATATCGCTCGGGTCACCGCTCAGCGCACTCTTGAATCCAAGGATGAAGATCTCAAGAGAGAGGTCCAGCTCAAGCGCGCCGCTGCCGAGATGGAACGTCTTCGTGCTCAGGATGTCGTCAAGGCAACCATTGTTCGCGAGTCCAAGCAGCAAGCTGCCGATGCCGCTGCATATGAAACCGCCGCTCGAGCCAAGGCTGAGAAGGAAGCCAGCGAGCAAGCCACAGATGCCGCTGCCTACCAGATCGCCGCCCAGGCCAAGGCTAATCAGGAGGCCAGCCAGAGAGTTGTAGATACCGACGCGTACAAGACTCGGGCCAAGGCAGAGGCTGACATGGACGCCAGCAAGAAGAAAGCAGAAGCAGAGGCATTCAAGACCCGTGTCGCTGCAGAAGCAAACCAAGAGGCTAGCCAGAGAGTCGCAGACGCCGAAGCTTACAAGATTTGTGCTGAGGCAGAGGCCGACCTTGTCCGTCAACTCAAAGCAGCTGAAGGTATGAGCGCCATGGCTGAAGCATATGGCAAGCTCTCAGTCGCTTTCGGCGGGCCGGCTGGTCTTCTCCAGTACATGATGATCAAGGATGGCACTCTGGTTGAATTGGCCAACGCCAATGCCAGTGCCATTAAAGGATTGGAGCCCAAGATTAGCGTCTGGAACACTGGCAACCAAGGTAATGGCTCAGATGCCACTGACACTATGCGCAATGTCTACCAGATGCTTCCACCTTTGATGACCACTATTAACGAGCAAACTGGGATCACTCTGCCCGAGTGGCAGTTTGGACGACTCAACGCTGCTCAGAATGCTATGACGGAGACCAAGGTGAATGGAGATGGAAAGAAGAAATAAACACAATCGCTTGAGATGTTTCATTTGTTTGCTTGCTTTTTGGCCTTTTTTCCCCTTTGTTTGTTGTTTACCGATGTACGCTAGAGATTGTTTTCTTTCAACGGGGTGTTTGGAGTAGCTTTGTGAATGGTTCTTGTATGGGTGGGATCAGAAACTGATACTCCGCGTTGGTCTTGGTTCATATATTCTTCTTTATTAGCTATTTGTATTCTGTTATCTATTGCTAGAAATTATAAGGTTTTAATTCAACTTATCCATGACTGCCAAAAGTGAATATTGTTCAGTGTAAGAAACTATTTGCTTTGGGTTCGCCTGAAACTGAGAGCATCCGCTGCTAGCTCGCGCCCACTCTCACAAGAAGTCCTGTTTTTGTAATCCATTTTCTTGAATACATGAATTATATCGCCTTCTTTTCTCAGAGACGTTCATGTTCGGATCGAGCTTTTGTATAGCGGTGAAATATTGCCGTAGCAATTGCACGCCGGTTTTTCTGCATCATGATAAAACACTGATACTTTTTCGTCAAATCTTAATCGCAGACATTCGCAGGGTATAGACGACAGAGTGGAATGTCGTATGATTTCCTGCCGTGCTCGGGTCAATCCGGTCTGTCCTTTATTGCCTTGTATGCGGAGATGGATGACGCCTTCGCTTTGCGTAATCGCAGCCGATAATTGGAATATCATGTTTTGTCCTTTGCTAGGTCGTAGCCTTCATTGTCCTGACACAGCCGTCCTTGCAAAGGCTCAAAATATCTGATCGTAGCTAAATTGGCATATTCCGCACGCCATGTACCTTGATACCTGCAGTGTAATTCGTTGGCTCCTGGGCGGGACAGGCGCATCGCTCTTTTAGCTTGTTCAATTTCTCGTCCAATATGGCGACTTAGCCCAGAACATGAGACAAATCATTGGGTACATGTTATTCGTGGTTCAAGACGGAGCAAGAGTGTTCTGTATGTTAGTAATGTATGAGAGACAATGCTCCTACAGTGTTCAGACGATTCAAACACAGCATGAGTAAGAAGATTACCATCAAATGGCCATGTCGAAAGGGTCAAATACTTGCGTGTAAGCGGCATGGGATGCCATTCGATAAGCTCCACAGTATAACGGCATCTGACATGCATACATACCCGCAGATATTAATTGTCCGCCCGTATTAGTGAGACGGCAGCTATCAAAGGCCTGTTTTTGTACATTGTACGTTTAGGTAGCTTGAGAAATCCTTTGATTCCAGAGACTGCTAATCTTGGTATGGCAAATTGCAGTCGATGGATATAGAGCAACATGGGCGCCCTATTCGCGTCGACTAAAATCGTCATGCTCCAGAAGGGCTAGATAGCTTGTGAAAAAGAAGACGACTTTTTTTTATAAGTAAGAATCTCGATAGCTCGGATACCGCGGGATGCAGGGTCTTGAATATGACAAGATTGACGATGCATTATGCTTAGAAGTGTCGATGGAGCTCATGTAGGTACCCACGCAAGCTACTGCAGAACCGGGGTATTTACATCAAGGAATCTTGAAAGGATTGACTTCGTAATAGCCATGATTTAACATGCCCTGTCAAATGCATATATATCGAAATCAATATTGTACTATAACGACTTGAGCTTCTAAGAAAACACTCGTTGCTGAAATAATCCTTAAACATGATATGCATAATATATAACTTCCAATTTCTCTTCTAAGCAATAACCATGTAAAGGGTAAGTATTTTCTTTTTTCAACAGCTTATAAGTTACTTGTTATAAAGACTTATAGTCAGACTTTCAATCATGGGATGTCATATAACTGATACAAGTCCAGCCCATGTGTCAAGAGGACTGGCGGTGTTGAGCTGCTTCAGATGCGTCTGACAGGCACAGGCATCTCTGCAGGCTGCCCCTCCAAGTCCGATAAATCGCCGAATCAGCGCAATCTACCCCTCCAATCAAGTCTGACTCATAGAGAATCAGAGTCGCATCCGCCGCCTGGCGCGCAGGGAAGATTGTTAATCCGTCGTCAGTCTCACGTAAGCGATCCCTCAGCGCCTGGTTGCAGATTTTCTGCGACTTTTGCGTGCTGCAAGACAGTGGGCGCTCCGGGGTCTACAGAGTACTTATGCCTTGTACCGCCCTGCGGCAGCGCCGAAAGCCACTAAAGCCATTGATAAGCCGAAAAAAGTCCAGTCAAGGCACTAATTATCACCACCTTCAACTCATATCGGATTGAATCGCAGCCCCTCGAACTTCGAACCTCGATATCGCATTACACGGCACCAAAGACACTGCGAGGCCCTTTTGCGATTGAAACAACCAGAACACCACCATGGCGGCCGCAGACGCATCCGAGAAGCTCGCGCTCATCAGCGAGAACCTGACCGAGATCCTCAACCCGGAGATTATCGAGAAAATCCTGGCCGAGGGTCGGCATCCCAAGATCTACTGGGGTACGTTGGCGAGATGAAGACGATGGATATGGCTTCGTCTACAGAACCTCTGCACAAAAGAGCAAAACACTAACAATACAACGTCCAGGCACCGCCACAACCGGCCGCCCTCACTGCGGCTACTTTGTCCCCGCCATCAAAATCGCCCAGTACCTGGCCGCCGGCTGCCATGTCACGATCCTGCTCGCCGACATCCACGGCTTCCTCGACAACCTGAAAGCCCCCATCGAGCTGGTCGAGCTGCGCGTCGAGTACTACCGCTTCGTCATCACCGCCATCTTCAAGGCCGTCGGCGTGTCCACCGAGAAGCTCAAGTTTGTCCAGGGCAGCTCGTACCAGAAGAGCCCAGAATACATCATGGACGTCTACAAGCTGTCGTCGGTCATTTCCGAGCACGACGCCAAGAGGGCCGGCGCCGAGGTTGTTAAGCAGACCGACAATGCGCCGCTGTCGGGCCTGCTCTACCCGATTCTGCAGGTCCTGGACGAGCAGTACCTGGACGTCGATGCCCAGTTTGGAGGTCTTGACCAGCGTAAACTCTTCATTGCTGCCAAGGAGTGGCTGCCCAAGCTCGGCTACAAGGAGGTAACAAGAACCCCGAATCGCCAATTCTGTGTCGTTATATCACCACTTGACTAACACACGTTCTAGCGTGCGCATCTGATGAACCCCATGGTACCTGGCCTCAAGGGCTCCAAGATGAGCTCCAGTGACGAAGGTAGGAGCCATTCTCCTCCACGCCAAAGATTCATCCAAAGGATTTGGCCGCTGACTCGTATATAGAAAGCAAAATCGATCTGCTGGACTCCCCAGACGCCGTCTCCAAGAAGATCCGCAAGGCTGTTGCCACCCCCAAGGTTGTCGAGGAAAACGGTGTCTTGGCCTTTGTCGAATACGTCCTTCTGCCCGTAGCAGCCCTGAAGGGAGAGCGAAAGCTTGTCGTTGAGCGCGAGAGAGACGGCCTGGAGCCCTTGGTTTACACAACCATTCAGCAGATGCACGAAGACTACAGAAACGATGTGGTATGTTTTCCCTCCTGATACTGGCATATTCCCTTCTCCTATGACGCTCAAATGCTTACCAATGTTGTCCAGCTCTCACCCCAACTGCTCAAGGCAGCCGTCACAAAATCATTAAACGAGCTCCTGGCCCCCATCCACGCAGAGTTCACAGCATCAAAAGAGTGGCAGGAGATTGCCATCAAGGCCTACCCTCCTCCCGCCAAGAAGGAGAAGAAGGTCAAGGACAAGGGCTCTCGCCACCCCGGAAAGGCAGCAGAGAACATTAATGTGAAGGACCTGAAAGAGGCAGTCAGCGAGGTTTAAAAGAAAATAACGAAAGGAAACGACAATATGAATGTAAATATGGGATGTTTGGCATTGCAACAAAAAGATATGGAGGGAGAGAGCGGGAGCTTTGACGGCGCCCGCATTACGGCATAGAGGAGCAGGGCGCAAGAAAATATTCTAGAATACTACCCGATATATACGGAGTACATGCAGTTACGAATACATGAGCCTGGATACCTGTCATTGATTCTCCTAGCACTAAGTCGTCGTGTCTATGCCCCAGTTGAGCAGGCAAAGCCGCCTTTTTTCCCGGATTCGATTTCGTCCTAAAGTATCCGACAAACGACACGTTTCTTCCCAAACTCAGTCCCTTCCGATACGACGACGCCTGTGCCCATCTCCTGAAGAGTATCCAGCTGGCCCTGACACACCTCCCCCGCCTGAATACATTTGGAATACTTCTTGGAGCAGTCCTCGATCTTCCCATATAAGCACTCTTGCATATCCTCTTTGCACTTTTCGCCTTTGCGGACGCACTTGCCCAGCTTGTCGTTGCAATGAACGTCCCAATAGTGTTGGGCTGCTGCACATACGGCGACGCAGGTCCAGCATTTGGGGGAGGCGACGGAGCACCACGCAGGGCAGGTTTTGTTGCAGTATTTCTAAGTGAGTTTGTAAGCCACGGCAGCTCTAGAGATGGAAGAGATAGAAGAGATGAGCATACTTTGATAGTCTTTTTATCACATGGGATCAAGCGAGACATGTCCGTCACTGTATTGTTGGTCGGGTTCATATCTGCTGTGCTTGAATCGGGCGCCGGTAAAGCAGCTGCAAGGCCGATTTGAACGGCAGCGAGAAAGTACGTCAGACGCATCGCTATGTATTATTTCAGCCAACAACTGAAGTCTATTGGTGAAATCTACTTATTGGATGCTCAGGAGCGGTAAGAACCAGGATCAGAGAAAATAGCTGAGAGTCGAGGCAGGATATATGCATATATATAGGTACCTAGTAGCCATATTTTGTCTGTGGATAGATGGACGCGTATTCATACAACCTCAAACTCAATTTCTCTTGGAAGAAAAGCAAACGTCCGCATAGTATAAATGAAGTACTATTAGCTTTGGGTTTCTCGGCGAGGCGTATGAAGCGCCGCTGAACACATGAGCCAACTGTGGATCTTGCGTTATAAAACAAAATACAACAAGAAAATTACAGTTTACAAAAGAAAATTCTATTTCAGACGAGGCGAGGATTTTAAGGGACATGACAATTGTTAACGTGGCCCTCGCTGGAGACATAGGCCAGGAGGCCATACGTACGTAATACTAGTACCGTGTTACCGCGCAAAACTCTGCTTTGAGTATACGGTGGTGTACCTTTCTCAATCTAATATATTGTTCTACTGTGAGACGAGCAAGGTCAAATACCTGGAATGCTAGTTTTGTACCCGTGGATAGGCTGTGTGCATCGCGATGTTTTTTGGAGTAGCTTGCGAGGCAAAACCTAGTCCTGCTAGGATCCTAAGAACAAACTGTGCTTTTTTTACTAAGCAAAAGATGAATGAATCTGTGCCCATGTGAGGCTAAAAGGGGTACCTCACCCTATACTCAAAATCGAGTTTTACAAGGCAATATCCAGACGTGGTACAGTGTGCACAAACGAGAGAATGCGAGACTGGCTTGCTTATTCGGAGGCTATTCTCTTCTTATACTGAGGTATTTTTACTACAATTCTCTTGGAATGTCTCAGGTCATTGCAACGCCAGTACGTAAATGCCTTGATAACTCAAAAGTTCGTCTCTTGGCATCAAAGCCGATGCTACTATGTAGGTGTACCTATGTATATACTGCGCCAATGCTGTACATCATCAATGCATACAGCGGCTCCCCACCCCAATTTTCCACACCCTTGTATGTATCGGAAGACAGATTTCCGCCCCAGTTTTGCGATCAAGTCAAGGGCTCCTCATCGAATCTATTTTCCAATTTCATATTCCGAGAATGCCAAGATCTTGTAGCCACAAGTAGTATGTCGTATTAATTGAGATGCGGCCGCATGATCGTATGGAAGACAGACATGTCGAGTGGCATCACTTTTCCTCTCTTGTGTCGTCTAAATCGATTAGCCTCGGCTGCTGTAGACGTTTTATTTTAGTGGAGAGTCCGGGATTTTGAATCTCAAACAGCCTGATTGGTTACTGTTACCACACCTAATGCACTGCAAGAGGGGGAAACGGCTATAGCTTGCCGTTCTTGGAAATACTATATATACTGTGCGTCTAGGTTGCTCAAGCGAGCACTTCTATCTTTTCTGAATGATGCCAGAGTTGCCAGTGAGATGAAGAAATTCGCGAATAACTCCTAGAGCCTCGACTGTTGTTTACAGCAAGTTACCTACTAGAATATGAAGGGACATATCCCCAACAGTAAAACGTACTCTCACTAGGGATGGGTCAGAAATACGCGCATCGAGTAGGCTTCCCGCCTTGCCGTCTCTAATCCTTGTTACGGTATATCCTTAGTGCATTTCAACTATTATTTACTACTCTCGGTAGTTGTCCTACTCTCCGAATCCGCCGCACGAATCTCCTTTCATGGTAGTAAGAGTGGCAGTGCCACAAAAGCAGCAGCCGTTTGCGGACTTGGCAAATAGTAGTTCCGGGGTATCAGAGGTTCGAACTCCGCAAATATAGTCTTGAGTCGATAAAGTCCCATTCCCCCTTGTTTACTAAACAGCTACCCACATCTTCAACTAATACGCCCTTGTGCCTCCTGCTCCACATCAGCTAACGCCTGCCCATCAATGCCATGGGGGTTGCATTGCATGGACCACAAAGGGGGTTGACGTTACCTTGTTCAAATAGAATAGCACATTGCAGCTCAAACTCCTCGGAGTTGCCACGGATCAACGGAGCTTCAACGTTTTATTCTCCTTTCTAGGGCCTTACCATCGCCGGTTAAACTCCCGAGAGACATGGCACGGCGCAAAGGCTCTAAGAAACGACGAAACCCGGTGTCAGGAATCAAAGATTCCGAGCGCGGAAGGCTGTCTTCCGCATATGAGATCGGGAAATGCACTGTTTCAACCGACGGGCAGTGAAGTGATTGCTCATTTTATGCCTTGTAGAGATCAACCAACGCCATATGTGACGGCACGATGTAACACTCTGCTCCATAACTTATAATGGTTGGTGGCCGCTCAAGAAACTGACATACGAGCCCATCATTGCTTCCATTACCCCTCTTCTTCCTGTATCTCAAGGGCCATTTGTGAAGAGACTGTAAACTTCAGAGCATTCTGAGATGGGCATCCTCGTCGACCATGGCGGTTTCACCACCGTCTCCCCAAGGCAGATGGCTTGGGGTCTTCCACTCGCTGCTTTGATACTGGTAAGTTGGCATCACCACATCATCAACTTGTTCATTGTCTCACAGAGTCACTCTAGGGATTTGGCTACACTGCCTGGCATTGCATTTACAATCTCTATTTCCACCCACTTCGCAGGTTTCCCGGCCCCAAACTCGCGGCCATGTCATTCATCCCCTACTCTCTCATCTTGACCGGCGGCCAAGGCCACCACAAGATACTCGCCTTGCACCTCAAATACGGGCCCATTGTTCGTGTGGCGCCCAATTTCCTCTCATTCAATCACCCAGACGCCCTCAACGACATGCGCGGCCACCGCAAGGCTGGACAACCCGAGCACGGCAAAGACCCAATCCGCCGAGTCCCAAATGTCCACAACATCATCGGGGCAAATCGCGAGGACCATTCGCGATTTCGACGGAGCTTGGCCCATGGATTTTCTCATCAAGCGATGCTGGAGCAGGAGCCCATCATTGGCGGCTACATCGACCAGCTGATGGATCGACTGAAACGGGACTGCGGCAATGGAACGCAGCAAATCGACATGGTCCGCTGGTTCAATTTCACCACATTCGACATCATTGGCGATTTGTCTTTTGGCGAGCCATTCGACTGTCTCCAAAACTCCGATTACCACCCTTGGGTTTCGCTCATCTTCCAGTCTGTCAAGAACCTCGTCTTCATGGCGGCGATACGATACTTTCAAATTGCCCCAAAGTTTTTCCAAAGATTCGCCATGCCTAAGGACATTGCTGGCAGATTCGCTGAAAACATGCAATTATCTGGTATGAAAGTCAAGAAGCGTCTCGACAGCGGCTCGGATCGCCCCGACTTTATCACTTCGATGACAGCCAAGCGTAATGGATCAGTAAGTATAAGTGATTGCAACGTGTTTTATTAATAAAGTCTGATTTGTATATCTAGTCTCTCTCTTTCGAAGAGCTTGCATCAAACGCCGTAATTCTCATCATTGCGGGCTCGGAAACTACAGCCACGGCATTATCCGCAGCCGCCTACTATCTCGGCCTCCATCCGGAGGTTCAAGCCAAACTTGCCCAAGAAGTGCGATCAAATTTTAAAAGCGCAGAAGATGTCAACATTACCAGTGTACAGCATCTATCGTACATGTTGGCAGTGCTGGACGAGTCGATGCGCATTTTCCCGCCTGTTCCTGGGGGCCTGCCACGATATACTGCCAAGGGAGGTGGTATGATTGCTGGTGAATTTATTCCAGAAAGTGTATGTCTTTCCTTTATCCTGCCATTATTTATTTTGTTATCTATCTGTATGAAACAAAATCTGACCGTGGTTATTAGGCCCATGTTGACGTTTGGCAATGGCCAATGTACCACAATCCAAACTACTGGACGCAGGTTGAGGACTTCATTCCAGAGCGCTGGCTTGGCGACCCTAAATTCAAGGACGACAAGAGAGATGCGTTTCAGCCATTTTCTACGGGACCTCGCAATTGTATCGGTAAAAAGTAAGTATCATTTGGGAGAAGCACATTCATCTACCTAAGCTAGATGCCATGGGCTAACATGCGACAACAGTCTTGCCTACGCCGAAATGCGTCTCATCTTAGCTCGGGTGATACTGGAGTACGATATTACGCTTGCTGAAGGTACTGAGGGATGGGATAAAAGAGGCAGGTCGTATACCCTGTGGGAAAAGGGCGAGGTGAATGTCTATCTGACGCCTCGTAAGGTGGAGTAAAGATGTGCAAGTATTGTCATTACTTCTGATGTTTGTATCTATTTAGGAAATTGGAAATTGTAATTAATGGTTAATTAGTTGATAATGGAATAGATTGGCAGTTGATAGCAGATAAATAGCTTGGCACTCATCGTGGTAGTTTCCAGAAGCTCTATCCTTCAACGAGAAATATTTGTTTCACAAAATTAGCAATCATTATATACACGGCATCCAATAGAGGGAGTACTGAAGCCGCGAATAAGTGAGAGGCTAGATAAGAGGCATCGTAGTATGATCTCCAACAAAATAATATTGGAGTGGAAAAAGGTCAGTTGAATTGACTATCTAAAAAGGTTCCATTGAAGTAAAGAATCCACCACCACCATCGCCACCACCAGAAGAGCGTCATTTTATCAAGAGTCTTATTTGCTGAGGCACTTGGTGGCAAGCTGGTTGATGGTGTTGGCCAAAACTGCAGCATCATCCTTGGAAACAGTATAAGTGCAGTTGGACTTGTTGCCGCCGGGGTTGATCTGGATGTGGTAGTTTCCATCGCTGTCGGTGGAGTAGGAGTACTGGTACGAGGCACTCGTGCTGACGTTGGCGTTGTCGTTATGGTGATCATCGCCAGTAATGTTAACAGTAGTGCTACTTGGAATGCGTGATGGACAACTGCGGCCGCCGACGAAACTACCGAGGATACAAGCAGCGGTATCAAAGATGTCACCGATGATGTTGCCGTTACCGTTGCGAGGGGGGTCGAATAGACCGTCAGCGGCCATTTGTATTTGCTGCACCATGTTGCTCTGATCCATCATCTTAGCATCGTTGGCTTGCTGAGCTTGCTCCTTGAGGTATATTAGCAAATGTCAAGACGGACAGATGTATGGAAGATTTACCATGGGAACTGCAAGGCCAGTGGCCGCAAGGAGAGAGAGAATGATGGCACCAGTCTTCATTTTGGCGAGTGGTTACTCTTGAACAGTGGAAAGTGGAATATTGTTGTATGTAGTATAAAAATTTAGTGATGGCTGATGAGTCTGAGGAAAGGGCGATATAGATGCTTTATATACTTCAAGTCTCATTCGTAAATCCAGTGCATCATGAGCTATGTATTGCTCCAGTATAGCATACATAGAAGCTAATTGCGCAATGATATTCCATGTAAGCCATTCCCGTCTGTTTCTAAGGCATGTCGATCCCTTCTCAGACAATCAGCTTTAGAGCTGTAGGCATTTGCTATTAGGAGCCCAGTGTAGCAATGCTGAGCAAAAAAAAAATACGCAGAGGTCTACTCTAAAATCTTGACTCGATCGCACGACTAGTTCAGCCAATCCTTTTCATGTGAGACATCTGAATACAAGCTCGAATGGATATGCTGTACTAAATGATCTGTGATCTTTTATTCCCTGCTTCCACAAGAGCAGCTCCGCCATGAGGCTTGCTAAATATAGGCAGAGGCTTTATGGCTTCTTCTCGTTTACTACATAGCATTACCCATCCTGACATCAAGCGATTTACAATGTAAGAAAAATGAAACCAAAGGTTCCGGCGAATTAGGCTTCTCAACATAGCATGCTCAGAAAAATGAAGTATAATCGGTCTCAAAGTTCTAGAATGAGGTACGGAGTGTAACTTGACTGAGAAGAAATGGTAGATGACATGTTGGTAATTCTATCCCATGTTTCAGTCTTGAGGAATGAGCACATCTAAATGTCGATATATGACAGCTTGATACCATTTTTTTACGTTTGTTGGGTTTTTACACTTCGAACCTGAAACATTTCAGGATATACAAAAACTTGGCCGTGAAACCAAATGGTCGAGCTAGAGTGATACAGTCTGAGACAGAAGACTGCATATCAAGTTGCTATGTGGGAGCTACCACATGTCTGGGTCTCCCTTGAGATGGCAAAGCTGAGGGCTTATTTAACTTGAAGGTAGGTAGTGTCTAGATAAGGTGCCGATGCTGGCGAGCTTTTCTAAGATCCCAGCTCTCTCTAGATCAAGACACTGTCCATACCTACGTTTTATATAGCGTTATTCCCGCCAACTATCAACAATGTGCGAATCATTATGTACAATTGTGCACAAACAGTAGAACTAGACAATTCCATCGCACCAACCAATTTGTCGGGCCAAGGCATGGAATGTGAAATGTGATTATCTAGCGTGGCAAAGGGGATGCTTGGTGGCGCGCTCAGCTAGGGCGAATTTCCGCCTCAAATGTTTCTAGATCAAAGCTATAATAGCGCGCATACTTTACGAATATAAGGGCAAAGTTGAGGTATGAATGATGAACGTCAGATAATGTGCCCTTCTAAGCCCTCAATTGCGAGAGGCAAAAAGACGTCAAATTGTATACCCTATCACCTATCTGCAATGCAAATCTAGAGCTACGGAAAGCTATACTAGGCATTACCTGATCCAGCTACGCCAAGTGCATGTAAGCCTATGATCTCTACACCAGAAGAACATCTCGAAAGAACGCCACATTATGCTGCGGCTGGTTTTGTGGATTCAAGATCTACTCTTCGTATTAAATACTCGGAGGCCAAGTTTGGATGGACGTGGCTAAGATGATAAAGTTGCCCCAAAGCCACTACGGCTCATTTGGAGTAAATGTTCGCTTAATACGCCCCATGCAAGCGTCTAGTATCTACGAGTACTGGCCTAATCCATAGCATCACATTGGTCATCTACTTTTGAAAACTGTCCAAAGCGCCGAAACTTCAAAGAAACGCCTTCGAGTATCAGTACAATAAGTAGTGGCTAGAATACAGTGCGATTGTTGCTCTTGGCAGTAGTCACACTACGCCTCGTTAGGCTGATTGCAGGAGGTTCAATGCAGTGATGTTTGCTAGCGATTTATTTCAAGGCGGATTTCTCAAAAAGGCAGATTCCGACAGCGCTAATTGCCTCACCTGAACGACTCTCAGCCCCAAAAGCAGGGCTGTTTGACAAAGACGAAATAAATCTCGCCTTGAATCTGCATTCCATCATCAGTGTAAACATCTCGAATTCCATCTAACAATAGCGGGCTTTCTTTTGCTTCTTCGCCATGAACCACCTCCAAGACGATGGCGATCTTCCGCCTCCATACTCTCCGAGCGCAAATGCATCCAGCAGCACCTCAGCCCAGCATCCAGACCCTCAATCTTATTCATCGCTCTTTTCATCGCACGTGGCCAATCTTCGGACCCAAATCTCCGCGTCGCAGGCTTACCGAGCCTCACTCACAGACGATCGCGACAGCTACATCTTATCCATCATCTACCCACATGTGGAGGAATTCATATCGTCGATTTCTGAAATACATCCGACGCCGAGGCTTGCAGAGGCGATTCTAGTACCCGATGCAGCGGTCAGCGATGGCTGGAAGTTCAATGATGAAGACGATAAGCGAGATGGGGAATACAGGACGCTGATTCGCATTTGCGAGGGCAAAAAGAAAGATGTCAATGACGACAAGAAACAGTGGCCGTCCGAAAAGGGATCTGGTAGCCGTAATGAAAACAATGATGAGAACAGCCTAGCTTTGTGGTGGGAAAGCGAAAGTACAGCGATTCGGCTTGCCAAGCACTTACAACCTCAGCGTCCAGCTTCTTCTTCGACAGATGGACAAGCTGCCAAAGAACGCAGCAGCAAAAAGTCTGGTATTCGGGGGTTGTTCAAAAGATCTGAAGAGGTGCCGCAGAATGTTCCTTCAAAGGAAGAGAGACCTGTGGAAAGAGTGACGATGACTACAAGAGCAGAAGAGATCACCTTCAGAAAAGAGAACGAGCTTGGGATCTGGGAGACTAGGACTGGATGGGGGATCATCTTGCGAGTGAGGATTCACAGTTCTTGAGAGCTGCTTGATGATTTTCTGGGAACATTCAGCATGGCCTTGTTCGCTTCAACGGCGTTGGACAAAGTGCTATCATAATTGTCATTTACTATACATAGTTTGTTATCAATCACGTATATCCCATCTATTCATATCTAGAATCAGTTGATGCCAATTCACACCAGCTCTTGCACCACCTCCTGTGTCAAATCATCTGGCCATCTCGCCGCGTCAGTCCCATTGCCTCGTGTCCCAACATTATATCTCAAATCAACAACACCGCCCCAATCCGCTACTCCCTTCACCGCTCGAAACGCCTTTTCTCCAAGAACACTCGGCGAGCGTCTGTCCTCAAAATATTCCGGGCGCAGAATCCTCTCACTCGCCGGGCCATTTTTGAGTCTCTTCACAGTTTCAGGCGCTGAGACGCCATTGTTGTGCCAGTGGCGATAGACGGGTCGGCCATGCTCCGCCCATACTTTGTCAAACACCTCAGGGGAATATGTTCCGACTGATCGGATAAGCCATGTGCTGTAGTAATTCAGTGAGAGGTCGACGCTATAAGAACCGCCCTTTTCGGCGCGACGCAGCAGTGCGAGAAGGACTGCGCAAGAGCCCGCAACACCGGTACAGTAATCGCTGTGCGGGAAGATGGGCGTGACGGGTTCATCAAGGCCCATGGCTCGTCCAAAGGAGTAACTCAGGCCGGTGTTCTAGAAGCAATGTTAGACTTCTGTGTTTTTCAGGGAGAGAGTGCGTCAAAACTAACCGCATCGGCAACCTGCTGCCATCCGCTTCGATCCTTCCAAGGCCCATGCCAGCCGTACGAATTCTCTCGCACATAGATTATGCCCTTGGATCGTTGCTCAGTCATTTTCATGATGTCGTCTTCACCAAATCCATACTTGTCAAGCACACCGGGACGATATCCTTGCACGACCACATCGGCGTCCTGAATGAGCAACCTCAGTTTCTCCCGATCACCCTCCTCTCGGAGATCAATACTGCAGTTCCATTTTCCCCAATTCAGGTCTGCTTGGAGAGAAACTACGTCAGGTAGATGAGGTGCTGTGCAGCGCATCACGCTGGCTCCTAGCTCGGCCAAGCTGCGAGTGATACTCGGGCCGGCGATGATGCGTGTCAAGTCAACGACTTTGATGCCAGCAAGGGGTCGAGAAACGCCTGACTGAGACGCAGGTGTGTCCCACCAGCAGGGCCGCTGCGACTCGTTTGCCGTCTCGCGAATCTCCCAGAGCCCGACATGCGCGTTGGCCTTTCCATGGTCCGAGTTAAGAAATTCTTCGGTGGTGTAGCAGATGGTGCCTGCTTGTCGCGTCTCATCTGTAATTCGCTGCAAGGCTTCGCTGTCAACGTTGCCAAAAGCTTCGAGAAATGGCTTCACAGCATAGTCATAAACATTCGTGTCTTTGTCCGCTTCTGCGGAAAGGCCAACATTGAGCAGCGTAGGCGTCGGGTTGAGAGACCCATGAGATTGAAAGTAGCGGCCGTCTGCGCATCTGTAGATGTTTGTGGCCAGATTGCGATGCGTGGAAGCGTTCATGCGATGCTTGTCGCAGTTGGGGAAATATTTGAAGAGATTCTTATTTGCTTCACGGAGGCTGTTCGGGCTGATGTTCTCGCCTCCGGCAACAGGGTCGATGGTCCAGAGGAGAGTAGAAAAGATGAAGAGGCTCGCATGGTCGGTGTTGATGGTGATTTGATGAGGCTCCAGGCTGTAGCGGCGCTGGAGTATTGTGTCCACTAAAGCTGCTTCCAGTGCCTTGAGAGACGACACAGCTTCTGCAAGTCTCCAGTTGACGGGCAGAGATGGATTTGCAGATCCAGTAAAGGTGATTTTGGTCTTTTTATTCTTGATCTCTGGCGGGAGATCTTTGGCTATGAGTGGATTAGAGATGATGCCGTCCTCAAATACCTTGTTTGCGGCCAACGGGACGGAATATGCATCAGCAGCAGCATTGCCAGTGATGGTTATTGAGCCCATGATGGAGTAGCTGCGCTTGTATCTTTCAGCAAGATTAAAGAGTGACAAACAACGACGCATTCGACAGAAGAAATCTATCTATCTGAAGAGAAGTTTTCTTAAACAAACATGGCTTAAGCAATGGCGATTGATCCCTCATTATATACTTTTCTACAAGTCATATTCATGGCTTTCACAGCGATTACCGCTTTAGCAGCAACTGGCGATTTCCACTTTGGGATCACCTCTCGGGGTGGAGTCCGCAGCCGGCGGAGCGCCCTCCGGAAGGGCCCTGAAGCAGGTTCAGCGCTGCTCTATGGGCGCTAAAACCTTGGGAAGGGCGCTGAAACCCGAGTAAGAAAAGAATCTGCTTCGTAGAGCCGGGCGGAATTACGAGCTGTGGAGTAGCTAAAGGTGTAATAGGCCTATTGGCGCTGAAGAATCAGGAAACCAGATGTCAATCACGTATTTAGAATCAGCACAACATTCGGACTCATCGCCGCATTTTAATCATGGCATCGACTATAATTGAAAAGGAATCATATTCCGAGAGCTGCAACATTTATCAACTCTCCCTGAGAATGGTGGGAACAGGCCTTGATGACATAAGCAATTACTGACACGTGATTTGGCGACTCTGCGCGAAGCGAGAATCGCGTCTCCAGCCCAAACCTCGCGTGTTGACAGCAAAAGCGAACTGCTTAGAATCTTTGCTGGACTCATTGCAGGGCGACAAGATACGGCATGGCAAGGCAGTCTCGCTGGCTTCGGCCTTGAACGACTGCCGTTGGGAATCAGAGCTATTAGATCGCCATGGCGCCTGATGTGATTGATCTCGTCTCATCCAGTCCGCCTCTGCCGACATTACGTCGCCCAGCAGAAACGGCGGCGCCCTCCACAGTCACCGGCATAGGCCAAGATCACAATGGACGGCTTCGTTCACCAGAGCTCTTTGTCTCCTCAGACTTCGATGTACCTGACGACGAATTACTTGGCCAAAGTCCGAGAAACGCCAAGCGATTGCGGATATCGACGTCACCACTACCTCGAGCAGCTGTAGATCCGCCTCGAGCGGCTCAGCCTCCCTTTCTCAGCACCACGTCCAACAGGCAAAACCGTCTTGAGTTTGATCCTATAGAGTTTACAAGCTCTTTGGATCCAGATGCTCCGAGGCCTCAGCAAAACGTCATCGACCATTCTATCGCAGGTGCTCCAGCTGCGCGGCCTCATAAACCAAAGCCTACAACTCAGGATCCTCTTCAAATCTCCCTGGGCTCTGATCCATTTGCCAGCTCTCCACTCTTGGCGTCTATTACGAGTGCAAAGCAGAGGCCAGAAAAGCCAGAAAAGCCAGAACAACATACAACGACCATCGCCGACGAATTTGCTGATGCCTTTGCAAGCTCACCACTTCCTCTGCTACCACCTCCCTCACGCGGACCGCACAGACCAAAGGAGCAAACTACAGCCATACATACGATAATAGACGTGGATGACTTCTCGGATCCATTCATCAGCTCTCAAAATGCCAATCTGCAGCCCGCCAAAATCCCCACACGCAGAGCAGTTTCTGTAGAAGTGGTGGAGCATTCCCGCAAACGCAAGCACTGGGATCCCATCTCAAGCTCGGCCCCAGAAGAGCCTCCGCGGGCGCCACCTCAGGAAAAGACCCTGAGTGATTCACAGAGAACTGGGCCAACAGTTATTAGTATCGACTCGGATTCAGCAAACTCATCCGAAGATGAATTTCCAGACATTGCCGACTTCAACTTGTCTCGCGTCAGACCCCGCCCTCGGTCCCCCATTCGTCGCTCTCAAAGCGATGTAATCACTTCAAGAAGCAGCAGGCCCCGATCGACAGCAACAGCCACAGCCACAGCAAAGACGGCAGAACAGAGGGCGCGTGACAGAGATGCCCAAGCTGCTGCCAAAGCTGCCGAAAAGGAGCGAAAGAGACTGGAAAAGGAGCAGCTCAAAGAAGCCAAAGCTTTGGAAAAAGAGCGCGCTGCTGCATTGGCTGAAGTCAACAAGGTTCGCACAGACAAGAAGGTCTCAACGCCTGAAATGATACTGGTCATACCATCGAGCGTGACCGAGGGATTAAAGGTCCAGCTGGGAGCCATGTTGGACGGATTAAGCGTCGAACATACTACCTGGGAAAGCCCTGTCGCCAACGCCTTCAAGTGGCGGAGAAAGGTTACCAGTCGATTTGACGAAGAGATGGGGCGTTGGGAGCCTATTCCACCGCGGATCATACCTGAAAAGCATGCCTTGATTCTTCTTACAGCAGAAGAGTTTGTCGAAATGGCTGTCAGCGACACTCTAGACTCCAGTGTGTCAGAGGTCAAGAGACATTTCCCCGGACACGAACTCATCTACATCCTCGAGGGCATAACGCCTTGGATGAGGAAGAATCGCAACCTCCGAAACCGCAGGTTCGCAGCTGGAGTGCGTGCACAGGATCAAGCTGCTCCGGAAGCTACTCCAGCCTCCCGCAGACGCCGTAACAATGCTACCGCCGAGGAGTACATATCGGAAAGCATCGTCGAAGACGCCATGCTGCAGCTACAAGTCGAGCATGAAGTATTGATTCACCACACCGCCGCACCGCTTGAGACTGCGCAGTGGATTGTTGCCTTTACTCAGCACATCTCGACCATTCCGTACAAGAAACTGCGCGAAAAATTGACTTCTTCGGCGGGCTTTTGCATGGAGAGCGGACAGGTTCGCACGGGTGACGATGCTCGCGATACGTATGTCCGTATGCTGCAGGAGATTGCGCGCGTCACGGCTCCGATAGCTTATGGTATTGTCTCGGAATTTGAAACGGTGAGCAAGCTTGTGACTGGGCTTGAGCAGGGAGGGCCTCTGAGATTGGAGGGCGTGCGGAAGAGTGCGAATAAAGACGGTGCTGTTTCGGACAGGACTGTGGGACAGGCTGTGAGTAGGAGGATTCACAAGGTGTTTACGGGGAAGGATGAGATGAGTACGGATGTATGATGTATGAGCTGGCAGTTTTTTTTTCCCCGTGTTAAATGGAATGGAGAGAGCAATCTCTCAGGCAAGTGCTATGGATATAGAATAAGGTATAGGATAGTTACAGATGTTCTACAAAGTCTAGGGTTAAATAATCGGAACACACACTGCTGAGGACAGGCAGGATCTATTTCACGAGGTCACGGTCACAATGGAAGGCACATGAATATGAAAGTATAATAGTAAAAGGGTATCATGTTTTATTTCCATCTATATCGTGTTCATAAAGCGGGTATCTAGAATCTGATTGTCTCAGTTAGCAAAGAACTTGGACAAAGTGTGCAAACAAGAAAGAATTGCAAGAGTAAATGTCAGACAGCGGTTGGACAAAATATTTTCCACATTGTGTGTTCAGAACAGGTCTGTGAGTTATTTGTTGTATCATCATTGAAAAGAGTAAAAAGAAAAAAAAAATGTCCTTACCTTTTGAATGGAATGCCTGGCAAGAGTCGTTTAGCCAGCACTCATATCGTGACTTTTTCGCTTCTTCGACCCCGGCACGAAGAAGGACGTCAGTGTGCGCTGCTTTTCGTCATACGCAGCGCTGCCAATGCCTCCTCGAGTCTTTTTCAAGTCCTTGAGGTGGACGGTGCAATTGACTCGCTGGACATGCAACTTGAGCGGCAGCGACTTGTCCTCGTCTGCGCCTGCACTGTTGATTGAAACGGTGCATTCGAGGAAGCCGGTGTTATCCCAGAACGGAGGGGATATGAGCGAGCTGGCGGCACTGGGATTGGGGTCGACAGTGATGCCGCCTCGGCTGACGCGGGCGCAGAGCTCGCGGTAGAGGACGCCGAGGATGATGCCGTGGGAGACGATGGCACACGCCGCCGACTCATCGGGCTGGGAGCTGACGAGCGGCAGCAGATGCCGATCAAGAAAGGCGTCGACGCGCGCCTTCATCGACTCGGCCGTCTCCGAATCCGGCGCACGGCCGCGCGAGTCGCCAAACTTGAGGCCCTCGTCGCTCCCAAAGTCCTTTTCGCGCAGCTCAGGGAACTCGACGACGGGAATGTCCCGCGAGCAGACGCGCTTCTGCTCGGCCGCAATGGCGTCGGCCGTCTTGACGGCGCGCTGGAGGTCGGACGAGTAGATGAACTTGATCGAAGCCGGCCGTTCAGCGAGGTGCGCGGCCAGGCGGCGGATCTGCAGCACGCCGTGCGACGTCAGCCCCGAGTCGCGCGATCCGGCGTAGATGCCCGCCACGTTGTCGACCGTCTCGCCATGGCGGATCAGGAAGAGGAGCATCTTTCTTGGGCGCGCACAAGCAACGAGCAGCGGTGGAGCGAGCTCCGCGTCATGGAGGCGAAGACGGTGCTGCGTGTGCCATGTGGGAGAAAAGCCCAGGCGAATTGGAAGCTGTGCGAGATGGGAGGGCACGGGGGAGGATGGATTGATTGGGAAGAGAAGAGAGAGGGACGAGGGCGAAAAGTTTTCCTTTCATAGTACGCGAATTGGGGCTTCTGATTAGGGCATACATGGTGGGGGTTGTTGTGGCTATGTGCATATTGGCGCTTGGGATATGCGGTAATGGGGGCAGCGCAGTACCCCGCCAACTGATGTAGCGAGGCCTCTATTAAAAGCTCCCACCCTGTAATCGATGATATGAGCGCGTGCATATAGATGAATTAGAAATAATAGTATGAATGAGAGGAGCTTCTATTAATATGTAGAATCAATTGATATCTAGCTGTGATCCTTGTTTGTTCTTTTGTTGATGTTTCAGCCACGGCGCTTGAAGGGGTTCTTGCCCTTGAACTTCAAAAACGTGCAGAAATACACCACCCCAAAATTAAACGCAATGAAGCCGCAAAAGATGCCAAAGTCCCGCCAAATATGGCTGTAATACACGCTGAATCCCTTTCCAAACTGGTCACCAGTCGCGTACTGGCATAGTTCACACAGTCCATCCGCCGCCGTCTGCACATACCCACCGTTCTGGCTGATAAACGGCCCGGCATAGCTCTCGCAAGTCTCGCCCGGCGGAGCGCTGAACCGCGCAAACTCGGTGCTGCTGCACTTTACAGGATGATCGTGGATCGCAGCCCCTAGAAACGGCTCCATGAGATAGTGAAAGGGGCTGAGCCAGTACATCCAACTGCGCCAAAAGGTCGGCAGCTGGTTGGGCGGCACGACGACGCCGCAGAAACTGACGACAAAGAGGAAAAAGACGGGCACGAGCAGGCTCGCCATCAGCTCGTTGGGCGAAAACGCCGCAATGGCCTGGCCGAAGCTGATGTAGTACAGCTCAAACACAATCACCAGCAGGAACGAGAAGCCCGACGTGAAGCCCGACACGCGCGTGCCGAAAATCCCCCACCACCAGCAGTTGAAGTAGATGGCGCCGGCGACGATGCCGTAGGGGATCTCGACCAGCACGGCGCTCGTCGTCCAGGCGACCCAGCTGTAGATCTTGGCGCTGTTCTCGCGCGACTGGAACAGGTTGCGCGACTCGAGGAAGACGGGCTGCAGCTGCTGGATCAGCGGCGGCGAAATGGTCAGCGTCATGAAGATGGAGAAGAGCCGGCTCTGGTAGGCGATGGTGCTGTAGCCCAGGCGCCAGAACGTGAAGCAGTTGAAGAGGCCCGTCAGGATGTGCAGCATGAACTTGCCCACGATGTAGTTGGGTGAGCGCCAATACGAGACAAATGCGCGTTTGACCACTAATGCCGTCTGGAGCGACAGTGGCGCGGCGTATTCGCGGTCGTCCTTGAGGCTCTGCGACGGCTCGACTCGCTGCCGCGTGTCGATCATGTGCTGGATCTCCTTGGAGCGCTCTTCGTGGTCGGCGGACGAGGCCCAGACGTCGGCCCAGTCCTGGCCGTGATAGCTGGGGTCGCCGGCGCCAATGGCCTCGAGCATGTACTCTGCGGGATTCGCGTTGGGGGGGCACTTGGCGGCGCCGTGGGATTCAAAGTACTGGATAAGCGTCTGGCTGTCCTGCCCAAGCGGGCCGTGATAGACGACTCTGCCGCCGGATTTGAGGAGGAGGAGCTCGTCAAAGTGTTCAAAGAGCACGGCTGATGGCTGGTGGATGGTGCAGAGGACGGCCTGGCCGGCATCAGCCAGCTTGCGCAGGAATCGCACAATGTTGAAGGCAGCGCCAGAGTCGAGGCCCGATGTTGGCTCGTCGAGGAACATGAGCAGCTCGGGCTTGGACGCCAGCTCGACGCCAATCGTCAGCCGCTTGCGCTGCTCCTGGTTGAGGCCCTGGCCGACTCTTCCAATTGTTGCACCGGCAATGTCTCTCATCTCGAGAAGATCAATGATTGTCTCGCAGTACGCGAGCTTCTCCTCCTTGGGGACCTCCTGAGGCTGTCGCAGCAGCGCAGAAAACTGCAGAGCCTCGCGCACAGTGGCCGTGCGCTCGTGGATGTCCATCTGCTCGGCGAACCCCGTCGCTCGCTGGAAGGACTTGGGCAGAGGCCGGCCGTCGACGAGAAACTCGCCGCTGATGGTTCCGAAGCGGATGCGCTGGGCCAGGGCATTGAGCAGCGTCGTCTTTCCCGCCCCTGATGCGCCCATGAGCGCCGTGAGCCTTCCTGGCCGGACGTAGCCTTGGACATCTTGCAGCAGGTCCCTCGTTCCCTTTTCATACGGAATGGTGTAGTTGATGTTGCGGAACGTAAAGACAGTCTCGTTCTTTGCGATTTTCGGGCCGCCGCTGCTCGAGTCGCTCTTCTCGGGCTCTTTCTCCTCGATCATGGCGGGTGTGATGTGGCTGGTCACGCCGGTCTCTTCGTCCATCTTCTTGTCCAGGCCTCTGCCGCCAGTCTCGATGGACGCCTCCACAGTCTTGGGCACCTGGCCTCGTTTGAACATGGTGATTGCGCCTCCGCCGGCGTTTGGCTTCATCAGCTCCATTCCGAGCGCCGCCAGGGCAACAAAGAAGGCGAAGAAGACCCAGAGAATGCCAAAGTTGCGCCAGAGATGCGAACGGGAGTACTGAAAGGCGATTTCGATGTATGCTGCGCCTTCGACGACTGTCTGCCCTGGTTGGCTACCTGCCAGAGTACAAGATTGGAATTGCGGCGATGTGCCAGGACCTTGGGGTACTAGATTCGGACCAACACAGACGAGCTGTAAGCCTGTGAATTCATTTGCCATTAAGCATTCGAAACCGTATTGAATCCAATTAATACGTCGAAGCCAGGAGAACCACACTCTCATCGATGAAGGAGGAATCAAGTAACCAGTGTACACAATCAAAATTTGTAGCGAGACACCCGTAAATCGCGTGGCTTCATCAAGAGTAGGGCACCAAGCCGCCAAACTTCGAAAGAAGGCATACGTGACCATGGTGACCTGCCAGAGGATAAGTGTTGCGATGAAGTACTGCGATGCCGTGCGCGCAAGATCTGCCATAAAGTATATAAGAGTGTTGAACAAGACAATCTGGATGAAAACAAGAGGCACATCCATAACCGTCTGCGCAATGGCATAAGCAGCAGGTCGGTAAAACGAAAACGACTTTTGCTTGAGCATGATGGGCTTGGAAGAGAATGCCGCCGTCATTTCGCTCAACGCGAGGAGGGCATTAAACAGCAGAAGAAAGAAGATGGCGCCTCCACGGGGAAACGCCCCCAGTGATGTCGACGGGAGAGAGAAGAAGAGACTTCCCACGATTAAGCCTTGGAAGATGAGTCCGCCCCATTTGCCGAATAGCGATGTTTTGTCGCCTATCATGATGAGAAACTGGCGCTTGGTGAGGGCAATGACTTGTTGGTGAAAGGCCAAAGTGTAGTTGTTTTCCACCGGTTTCTTGGACTGTGCGGTGGCAACCTCTCGCTCTTCCGCTTTACGACGTACTTCCTCTTCAAAGCTGTCCATGTCTGCAAGGTTCTCCCTGTATATGTCGCTTTGCCGGTACGCATCAAAGAACTCATCCGGTGATCGCGGAATACGATTCTCCCATCCAGAACGAATGCTTCGCTCATGCTGGTCGCTGACAGACGTCAAGAAGTCGGCCGTCGTCCATCGATCAGGGCAGTCAAATCCCAAGTCTAGGAAATACTGCTTTGCCTTTTCCGCAGGCCCAAAGTAGAGACACTTGCCGCCATCGATGATCAGGACCTTGTCCACCAACTCATACAGGGACTCTCCGGCTTGGTACAGCGAGACCGACGTCGAAATCTTGCCCATGTTTGTCATGGCTCGTATGGCCCTGACGTATTCCAGCGCTGTGCTTGCGTCGAGGCCTTTGCTAGAGTTGTCCCATCCTTGCACGGAGGCTCGTGTGATCATTGCCTCTGCGATACTGACGCGCTTTCTCTCGCCGCCGGAAACGCCGCGGATGTATTCGTTGCCGACTTTGGTGCCTAGGGTGTGTTCTATCCAGAAGAGTTTGGTCACTACGCGGAGGAATTCCTTGACGTATGACTGACGGCTTTCGCCCTCGAGACGATCCTCTTTTCCAGGAGTGCGTGTCTGAAGCGCAAAGGAAAGCGTCCTCTTGACCGTCAGAGTTGGATAATGCAAATCATCCTCGGGGTTATAAATGACTTCGCCACGGAAGTGTTTGGCTATATCCTTGGCAGACGTCCCGCCATACGTGACACTTCCTTCTACCGCTTTGAAGCCATACCGCTGGTTACAGAACGCCTTGAGAAACGTCGAGCATCCTGCGCCGGGCCGTCCCAGCACCAGCAGAAGCTCACCCGGTCGGACGCAGCCGTTGAATTGGCTAATCAGCTCTCTCACGGGTGGTTTAGCCTGGGCGGCTTTACGGCCCCCTTTGACGAGGTTTCTAATGGCCCTGGGAAGGCCGAGGAATATGTCGCCCACGGTAGGCTGAAGACTGGCGCCGAGGCCGACGCCTTTGACGGTCAGGTCGCGGAAGATGACGCCGCTGTGTCGCATGCGCTCTTCCTGGCCCTGTTCGCGCCGGGCATGGCCAAACATGCGTGACATGAGCCGTTCAATCTCTGCTGGTTCCTGGTCGTCGCCTATGCTGGAGCCGGTGGTGTTTGTTGTCCGGCGGCGGGAGAGTGCGCGGAAGATGTCGTCTTCGTTCTGGCCATCTCTAGGACCACTTGGTAGCCTAGATGGCTCATGAAGACTTTCTATTGACGAGGCATCGCTGCTTGACAAGACATCGCCGCCGGCCAAGGACGAGGCATCTTGGTCTTTGTGATCGGCTCCTCGACTTTCATTGGGGAGAGTGGCACTTGTGTCGTCTGAAGAGGCTTGAAGCTCCTTGTCCGCTGGCCGAGGACTTTTACTCATCATGTACTTGGAATGAAACAAAAGCCGTTGTAAAAGGACGGGCTTGGATGCAACATGTTCCAGCGTTCAATAGAAAGCGTCTCGAGATATCGCATCAACTTCATCAATTCGTCCACCTACAATTCCACCAGGATTTCGCCTTGACTTTTAACCATCTCTTTCGGAAAACTTCAAAAGTCCGACAAAGGGACTTTAAGAGTCCGCTTCCACCGACTATGGCGAGTGTATGACGATAGAGTTTCCGCTTGGCATTCTAGTCCACGGAGACACTGTGCGTTTACTTCCGTCATTGGTTGCTAGAAACGCCACGAGTTGAAAGGGCTAACAATTGAACAGGAAGTGTATTAATTAACATTGAATAGGATCAAGCTAAGATAAAGGGAATTGAGCTGCGCGCGTTCCAGCTCTTTTGCGGTTAGGCGGTAAATGTATTCCATGAGCTCATTGGACGTGCTGCTTGGTGGTTGAGATCGGCGGTCTTGTCGCCTCCGATGATGACGACGTCTGCCGGGCGGCCGAGGCCGAGCCTACCGCTTATTGCGGACAGTTTAGACTATACGGGACTCGGATTTACATTTATTTTAAACAGAGGTATAATTGCGGAGTGAAATGTTGGTAAAAGCTGATAAGCAGGGCCTGCATATTGAAGCTGTATAATGGGATAGGCGATTGCATGTACGAAGAAGAGTATGGATCATGAATGAATGACGTAGTATACCAGTTAACTACAGGCCAACATATAGATGCTTGACATCATCCTTAATATCACCGCTCATTGACGCCTTGATTCTTTACATGAACAGAAACTTTGCTGCGCTATAAGTCCGCAAGATGGAATTATCTCCAACAACATATATGCAGCAAGAAGACTAGCGCTGCTGACTTTGCAACAGCACATGCATGTTGTGGAATCAAAAGCTTGCAGCGCCGTCGCCCGCATGATATGTGGCTGTTTAGGAGAAAAGTACAAGATTTAATATATGTATGGTGACTCTGGCAAGATAATGTTGTTTACCTATGTACCTAGTAGCAGAGAGCTGCGACGCAAGCCCTGGAGTGCTGTGCACATGTAAATGGTATATCAGATGCATTATAGCTTGGGATTTTACTGAGGCAGGTCTTTAGCTGCTGCTATATCTTTTAGTTCTACTTGGCTATAGGTCAGATAAAACCCTACTTTTTCTTAATCCGGATGACAAGATAATTAAAGAGAATCTGCTTATAATACCTACCTAGGCATGCATCGAAACTACGACTAGGTAGGTACATGTAGTGATCTTATGGACTGCCGCCAAGCACGCAAATTCAATCCCACAAGAGGTTGTTAGTATATAGCAACAGAAACGACTTGATCAAAGGTGTGACTGTACGTATATGAGGGCAGTTTCCTTAGTTCGATTATACTAGGGAATTGCCGATGGATGTATAGTAGTTCTTCCATTTCCTAGGTACACTCGATAGTAATACCAAGAGATACAGCATCGGATGGCCGCAGATGCGCATTCTCGGCTATCTTCATCATGGTACAGGCTGATATTACTCGATAGAGTGTCATGCTGCTGGCCCACTTGTCGAGCTACTCTCGGTTGCAATATCGGCTTCCGCTGCTTATATTAATTAATCGTAAGAGCCTAAAGCGTTTATTCGCGGGGAGATGAGATGCCAACAACCAGCATTTCCCCAACTCGCCTGCACACGTATTCAACTCTGTTCACGGTTAGGCGCTATGATCAGCTTTGCCTGAAGAGCTCTGCGCTGGGCCTATTCTAGCTTGTGGTCAAGTCCGCATCTGGTGCCTCGTGCACCGATCATCATTTACGCAAGGCGATATTCTGGGATTGATTCCTTGACGAGGAAGATTACCCTGCGGTTGAAGTGAGCTAGTGCGATGCATCTTCATTTGGGACGCACAAAATAAAATTGATGGTGTGTGCCATTCTTTATTAGGGGATTGTACAAAGTAGGTAGCAGTGGCATTACCAAGCAGCAATTACAAATGGTGGTGAGGCAGCACAGGCAGAAGGTCTGTGATGTGGACTTGTAGCACTGATTGCTTGACGATGATTGTCTAACCAGTTGTCTAACCAGTCATTTGGCTTGGGACTGTTGCTGATTTGTCAGGTGGATTGGTCCCTGCTGGGGAATAACGGGAAATGTAAAGCTGGGGCTGAGAACCGGGATTGCACTCATTGTTACTACTTGTGGCATATGTACAAGTAAGTAAAGGACCATGTAGTCTCATTGACAGTGTAGAAGCACCGTGATGCCATCCCTGGCCGGGCATGCTTGTCCACCACATGTCGGCCCAGCTGAGGCGAGAGCGCCGTGAATGGAAGGAGATCGACAGGCGGTCGGCCGCACAGGCATGCACGTTTAATTGCTCGCAGAGACTGACCGTTTGCCGTTGACGATGTGACGGACCCGAGCGCAGGGCTTTCCAGGGTGTGAACCCGGTACGTACAAGTGTTGACTCCATGCAACAACCTACAGTATATGGTATGGTTGGGCTGATGCTCGCAGTTGCGTCCTTGTGTATAGCTGAACCTCCTGTCGGCCTTGTTTGCCTCTTATATGACGAAACGTGGCGCATCTCGCATAACCAAGGGCGATATGTGAAACCGGCAAACCGCTGGCTGGTCCGCTCACATCAAGGACTTTGCTGGTGAGGCGGCAGAGAGACGGCAACGGCGATGACGGGTGGGCGGAGCAGCAAATTAAGACGGCAGATTGGACAGGCCGCCAACCCCGGTCTGGGGGGTGCTCTCATCTTATTTCGACGCCATGTCTGGCGTCTTGTGCTGCGATACGATGCCCGTAGCGACGAGAGACATGTGCAGTAACCGGAGTCTTTGGCAGGACAGTGTCTCGGGCAGTGAATCTGATTTGCCGGGACATGTAGAAGCGCGGAGACTGTCGAAAAGCCACCACCGCGATAGGTGGCAAGCTTGGCCCAGTTTGTCGAGTCTCAGCCGGATAGTATGGCTGTGTAACCCCGTAGGCAATACTCGTATGGAGACGTAGCTAGCGATCGAGGTTTTCAGAAAAAATAGAGCGGATTCTCTTGCGTTCCCACCACCGAGTTTGTCACACGCGCTAGACGTGCCATCGCGTCCCGCAGTGGGCTCAACTCCCAGCAAATCAGCCTTGCCCGACTCTTCCTGCAAATCGCGGCTCGCATGTGGCAATATCGTGGAGAATTGAAGGACGGGCGCTGCTGTGCATTATTCTTCGGTTATCGTCTTCTTGTGCTAATTTCTAGGTCTCCCAGGGTCAGTATTGGCTCGACTACAGCAGCGTAACAGGGGTGGCGGAGAAGAGAGGTTTTGGACGTGTAGATGCTGTTGCTTGCGGTTTCGGATTTTGGCGGAGCATGGAGCGAGAGCAGCACGGGGCACAGCAGCCTGGAACTGACTGGTAATAGCGTAGCTGTCAGGGGACGAGATGCTGCCGTCTGACTAGCCCGACTGAGAAATCCAGGAACAAGCGACAAGAATCGAGGCTCGTTTCGTCCATGATGGATCGATGGTGCGTCAGGCCAAAAAAAGCCACAAAACCGTCGAGGCCATCTTTTTTTTCTTTCCGAGCGCTGGACAGCAAGCCTCAGGGCTTCACGGTGGCTAGACAGGGGGTTATGGCGGGCCAGGATCCCCAAGAAGCCTAGCGCGCACATGCTGTGGCCACTTTGGCGCTGGGATCCCCTGACTCTTGACCATTTTGGGCACTGGCAAGCGCTGCGAGTTTCAGGGGTTTTTGGGGCACGGCGCTGTGGCAATTATGTTGCAGCCTGATGAGGGCATCAATTCTGCGTGCTGCTGCTGCTGCTGCTGCTGCTCAAGGGATAATGCACTCTCTATATCTGAATTGAATAGTATCTTCACTCTTCAAGTTCTGTAAGAGCTGCATCCGATAAACTGTGGCGTCAAGATTGCGTATCCAGTGATGCGTCTTTTAGAGGTTGACTCATTGAATCCTTAACGGGTAGATGATAGTGCTCTGTGCTCTCTGTAGTCCTCTGTAACAGTTCCATGCTCGTGCTGGCTATGTGTTTTTCCCTCTCCGAGTCTATCGATTTTTCTCTTCGTCTGTGCTATAATAGCCAAGATTAACCGGCAGCACTACTGCCATTGCCTACAGGTACTAACAGCTGGTGGTGGCGGCTGGATTCGCATTGCAGCCTCTCCCCTTTTCCATCTCAAGTCCAAAACACCACAGCCAGCCTTTCCTCTCCCACCTTGCGCGTGCAGACTCTCCTCTCTACTCACACCCGACTGATTGGCCAAATCAGTACAGTAGAGTCCAATCCTGCCTCTGCTCGTACAAGCCGACAGGCCTCAGTACGACTCTCACTTCCACTTCCACCCCGTGGTGGGCTGCAGGCCTGGCGCTTGTTTAATTAGGTACGGATAGCAAATCCACCCGTCCAAGGGCCCTGGACGCCCTTGTCCATCGACCTCCCGGCTTACAGAGACTTGTCCATTTTGATAGGCGAACGAGGACCCCGACCAGCAACCTGGAACTGCAATCACCACCAGGAACCAGCAGTCGCGATATCCACCCTCGATCAACCGACCGAAGAAGCCGTCACGCAAATCCAGACCTGCCCAGACGCTATTCGCGGTAGCTCTGCCCGACATATGCAGACATACACGTGTACTCCCTAATAGGCATTCTCTATCTACGCCTACAGACTCCATACAGTCTCCATCCAGACGCATCGCAGACGCCACGCATCGCCTGCCTACCTACCGGTACGAGTTCATGCACCAGCATCGCGTCCCCACCAGCCAGCAGGTGCGCAGATTGGATCAGAGCAAGACGACAAGGGGGGCCGTTGCGGACAAGAGTCGAGAGACGAAGAGGCAGAGAAGCGAATATTATTAGAAAATTTCAAATTCCTGCTACTACTAGCAGCAACAACGATCGGCGCGATACACTCCAGCCGTTAGTTGACGATCTGCTCTTCGACTCTTCGACTCTTTCTCTCTCTCACCATCGTCGCTCTTTTCTTCTGGGGCATCACCACGCGCTCTCTTCTCCCCCTTCCCTCATTCCTTTATTCGCTCGTTTACACCTTAATTCTTAATTCTGCCGATTTTCCCCCTTTGCCGCTGTAGCGCTGCCGCAGTCCCTGACTATTGTCGCTAGTGTTCGCGCCTCTGGGCACAAATACTCACTCAATCGCTTGTGCGCGTCTGCGCGCCGTGCAGTCCCGCTGGCTTGTGCGCGCCGTCGATAACGGGTCCCTACGGCCTTGGACCAGCTCTCGAGCTATTACGGAGCGTCGCTCCCTGGGTGACATCTGGGTCCGCTTCGCTTCACGTCTTGCGCCATGGCTTCTTCTCCGCCGGCCTCACCATCGCCAGCGCATAAGCTTCAGCGTCCCCTGAGCGCGATTGCTACTCGTCCTCAACCAAGGAGCAACAGTCGGTTGAGTATGAACAGCAAGCAAGGCGGCGAGAGCAGAGCCTCGGACGAGGACAACCGGACAGCTGTCCGCGTCGGTACGCATTTCTCGTTTACCTTCTTCTGGAGCTTATAAATGCACGTTTGGTGCCTGATCAAAAGTGAACTGACAATGAACGCCTCTCCTTCGCAGCTGTCCGGGTACGACCGCAATTGAGACCGGAAGATCCTGGATATGACTTGATTCCACAGCGCTTCCAGCGCCCCATGGTGCACGTCACCTCCAACACGAGCCTGTCCATCGATTCTCCCCAGGGCCGCAAGCTCTTCGTTTTCGACCGTGTCTTTGGCCCAGAAGTTAACCAAAGTGGCATCTGGGACTACCTGTCTGACAGCATCAATGCTTTTACGCAAGGATACAATGTATCCCTCCTTGCCTATGGCCAGTCTGGTGCTGGTAAATCACATACCATGGGCACGTCGAGCCCCGACGCGAATTCGGATCCCGAAGATATGGGTATGAGCTCTTCACCTTTGCTGCGATTTCAACTCGTACTTGCATATTTTCATGGCTACGCAATCGCCTTTCTGCGCGTAGTCCATACAGTTCTGCCTCGCTGACCACCAGTTTCCTCTCTTAGGTGTCATTCCCCGAGCGGCGTCCGCCCTTTTCGAGCATCTAGATGTACAGAAAGGCGGATCAAGTAGTAATGGCAGCACGATGAAGAGCGCGAGTAGCTTCAGGTCGCCGCCCCGTGGATATGGACAACAGAATAACCTGGGTGATCGGAATTGGGCGATGACGGCCACGTACGTCGAAATCTATAACGAGACGCTCCGAGATCTCTTGGTTGCAGACTCGACAGGGTTCAATGACCGGACCTCAGTCGCGATCCGCGAAGACGTAAAAGGCAACATCATTCTCACTGGCCTGCATCAGGTCGACATCACCTGCGTCGACGACATTCTCAACGCCCTCGACTTTGGCTCGTCCATTCGCCAAACCGATGCTACTGCCATCAACGCCAAATCATCCCGCTCCCACGCCGTTTTTTCGCTCAACCTGGTCCAGCGCAAGAGCAAGTACTCCAACGCCGATAAGCGTCACTCGATGCCTCTGGAGGCCATGAGCGGCCAAGACATCTCCGTAACCACCGATAGCAAGCTGCACTTTGTCGATTTGGCCGGTAGTGAGAGACTGAAGAACACGGGTGCCCAGGGCGAGCGTGCCAAGGAAGGAATATCTATCAATGCCGGACTGGCTGCGCTGGGGAAAGTCATTAGTCAACTTTCGTCGCGAAACTCGGGCGCCCATGTCTCATATCGCGATTCCAAGCTCACTCGACTTCTCCAGGACTCGCTTGGTGGCAACGCCATCACCTACATGATTGCCTGCGTCACTCCACCGGAATTCCATCTCAGCGAGACATTAAACACCGTTCAGTATGCTCAGCGAGCTCGCGCCATTCAGTCGAAGCCTCGAATTCAGCAGGTCGAAGAGGGAGACAAGAATGCCATTATTGAGCGACTAAAGGCCGAAGTAGCGTTTTTGCGCGAACAAATACGCAGCGCCAATACTGGGCTTACCGAACAGCCGCGCAGTGCTAATAGATCCAGCGAGCGATCGGATAGACAGAATGAACGGGACCTGGAGCTTCAGAATCAGCTTCTGGATGCACAAGAAAACTACAACACCCTGAGCCAACGCCATGCTCACCTGATTTCTGAAATGGCCAAAGCCCAGGAGAGCGAATCTGAGCACCATCGCCAGCTTGACGAGCTCCAAGGAGAGAACGCAACAGATCGACTGAACCGGTCCAACTCATTTGCCAAGGCGGTTGAGCAAGTCGTGCTTGAGTATGAAAAGACTATCCAGACGCTCGAGCAATCCCTGTCAAGCACCCGCACTACGCTGTCAAATACGGAAACAAACCTGCTTGAGAAGGAGACTAAGTGTGCCTATGTTGAGACGATCAACTCTCAGCTGCAATCACGCCTTCAAAAGCTCGCGGACCGCGAATCCCACACTGCAAACTATCTTCACGACCTGGAGACTAAGCTGGATGGGCACACCAGCGGCGAGGAAAAGAATGCTACGATTATCGTTGAACTCCGCAAGGAAATTTCGCGTGTTCGCGAGAACGAAGCTGCGTCCGAGGAGTACATTTCCACACTGGAAGAACGACTTGCTGAAGCAGATCAAGATGCCGAGCTCATGCAGCGAGAAATTGAACGGCTTGAGCAAGTCATTGAGAGGCAGAGGAGCTTGGGCAAGTTGGATGCTCTACTTCACGAGCTTGACCATGTCGACGAGTCCAAAGTACGCGACTCTGAAGATGAAACAAGCGAGGGCTCCAAAGCTCAGGAACACGACTCCGATGCGACACCAACACTCGCGCCTGTTGTCGAAAACGATGAAGATGCCGTCAAGGCGGTCGAAGAGCAGTCTGGTGACGATGTCGCCCAAAACCAGGTTACTGCACAGAACAAGTTTGTCTCCGATAAGCTGGAATTGGTGACTCGTGAACTATTTGACCTCCAAACTGAGCACGAGAATACCGTCAACGACTACGGTAGGCTGCATGCCAAGTATGAAGAGGCCAAGAAGAAGTTATCAGAGCTTCAGGACGCCATTGACGAGGCTCGCTACCCCAGCCAGGCACGCCATTCCATCATGTCTGTCGATGCTGCCACCGAGACTCGCCCCGAATCGTTCCAGTCTGCGACGACAAGCGACGCAAAGGATGACGTACGATCGTCGGTCCCTCGATCTCTGTCGTCTGAACTCTCTTCTGTCATTGACTCGCCCATCACAGCGGATACTACCCACATGGATCTCGAATCTGACGACGACACTGCTACCGCCAAGCCCGCCACATCTGTTGAGGATCTTACACAGGAACTTGTCGAGCATATTGGGCTGCGTGAGCAGAACGAGCCAAAGAAGAAGCCTGAGCACGTGGAGCACATTGAGCTAGCTGAACCCATTCATCAGCATCAAGTTGAGCATCACGATGTTGAACACGTTGAGCAGCGTGAAGTTGAGCAGCAAGAAATCGAGCAGCAAGAGATTGAGCAGCACGCTGAGTCAGACGATTTCGAGCTTGTTGAACCAGTTGAGCAAGCCAAGTCTGAACAGAACGAGCACAGCGAGCAGAATGAGCGTCTTATTGCGGAGCTTGAGAGACTTAGGGTCTTGGCCGAAGAGAAAGAAGCTGCCGAACTGGAACTGGCTATGAAATACGCCCAACTCGAGATGAAGCACCACGAAACGCTTGACATGGTTGAAGAGCTCAAGACAGAAGTCACAAAAGCTAGAACTGTCGAAGCCGGTCCTCGCGTAATCCGCCGCAAGTCGAGCCAAAACCTTCTAGGCGTGGATCGCGCTCAGCGATCGTTTGTCTCCCTAAGGAATCTTGCAGCCGAAAACTTTGAAGGGAAGCCCGAGACCATGCAGTCATTCGAACTAAGTCTCAACTCGGCCATCCATGAACTCCAGTCTCGTAGCGAGCGGATCCAGGAGCTCGAATCAGACGTGGCATCAGCTAAGAAGGAGATGGAGAGCAAAATGGCCATCATCTCAGGCTTGGCGCGTGAACGCTCCAGCTTGAAGGTCTCTCCTGTGGATATGTCAATGGTTGCTACTCTACGTGGTCAACTTGAGCAGAGCGAGAGGCAGCTGTCCGACCTGCGTTCGGCGCACGCTGCCCGCGAGCGCGATCTCACAAGCGAGGTCGAGATCCTCCGCAAATCTGTGGCATCCACTCCCACCAGAGAGTTCACGCCAAGCGACGAAGAAGAGACTGATATTCCTTACAACGAACGGGTTTCTACGCTACAGGCGGAGCTGGCTGGATGGGAAAGCAAGCATCACTCTGCCTTGGTGTCCATGCGAAGCACAGAGAGGGAGATGCAAGCGACTATTCAGCAGTTGGAGGCTCAAGTTGAGGCTGCCAACCTTCAGCTGGCGGAGTCAGAATCTCTTGTTGCAGCTGGAAGAGATGCCGAGGAAGCCAAGAAGGAGGTTCGCAAGCAGCAAGGGCTCATTGAGTTCCTACGCGGAGAGATTGACGAGTACAAGGCCGTCATCACCAGTAACGCTACCAAGGTGACTGAGCTCGAGGCTCTCCATCGATCTGCTCGGGCTGCAATGGATGACATGTCCAAGATGCACAGCGAGGTCACTGCGGAGACGACTGCTCGGCACCAAGAACTGTCTCATAAGTTGGAACAGTTGATTGCTAGCCACGAGGATGCTACAAAGGCACACCAAGAAGAAATGGAGGCTCTAAAACAGAATCACGCTCAAGAGCTAGCCGAGCTCAAGCACAACGAGCAGACAGGCTACGAGAAGCAGATGGAGGTGCTTTTGACTGAGCATTCCGAAGCTATTCTCAAACTAGAGGACGATCTCGCTCAGTCGAGAGACGAGTTGACAAACGTTGCTACCCAGATCGCTGCCGTCTTTGGTGCAGAGTTGCCCTTGGAAAAGCTAGGTGAGCGGATTAGGGCTCTCATCGCTGACCAGAAGAAGATTGGAGATCTTACGAACCATGTGACGGAGCTTTCCAACATCAACGATTCCCTTGTTCGAGACCTCGAGGGTGTCAAGACTATCATTGCGGGCATGCTCCCTGGTAACGCAAACGCCACGTCCGGTCCCCTGACGGATCAGCTCGCCGCAGTCAAGGCCAAGGTGGAAGATCTTGATGGCCGCAACAAGAAGAACTCTCGCCTCATCGAGGAACTCGAGGAACAGCTGCAGCACAACTTTGACGAGGTTCAAGTAACCAACAACCGCTTGAGCTCATTACAGTCTGAGCGTAATGCTCAGCTCGACGAGGCGTTGACTTCAAGACTGAAGCTCCAGTCTGAGCTGGAAACAGTTCGCGAGGAATATGCTACTCTCCAGGTAAAAATTTCCCCTCCCTTTCTCTAATCTTCACCTTTTGTAGCACTAAAGGCCTTTGCTAACTGTTGATAACAGATGAAGTACAACGAAATCATCAAGGGAGATGTCCAGCGATCCAACTCCAATTCGACAATCCGCAAGAGTTCTTCGCACAACTCTCTCCCATCGCCCCCTCCTTCCGTTCCCCTGCCGCCTCTACCCAATGGTGCCCCCGCAAACGGAGTGCCCAGCTCTCCCACATCAGCACGCCCACCCAGCAACAATTTCAATATTTCCCAAGTTACTGAGGATCAAGAGGCTCGCATCAGATCCATCGAGAAGCATCTTACTGCTGAGCGTAAAATGACGGAGACGTTGGAGCAGGCTCTTGGTGATTTGGAACTGCAGTCCAAGAAGGTCAAGGCGGACTGCGACGCCTGGAAGAAGCGCGCTCAAGAGCTCGAGGCTGAGCTGAAGGAAGTGAAGGAGCGACAAGTCGACCAGTCACAGGACAACCGCTTCAGCATGCAAGCAGTCGAAGAGGAGCGGAAGAAGAGACAGGCGGCCGAGGCTGCTCGAAGGCAGCTGGAAGAGAGAATGCAGGCCATCAACAAGGGCAAGAAGAAGAAGGGCAGCCTGAATTGCTTCTAAGCGACGTCCGTGACAGACGCAGCTGGTCGGCGTGGGGACTGCAGGACTATACCCCCAATTTATCTGCGCCTCGTAGGATCTCACTGCCTACTGCGGCGATTCAGATGGATGTCTTCTCTTTACTCCTTGGCTATGACGAAAACTCGCTCTGCTTAACTTGTTATAATTATCCTTCTATGAGTTCTTGATGATTGTTCTGATGGTGTTTCTGGTTTGGAGAGCAGACATATTATTACTACTTATATCTTGGTGTTGGCTTTCTACTTTTTCTTCTTCTTCTTCTTTCTCTTCTTGGTTTGGTTTTATTCAGCACAGCCGGGAGTTCATAACCCTGATTCACTTTATTTTTCGTCCTCGAAATGAACTATTTTCTTTTTTCTCCCTAGAGGCGAGCAAAAAATACTACATTATCTGCTCAAGGCTAGATGATTGGTGTATGTCATGATGCACGTTGTTTATTTTACCCATATATTTTATGTTTAGTTTACCTTTTTTTTTTTTTCTTCCTTCTGGTTGTTTGACTGTATATTGCAGTGGGTAGGCAGTTGGTATTATCTTTTAGTCTGATGATGCGGAGGGATCGTGTGTGCGAGGCGGACCTTGACGATGTTGGAGGAATTGTAGAAAAAGAAACAAGGAGAGATTGCATGGACCAGAAGAGCCATGTTATGAAAGGCCTTGGAGTTGATGTGATGGACATGGCACTTTGTAGATTACTTGTACTTTTTTGTAAATGGCTTTTTTTGGTTTTATTTTTTTTGAAGGTGCTGAATGTGAATATGCACTGCGGCGTGGCCGTGTTTCATATCTTACTACCTATTATTGAAATATTTATTATCTCTAGGCATTCGGGCTTGTTCTGAATATCCTCTCTTGCTTACGCTGATTGACGGTGTTTTGTTGGGTGGATTTATAATGCAGCTTGTGCGATAGAGGGAGAGACAAATGGGTAGGCGAGATTCCTAATCAATTATCCTTTTTGGGGGTGGGAGCAGATATCATGTATATGTCATAATAGACAAGCGTGTCTGTTGAACTGAAACTTGATAGGAATTGGATAAATGTTCTCTGTGATAGCAGAGCGTTGTGACTTGCTAGTAGCATTTACATGTGTATATATATATGCTTTTGGCTTGTAAAGCTATTGGAGGCTGCAGTTAGAGCCATAGAGACTGTAGCTTTGCGTAACAGTACATGTAGTGGCAAAGACTCAAGGTAGTGTTAGCTGTCTGTCTCTTGCTTACTGTACATGTCCCTAAGTACGCTTATGGCAGTTTTCTGCGAATTCAGCAACCGTCATGCTAAAGCTTGACTGAATCAGCGCCTATCAAAAAGCTCCGAGGCCCACCAAAAAAATCAATGCCTCCCTTCTCCAAGTCCCCTTTCCTCGATTAGACATTCACGTACATGTAGCAATTTTCCTTTTGTTCTTCATCTTTCTTTTTTATAAAGCTTCGACTTTTGTTCTTGTTGTTTTGAGCTGCGCAAATTCTCTCTCCTTTGTTGATCTGCAAAATAATGGCGCGATCGGATGAAGCACAGGCGTTTTTTCACGCTGTTTACTCGGCTGCTCAGCAGATTCCTTATGGCAAGGTGACTACTTATGCGCATCTTGCTTATTTGGTTGGCACGCGTATGTTTATGAATGAAACTTCTCTACTCGTCCAATATGAATGATTTTCATAAAATATGAAGATGGGCTTTTGATGGAATGATGATTGATTGAGACTAACATTGAAGAAACAGCCCAGAGGCCGAGACAGGTTGGCGTTTGTATGAAGCATCTGCCGCATGATGAGGATGCCATGTTTAACAGTTCGAATGTGCCATGGCAGAGGGTGATTAACTCTAAAGGGGCGGTATCGCCAAGGTAAGTAGTCTTTTATCCTTTTTTTTTCATCTCAATACGTGCTTTATGTGAATGGTTGTAATTTGCGTGTGTATGCCTATGTGGACTAATGCCCGTGAATTATAGATCACAACCTTCAGGCGCTACGAATCAAGCTGCTGCGCTGCGGAAAGAGGGAATTGAAGTGACACGGACCGCTACGGGAGAGTTTACTATTGATTTGGAGGTATACGGATGGTTTCCTGAAGAATTAGAGGAAGAAGAGTGAGCTTGATGACCACGATTGTGGCTAGGTTGGTAAGTGGCTCTTTGACTGCACTGATGAGAGAGGGCGCGACTAACGAATTTTCCTCTTATAGACTACATAAGTATACATAGTTGACATGGCATAAGAATACAAACCAGGCTTTTATCTCAACCACGCCGAGTTTCTGCTAGAATACAACCACCATCTGCTCTTCATTTTAGGTACATTACTCATCCCTCTGTTGAGAGTGGCATACACCCTCTGCCTTTCAAGATTACAATTTCCCAGCACACCTTTTCCAAACTTTCATTATACAGCTTGGAATCCCTGTGGAATCGAAGTGCTGTGGCCAATCCCGCTGTCTCGCGGGTTATGCTCACCCGGCGTCTGAGGCTTTGACCCATTCGTGCTACTGCTAAACTGTCGGTCATTCGAGGTAAGACGAAAGCCTGCCGCGCTCTTCTTGACGTTGCTATCGTCGTCTTGGCCCGGGTTGGCGTTGTGGTACTCCATCCATTTGAGAATGGAGTAGACTGCAAAGGCGAGCAGGGCGCCCATGAACGGCCCGGCCCAGTAGATCCACTGGTAGCCCGTGAAGCTGGTGACGACGCAAGGGCCAAAGGATCGCGCTGGGTTGATGCCGGTGCCGGTGAAGTTTGTGCCGCAAATGTGGGCGATGAAGACGGCGAGGCCGATGCCCAGGGGCGCCAGAAAGGTGGCGCGGTGCTTCTCCACGGCGAGGAAGTAGACCGTGATGACAAGCTGTGCCGTGAGGAACATTTCGATGAAGAGGCCGCGGGAGATGCTCGTGCCGGACGAGAGCTTGTTGGCGACGAGGAGAGGGCCTGGGAGCAGGGCGTCGGTGACTGCGGCGGCGGCGATGCCCGCGACAATCTGGGTTGGGAAGATGAGGAGGCCACGGAGCGGCGTTATCGCGCGGACGAGAACAAGCCCCAGAGTAACCTATGCCAGGAGTCAGTCGTTGATCATACTAAAGAGAGACATTGGTGAGAGACTTACAGCAGGATTAAACAGTCCGCCTGTCACTCGATAAAACACCCAGACGTTGACGGCCAAGGCAGTTCCAAAAGAAGCAGCAATATACATCAACGAAAAGGGGAAGAGAGGTGCGTCGGGGTTTCCTGGCGAGTTGTTGTCGATGGCGGCCTGAGTGCCGATGTAAGCTGTGAGGAGAAACATAAAGGTTCCGCAGAACTCGCCGAAGACGACGACGAATTCGTTGCGGAACCTTTCACGGGAGATGGCGGGTCGATGCATATTTGGATAGGTTTATATTACGCCTAAAGATAGCTTGGATGGTATTGAGGAGGATATTGGGATGTAGGGCTTTAAGAAGAGGGACAACTGAAGAGGTGAAAGAGAAGAACGAGGGAGATGAACCGATTTGGCCTTGCTATTTTATGTATACAGACTCCCTGGGCTATCTGTGCCAAGAAGCTTGCCAGATGTGATTCTGTGGCCATCTCTCGCTTCGCTCCTGCTCACATGAATATCGACCATGGTTACCATCTGCACTCCGCATTCCTCTTCTCGGCAAAGTCCTATCCGATTGACGGAAAACTTTGATAGCTCAAACTTTGTTGTGATTGGTTTCAGCATCTAAACACACGGAGATCTCGTTAGGAGCTCCATATGGGGATAAATCAAGAGAAGGGTGGCTTATGATTGACTGAGATGGCCAAAAGCTGTGGCGTCTAGATGGAGATCGCCGTTGGTGATTGGATCTACGAGAAATCAAGTTGGCTGTTGTGTTCACTTTCGGCTCAGAGGATTTGCAAATATTGGCTTAAATACCTGATTCGTCTACTTGGGAAGAAGCGAAGTGCCGAAGCTTGAGCTGACATGGTCGTCTTGATTATAGCACATGTCACAATTCGTGGCTGTACCAGCGGCGTGGGATAAACAGTTCATACAATGTAAATCAATTTACTATGTTGTCAGACGGGGGTGATTTCGATTCATCTCAACAGAGATACCCGTCACACATGAATCGGGCCTCTTTGCAGGTATCCGCGTTACAAACTACAGCTTACACCAAACGATACTCAGAGGATGTCGAATTATCATATAGAGCGAAACCTTGACCCCAGTTTAGCTCCTCCACAAGACAAAACGCCACCCGCTTCTCTGCCAATATCAATTGCATAAATTATAAATTAGCGGCAGTTCAGCTTGATTGTTCCCAAAAAACCTTATCTTGGCGCGGGCAAGCCCTTGAAGCTGGGAGATGCCGTGTTCGACTTTTTGAGTTTTTTGCTCCTTGGCGCAGCCACGCCCCAGCCGAGAATTCCGGTTCGTGTTGATCACCGCCTACGGGAGCACTCGAGCTTCCCGGTCTAGTAGCTGCCTTTAGTCCTGACGATCACCTGCGGGTTGGGGTTGCTAAGCGGTTCCATGGCGAGACCCTTGATGGAGTTCTTGTGGGAGTGGCATGGGAGTGGGAAAATAATACACCACCGCACATCACATACAGGTTAGAGTGGCAGACTGATGGTGTTTTTCAATGATTAGAGTGATGGGAGGTGGCGTAAGAGACAATCTTTTAATATCAACATCCCTGGCGGGCTGAGCTGCGGGTCTTTGCACGCATGCGGCTGAGACATTCTGTCAAAAGCCTACCAGGACCCTACACGCAGCTCCTAGACGATGTGACTTGTCGTGTGGGATTGGCTAAACCAGACGGGACCCTTTGCGTGGCTAATGGGAATTGCAGAAAAGCCAGTTGGAGTCCGTGGCAGCCATTCTTGAAGATGATGTAAAGGGCAAATTCTTAAATGGACACGGGACAATTAGAGTTTCTCGCATCTTTTCACATATTGTGTAGCCAGCCAACAAGTGCAGGAAAGAGGGGGAAACCACAAAAGTAGAACTTGTTAAGAGGGCCAATGACAACTCTGTATGGGACGGCAAAGGAAGCCTCACAGGGCGCCGTGGCGCGATGCCTCTTGTTTTTTACTAAAAGATGGAGGAGTGGACAATCAATCAAACCGTCATACAGAGAGATGAGATGGATAATGTAATTCATATATTCGTTCAAAGCTGCAAGTTATCGTTACTTCATCTATGATACATACGTCGAAGCGTTCTTCTCCCTCTTCCTTAGTCATCTCAACATCTTCAAGCGTATTTGATGTCGCCATCGTATGGACGAGGTCCACTCTCAGCGTACGAAGGAGGAATGGCGACAGCCGGGTATGACTGCTCGTGATTTTGCCCTTGGCTTTGACCCTGCTGAAAGTGGCTTGGCGAAGCTGGCGGCTGCTGTTGGTGGTGCCCTGGAGTTGTGGGACGCTGCTCATTCTCGTGGGATGATGCCTGCAAGACACCAGCCTCGGCCCCCTTTAGGACGCCAAATAGTGTGTGAGCTCCGGCAGGCCACATTCCTGGAGGGCCCTGTGACGGGACTTGGCCCTTTAGAATTTGGTCCACCGTGACACTCTGGCCGTAAAAGGCGGCGTTTGCGTCTTTGCGCTCGGCGACTACGGTGCCGTCGATGCGGATGCCGGCGTAGAAGCCTCGTGATTTGACGTACGAAAAGACGGGCTTGGCGGCGCTGGCGCTGAGACTGCGTCTGTGGCTCTTTTTGTCTGTCGACTCGGGTTGCAGGTTTTGCTGTGACTGCTGCTGCTGCTGCTGTGCCTGCTGTGAGTCTTGTCCATGAGACGATGAAGGACGGCTGTTGCCTCTGCTGCTGCCTCCTCTCGGATCCAGCGACGTGCCAAACTCAACGGCCGCACCCGCTCCATACGGCCCAGCCACCACGGCCAGATCGCTGCCGAGGCTGACACGCGTGTTTGTAAAGGCCGCAAGGGCCTCCCTGTTGTTGATCACACAGACGCAGTCGTAGATGTCGAGGCCGATCTGGAAGCCGCCGCCGACAGAGTGCAGCTGGATGCCCGAAGGAGGACTCCAGGATCCGTCTGGGAGCCGCGCAATGAGGATACCGGAGCCGGTGGCACCAGAGACTTGGAAGCCGGCCCGGAGCGTGGTGAAGATGGCCAGGCCGACTGCCTTGGAGATGACCTTGGGAGGGATCGTGACGATGACGCGGTTCTTGGGCTTTTCTTTGGTCGGATCGATGACTCTGTCGGTCGATTCGGCGGCGTTGGGGTCGGTCGAGGTGGGCAGCGACGTCCCAGCAGGGTCGGCATAAACTCCTTTTTCTGCGCATGGTGAGCTCGTGATATTCTATTGTTAGATTGGGAACAAGCAGTATATATGCGGCTTACTGCAGAAGGCCTTTAATATCGTCGCAGCCTTTTCGCACTCCTTGTCCAGCGTCTCGGGGAGGAAGCTCTGGCTGCCCAGCTTGTGCGCGATGCTGTTGATGGGCGCAGCGGCCTTCATGCCCAGCGCAGAGAGGCGCTCGCTCCAGCCGCTCTTGTGCTGTCCGTGGTCATCGCCGTATGCGAGAGGGTCTGGAGACGGGCTGTGCTGTTGGTGTTGTTGTTGCTGCTGGTGTCCTTCTGCGGAAGGCTGGTATCCCGAGGGACTGGCGGGTTCGTTGAGGGCATTCGAAGGCGGCGGCGCAAAGACGGGATTCGCAGGATTGTAGGCGGGGATGGAATACGCAGAGGTCTGTTGTTGTTGCGTCTGAGGCTGGTAGGTCTGGGGGTTGTATGTTTGGTTTTGCTGCTGCTGGTTGTGTTGCTGTGAGAAGTCTTGGTTCTGTTGGTGCTGCTGAGGTGGCGGCGGCGGAAACTGCTGCTGTCCAGCCTGCTGATGCTGTTGGAGGGGATCGTGAGGAGGTTGCTGCGATTGCGGCTCGGACTGTTGTGGCGGTGGAGGGAAACTTGGGTGCGTCTGTTGCTGTTGCTGTTGCTGTTGCTGCTCTTGGTGTGGTTGAGGAGGAGGAGCAAACGTTGGATATGGCTGTTGCTGTTGTTGCTGAGGAGGAGGACCAGGAGGAGGAGGCGGGAAATACTGCTCGCCTGGAGCTTGGTTCTGCTTCTCGAAACTAGACATTATGTGCTGTTACTGGATGTTGGTTTGGTCCTGGTTCGCGATTGTCGAAATGGCTGTATTGAACTATCTCTTGCTGTAGATAGTTGATCTTATGAACTGGTATGTTAGACAATGCTGTTGTATCAAGATCATGTCTACTGCGGGGAGGCCTCAGCAGCGTCGCGATCAGCTTCAGCGGGGCATCGTTGACATCATGCTTAGCGTCTGGAGCTCTATCTGGTGACTAAGCCCAATGCTTGAATCCATCGCGCTAATAGGGCGAATAACAGGCTGTTTAGCTGGTAAATCTTGCTCGTACGATGCTGATCTTGTGTTGATCGATAGAATCGCAAGGCGTACATATTTACACGGGTAAGAAAAAGCCTAACTTTTGCGATTGTACATGTGGGTGATGACTGGGGCAAGCCGGCTGCATGATGCATGATGCATGTAAGTGAGATGGATACACGTAGATAAGAACAGACGCCTGCCCAATTGGCCACAATGGATTCACGGCATATACCCCATGAGTGTGTTCATCGAATTTTGAAGACCAGTAGGGAAGATAGATGTTGTACCCTCAGCACTTGGTTCAAGGATCTGTGGCTTGTCACTTCGAGATCTGGCATACAATAACTGATACTGTATTATAGCGCACTTGATGTAAGTGTTAGAATAACGTGCAACGCATCTCAATTAGGCATCAAACAAAGAGAGTAATGATAGACTTTTCATAATTTTATTCAAGTTGAATAGATTCCTTTTTCTTCCCATTCTATTTCCATGCGCCGGTCGTTGTCTAAACATGAACATCCAACGTCTAGCACCACACATCATCATCATACGCCTCAATGCCGACACTCTCAGCAACTGCCCTGATCCCGCTCACCATCCGCTCCACATCATTCGTCTTGATCGGCAATCTGTGACCTCCGTCCCACTCTATCAGCTTGGCCGTGCCCCTTTTGCTGTACAGCTTGAACAGCCGTCGATGGTTGACGAGATTCCCGTCCTGCAGCCCATGCACGTGCAGAATCGGCGTCGTGATCAGATGCTCCCCCTCGGTGGCGCCCTCTTCGGGCCAGTCTGGGAAGAGATCCATGCGCTCATTGGCATACGGCATGTGAGGTGGCTTGGGCAGCTTGCCGCTTTCGTCGAGGAAGACGACGGGGCCAGGCGTCGCGATGAGCACGGCGAAGCGGAAGTTGACTCCCGGCAGCGGCCTCTGGGCCTCGTCGAGGTGCTCCTGCGACCACAGCAGGTTGGCGGCGATGATGCCGCCCTGTGAAAAGGCCAGCAGGCCCACCCACTCGCCGGTGCCGCGGTCCTCGTCCATGGCCTTCTTGAGCTGCTTCACAATCGCCGTCGACGCAGCGGCAGCATCCATCTCCTGGTGCTCGGGCTTCCAGCGCAGCCACCGGTAAAAGGGCGCAAACTCGCCAAAGACGGCGACGACGGCCTCGTCCGCGGGCGCTTCGGCAGGGGCGTCGGCAAAGACGAACCGGAACGTGTCCTTGAGGCTGGCGATGATGGCCCGGCACTGGATGCGGAAGACCTGGGCGTTGACGCTGGCGCCGTGGAGGCACAGGATGCGCGGGAGGCTGAGGTCTTCGCCGCTCATCTTTGCGGTCGCTGTCGCTGTTGGGGATATGAAGAAGCCTGGCCAAGGATTCGTGTCACGTCAACTGGGCACCACCGACTTTATATTTTACAGCAGATATTGTGCGCCCAATATGGACGGATTCGTCTCACGGGCGAAGGATTGCTGTTGCGACTGCTACCCAGTGTGACAGTGTAAGCGGCCTGTAATGCACTCTGATGGAGCCCCGCCAGGGTGGCATGCGTTTGCTTGTCCGCGTCAGATTCGTCTTGTTGGGTATCTGTGCTGAACGATTATGAGCCATTCCGCGTGAGGCATATTTCGTATGAAGGCGTGCTGAACGTGAGCAGATATGGAAGCTGAGTGGAGATGTGCCTGTTCGCTGCCTTGCTGGGACCAAAAAAGTAGATTGTAGAGAGGGATGAAAGATACCTAAGGTAGTCAGCTATTGCTCTCTTCGTTTTGTTTGGAGTATCCATTCAAGCGCAAGCGTCTATAGGCGCCTCGCATCCACATCTTTCCATTGGTTAATCCTGGTTTGTTTATGAGATGGGGTCGGGTACTGCCAACAGCAACAAGTGTGAGTGCACCCAACAATGAAGGGACTTTCAATCTATCGTAGCCAAGCTACATTTTAAATGTACATATAATCAGGGTGGCCGTCTGCGCAGCTATCCGCATCAGATGCGTCGCCAGACATCGTTAAAGGTATGCAGGTGATAGCCAAAATCATCTCAGTAATCCATTAAACCAATATACTTTATATCCGCCTTTCCATGAAATAGCCTTCTAGAAAAGAGTCCCATCTCCATCAATCAGTATCGGGCTGGATCTCGTCTCTGGCCGGTACTTGGCCGCCAGCTCTCTGCCGCTCTTCCAAGACCCAGCCTCCAGCAGCTGCGGCAGCGACAGAGAAACTCCTTGCGGCGCCAATATGCCGTTGACAAGCTTGTGCAGCTCATCCAAGAGAGCCACCGTCAAGCCTCGCCATTCCACAATCACGTCTCCGGTAGACGCGAACAGCGGCAAAGCTTGCCCCGAAGCCTTGACGCCTTGGCTGAGGACTTCGGGCTTCAGTTTGAGGACGCCCATGTCGACGAATAGCCCTCCGTTGCGGTACTCTGGCAGGCCTGTGCCTGTCTCGATGTTGATCCACTTGAGCTTCAGTACTTTCATAAAGGGCACGGTGAGAGAGTATCCCAGCCACTGTGTCAGTTTGTGGAATGGATGGAATCCAATTGTTGGATTCTTGTTTTCGCCGGCCGCGTCCTGTAGAAGTTGGAGCGGCCATGCGTCTCCAATGGGCTGGCCATTGATCTTGGGGCGGTTTGATGGCCACGCAGGGAGTAGAAGGCGCTGAAGGATGCCCCACAGTGTTTCGTAGTTGAGGTCTTTGTCTTTGCCATCTTTGAGGAGGAAGTCTATGATGACAGATGAGTGATGTTTCAGAAGAAATAGAAGAAGTGCCGTCTTTACTTACCAACAAGCAACCCAGGCCTACCGGTTTCGCCAAAGACGTCTGGGATAGCAAGAAGAGATTTTCCAAAGTTGTTCAATAGTTCAATTCTGGATGCAGAGCCCACGATGGGATTCTGGGGCCCAACTTGAAAGTGGCGAATGAATGCGTCTTCTGTGAGCTGGCTGAGAGCACGTCCTATGCATAGTTAGCCCACCGACGAAAATCCTCTCAGAGGAAGAAGGAATCCTTACCATCTACAGCAGACTTGTTTCCGTCCGGAGATGAATTAAAAGCTCCGTCGTTAAACATGTACAGCGAAGCAACGGCGATGCCCTCGCTGCGGCCATACGACTTGTCACTTCCAGGCTCGCGAAACGACCAGGTGTCTCCCGCTCCAGCGTCGAGCAGGACCGACACGAAGAATAGATCAATGAGGCGTCGAGTGATTTCTACATCCTCCACTTCGCCATCTTGCCATTCTTGTACAAGATTTTCCAGACGCGGGACGCCTCCGATGCTGAAATGCTCCCACCTTCCATGGGGAGGAATCTCTGCATATCGGTCGGGGCCAAAGTCTCGCTGCAAGTACGTGAATTAGTATTCGACCGTAATATGACGCAAGAAGCTGTCTGAAGAAAGTGGTTATATAGAGAAGCACATACGGATATCACGCCGGCCACAAACTCGGCCGTCTCCTTCATGCGACTCTCATCGTAAATAAAGTTGTTGAGGCTCCCCTTTTGGGCCCGGTCAAGGACGATTCGCGAGCGCTCTCGGACAGCCTGGAGGCTCTTAAGATATTCGATATCAGAAGCGAGATCAGTCGCCATCTTGTGTCTTTTGTATGTCTAGAATATGTGCAGCACTTGAAACAATTGTAATTGTATGAATTCATATGAAGAAGCAAATGTCAACCTGGCAATCATTAAGCTTCGTCTCTCCCAATTCCGACCCAACGATAAGCATCTCCAATTGCCCCCGCCTTCTCCAGATCCCCGCAGTAGCGCCGGAGCTTGCCGAGCAGTACCGGACACTGCCGGCTTTGTCTCAGCCATCTTGCTGTTTACACGACAAGTACAAAAACACAAACATGCACAAAAGAACTGAAGACATTAGATCTGCGAGGTAGCAGAACTTATTGAAGGAAACAGGTCTGGTTGCAGTGAAGAGTGGGGAACTTGAGCTAAACTGCTGGCATGAACAAAAAGGATTTAGGCCCCGAGCCTACCCTTGACCTCAGGCACATTGCGAATGAAGGTGTCGAGATTATTTATCAGGGGCCGCTCGCAAGGCATGGGTAAGGTTACTTGATTAGCCGTTATCTCAGCTCATCGGACAATTGAAAGAGTCCCAACGCATGTTGTATGGCAGCTGGACTAGTGCTACAGGTAGGATAACAAGGTTCCATTGAAGATAACAACCTGCTCCGACGATCAGTCTGTCAGCTATCAATTAGACGTATGTATGTATGTATGTACAGATAAGATGTGGGTAAAGAGAATGAACGTCACAGATAATGGATTTTGAAATATCCACACCATCTCCTCTCCTCATCGATTTACTTCCTATCTGAATCCTGCCTTTATCTTCCATGCAAAAGATAACCCAGTGCAAGCAATAAAAGCCAGGCACGAAAACAGCCGCTCACGCTGACTCGGTGTAAAATGCCGATGTTGGACCCCTCCACCTCTCTAACTTACAGCCTAGAATAGACTACCTCGTGTGGTGCTGCTGATCCTGTTTATACTGAAAACTGCCATAATGGTAATAGCGGAACCACTCGATTCTGCGTAGCTGCGGTTAAACGGCATGAAGAAATCGCAAGAGAAATCCGCTGCCTGGAGTTTGCGGGGAAGTTGAATCCGCTATCTGGACCATCTCCGAGCCTTCGAGCGCTTTAGTTAGCTCTGAAGTCGCTGAATTACTAGATCTAGCATGGTGAAGCGAACAAAGCTAACATTCAAGAAACCGAGTAATGCTCAATAGTGAACAGGCTTCGCTTGAGGCATCTTTTGGCGGAGTACATAAAGCTCTGGTTGCCATGAATGTCATAGTGGCTGGTGGAATCTGTTTTAGGCGCGCCTTTGGTCGAGTTTAGCGCAGTTTCGAATGATTCCCTTCCCGATAAAGTCTGAATAGCCCTTCAGCAATGCCTGCAGTTACCCTAAATGGCCTCTGTCCCTATTCAATGCGTCCTCAAGCCATAACTCAGACTGTGCTGTAATCATCTTAAGCTATCACCCGCCTTTGTCATTCTAGAAGGCATTGATTAGTATGGCTATCACAAGTGCATGATCATTTAGCCGACTGTACCACATTCTCCGGCGACCTAGAGAATTGGGGCCATGGTCCTCAGCTTGAGGAGCAACGGCTGCACAGTTGCTCGTGCTCCTGTCTCATGCGTTTCGGTGCTTTAGTTAGGGCCAACAACAGATCAATATCCTCCAAATTGCTACTGCAGGGAGAATCAAGACAGCTCAAAATGCTGAATGTACCCTACAGCCAATTCGATGTGGAGCTTATCGGAGTTCCTGGCTACACCCCGAGTTACCCCAGGTCTCGCTCCTACAGATCGTCACCCCGGTTCGCAATCCCCATGTAACTAACCCTCTGCTAGCAAAATCACTGCCTCGTTAGCACGCGGTTTCGGTCTTGTGACGTCGATGTAACGCTGATCCAATTCCCAACCCGTATCTTGTAGATAGGGAGGCGTAACTTGTCGATATAAAGACCCTCGGCTTCCTGCGGCAGTCCGCTATCGGTCAACTTCCATGCATGTTGTATAAAAGGCAAAAATCGCCAGTCGTGCTGATTTTCTTTATGCTATCTTCTACCTTTTACAGAGCTTCGCTCAGAGAATAGCATCAACACCGTTACCATGCAGAGTCCAGAAGTGGACATTGACGAATCTCAGATCCCCGGCACGGTTCTGCTCGTTGACGTGGAGCACACCGCCGACGCTCTGCATTCCCAGAGCAAAGACAACATCATCCTTATTCCAACACCGTCGAATGATATAAACGACCCTCTCAATTGGTCGACATGGCGAAAACGCAAGCATCTCATTTGCCTGATAGCGTGCGTCTTTAACCTTTCTCAAGTCCACCTACTGAATTGTCAATTCGGAAGCTGACCTCGCAATCGCGCCGCCTTAGCTTCACGCTGTTTAATGGCATGACATTATCTGTCGTGTATTCACTTCTTGTGCCTCTATCAACAGCTTTAGAAGTCAGCGGTCCGTACCAGAGTAATCTATGAACGAAGCATAAAACCTCCTCTAACATACAAACTCGTGTGCAGTGAGCGACCTCAATGAAGGAACGGGTTACATGTTCTTGCTATGTGGCTGGGGCCTGCTTTTCTGGCAGCCCTTTGCTTTACAGTACGGAAAACGGTTGACATATCTACTCTCTATGCTTGGTTGTATAGTAAGTGGTAGATTCTTTTGTACACTCCCATCCTCCCAGTGAGATCTGACATTCGCAGGCCGTCTCCGTCTGGAGCCCCTATGCCAAAGGCCAAGGCCAATGGATCGCTCGAAACATCGTCACAGGCTTTGTTTCCGCACCAATCGAAGCTCTACCCGAAACGTCCATCACAGACATCTATTTTGCCCACGAGCGAGGAACGTACATGGGATGGTATGCGTGGATTTTGGCCACGTCCAACTATTTTGCGCCTGTCATCTGCGGCTTCATCAGTGACAGCATGGGCTTTAAATGGCCATTTTACTTTATGGCAATTTTCGACGCCGCTTGTTTCATCTTTCTCTTCTTCTTTCTGGAAGAGACAAACTACGAGCGCCAAACGGTAGGAGTCATCTATGCGGAAGACTCCCAAGAGGGCGTGGGTGAAAAGACGTCGCCATCGGCTGCTGCGGCGGCCAGTAACAAGGACGAAGAGGCGACTTCTTCCTGGGCCAATAATGATGGTGGTAGCAGCGGAAATATCGTCCTCCAGGGTGTCGAGAAAACTTATTGGCAGAAGCTTTCGCTGCTTGACAAGTCGCGGCCATTCACGATGCACAAACGAGCATGGCAGATTCTCCGGTTGATCGCCTGGCCAGTCGTCTTCTATTCTGGCTTTTCATACGGCACGTACCTCATCTGGTTCAATATTCTGAATGCGACTTCGTCCATCGTACTTGGTGGTGCCCCGTACAACTTTCAGCCTAGCATCGTCGGCTTGAGCTATCTTGCCTGCATAGTGGGCGTCATTATTGGGTAAGCTTATCTTGCGACTGTCTTTATCTACCTATTCAAGGAGACTAATGTTTGCTTCAAAGATCTGCATACAGCGGAATCATCTCGGACTGGTTCGTCATCAAGCTGGCGCGACGCAATCGTGGAATATTCGAACCGGAGCAGCGTCTTTGGCTGTTCGCATTGACCACGATCTTGGTGCCGGCCTGCCAGATCCTCTGGGGCGTGGGTGTAAGTTGTCGACAGCCTGATTCTCAAGCCTTCATATTGCTTTGAGGTCTTGTACGAATGCTGACTTCGCAAAGGCTGCCCATCACGTCCACTGGTTTGGACTCATTGTCGCAATGTGTTTTCTCGCAGCTTGCAACACAGCCGGAATCACACTATCAATCGCATACCTCGTTGATTCGTATCGAGAAATATCGGGAGACGGCCTAGCATCATGCATTATTATTCGCAACACGATGAGCTTTGCCATTGGTTACGGCATCACACCGTGGTTGGACGGCTTGGGGCTGCAAAACTGCTTCATCAGCGTCGCGTTTGTTGCATTGGCCATCTGCGCAATCTTTTTGCCCATGATCTTTTATGGTAAAAGGCTTCGAGGTCTGAAGCGAGAGAGCTATTGGAAAGAAGTGAAGCTTAGGCAGGAATAGGGACAAGCAGCTGTGAATGCACTGGGCACATTTGCAAGGATTCAAAGGTTACAGTGACTGGTGTATCGTAGTGTCTCGCAACTCTCGTAAACTCTTCTTCGCAACCAAGGCAAGCCTCGAAAGTGCAATGAAAAGAAAAAGCCTGTCAGACGTCCATCGACATCCACCCTGCCAGCGCGCCCGAAGGCAAGACCGCCGACAGGGTCGAGATCATCAAGAGAAGAAACAACTCTCTATACAGCAGATGCACGAGGCTTCTGCCGCCATCCTTGCGGACGGTGCGAGAGGACCAGAAAATTCACTCTTGGATGTCGAGGATATGCAATCATCAACCAGGGTGGATTCGATGGCTCTTTTGGGAACCAAAGCAAGAGACAAATACTATAGAAATGATTCTCCTGGTGAAGTTGTTAGTACCACGGCCACGCTGCAGAAGACCAAAAGCTAGGGGTGCACATACTGAAGTATTGTCGACGTGAAGAAGAAAAGAAAAAAATTCCAAAAGCTCGTCGCCAAAACGAAAATTTATACCACATCTTGCTGGGTGGGGCCCGCATCTCGGCCCGAAGCCATCCCGAGTGAATGGTGCATATTACATAATCACGCCCATTGCGAATGAAGTGAAGTGAGGTGTATAGAGGGAATAGTTCAAGCTGTGATGCAACATCTAATGTTAATTGCGGCCTGTATGCTTTATTTACTGTATTGCTATCGGTTTGATTAATTTGACACAAGTTCGTTCATGTACCCATTCGATGATGAGACTGCTGCTATCTACACGTGTGGCCTGACTTCTACGACAGCAGCAGCAAATTCCGCGGGTTCCACAGTGACAGACTTATTAGAGGACAATGTAAGTATTCGCAGCGCGGAATATATGTCCAAGGCGGCGGAGATATCACTGCGCTTGAATGCTGAGCATGGAGTACATTTGTGTAAATGCACGCTCACTGCTGATAAACATGGAGTGAATTGCACGCAAACAGCACGTGTGTCTTACTGTCAATACAAAGCGGTATGCATGTTGCGTCTACTGAAATCTCTCACCAACATGCACGTCGTGTGCAAAGGCATGCGACTCTCATGATGTATTTTGCCCAATACAGGTCTAAATCACCTCCGCAGCTCTATACAGATGGTGTGCGGAGCGGTAGTCACTTCGCTTGGATTGTTTTTGGCGGAGCAGCGGACTACTAGCCGGGGCATGTCCCAGCAGCATGGATGAATTCTGATGCCGACTTGGTCAACTCTAATCCTGGCTCCGCTCCCTTTGATTGGCTTGGTGCAGCAAAAGTGAAGCTTAGCGGCGGCTTAATTAGTCACTGTGCAATTTACAGCTTGCCCATTTTTGTTCTCGTTCTCGGTCATCTTCTCCACTATAAGTTAAGGGGACTTTGTCAGTGACAGAGCCTCTCGAGTATGTCTGAGGTATTGTAAACTTCAATTCAATGAAAAAGTAAAGTCCGCACGAATGGCCAAGCGGCATAACTTCATGTTCCGTGTCTGCGAGAATAGAGACGAAAATAGGAGGATGCGGAATCTTGAGAACTTATTTCCCTTTTGTCTTATGGATAGCACATATATATAGCTGCACCAGCACGATAATCTTAAAGTCAACTAACAATAAAAACCAACATTCGCAAACATATCAGGATACCATCACACACAAATTTTCTTTTGAAAACATGTCTCCGGCCTCTACTGTTGCTAACCGCACCGCCTTGGTGTTTGGCGCCTCTGGGATCACTGGATGGGCCATATTGCGCGAAGCTCTTAACTATCCAACAAGCTCAACGTTTCATAAGGTTATTGGTCTGACAAATAGGCCACTGGATCGTTCGAAATCCTTTTTACCTGAAGATGATCGGCTTGTGATTGTTCCCGGGGTTGACCTCACGGCGGCTGTGGACGACGTGGCGGCCAAGCTAGCTGGTATCGATGGCATCAAAGACGTGACTGACGTGTATTTTGCTGGTACGGCCTCCCCTCTCTTTTCATATAGACCAAAATTCTAAAATCTACAACGTGTACAGCATATGTGCAGCCCGCCGGAGCTTCTGATTTTGAGGGATTTGAGATACTCAAAGAGATCAACGTTCGAATTCTTGAAACGGCAGTCCAGGCAGTCGAGCGAGTTAGCCCAAACTTGAGATTTTGGACGCTACAAACAGGCGGAAAGGTTTGTAACTCATGGCTGATAATAACGTTGTATGTCTTTCTATAAAAACTAACTCTCTCCTTTTCAGTCATATGGCTTTATACACGTCCCTCAGTTGGGGTTTCCCAAGGTCCCAGCCAAAGAATCTGACCCAAGAATTCCTCAGCCATATGAAGACCAAGTATTCTATTACGCCCAGCACGATTCACTTCAGAAGTTGTCTGCTGGGAAGAATTGGCGCTTTGCTGAGATTCGCCCCGATTTAGTGGTAAGATGGAGCTAGCCTTGATGATTGGATCTGAAGTGAACTGACATTATTAGATCGGCTTTGTGCCGGGTGGCGGTAACGCAATGAACTACGTTCAAGCTCTGGGCATCTTCCTCAGCTTTTATGCAGATCGTGAGAAACAAGAACCGAGAAAAACCATTCCCTATCCTGGACCTCTCGCTGTATATAACAGCCATTATACTGAGATTGGTCAGGCGACGTTGGCTAGAGCACACATCTTTGTTTCAAACTTGGACGGAATCGCAAATGGTGAGATTTTCAACGTCGGCGACTCTCCAGTCACTGCTGGAAACAACTGGGCTGAGAAGTGGGTGTCCATCTGCGCCATGTTTGGTCTCGAAGGCGTTGCGCCTGGAGAGACTCCCAGTTTAAGCGTGTCGAATTACATGGAACAGCATCGTGAGGAGTGGGCTGCCTTTGAGGCGAAGCATGGCTTGACATCGGGTATCATTGGAAAGACCAGCTGGGAGTTTATGGACGTGCTTACTTCAATGCCTGTGTTCGACCGTCATTATGATTTGTCCAAGATCACGACTGCAGGATTTGATAAACGCTCAAATGTGTTGCAGAACTACGAAGAGGCTTTTGATTTGATGAGGGCTGCAAAAATGATTCCATAGATCAGGACTGGCAAGTTGTGTCGGCCTTTACACTGATGTTACCGCTACAGGTAGCAGAGCGGGTAATGCCTAGTGAGAATATATGTAGATCCGCATAGATGAGCTGTGAATCCTCCCTGCTTTTCAGTCTTATTCTTCTCTGCTCTTGATATGCATGCGTCTTCATTGTGACAGCTGGTATAATCATAGGATTTACTGATCCAGTACTCTAAATGGATCAAATCATGGTAGCGAGTTCTACATCAATAGTTGACAGACATCTAATATATACTTGAGCTGACAATATTTCCGTATAGCTGGCTGATCAAGGCGGCGGCGACATACGAATTAGATTGACACAACTATTGTATCTGACGGATATAAAAGCAAAAGCAACCATGCCTTGCTGATGATGATTGATTCATCCCAAAGGAAGAGATATAATACAGTGTGGCTCAATACATCAATGTCTACACATACTCGTGTGGTCGAATGCTTGCAGCTAATTTTAGAACCTTTTACAGCCCCAAGCGCTAAAACGATAGCCAAAGATACTAGGTGCTAAATCTGCCCGTGCCTGATTCTTACCATCAGTAGGAAAGCTCATTTCGGGGCAAGTGAGTTAATAAAGCGGCATATCCTGGTATCCTTTTCTGTACATTGTAAACTATAGTGCATCTAAAGCGGCGTGGTTTTGTTATTCCTTGCAGCAATGATTCTTGCTGACCCTTATTGGCTCATCTGCCTGTAGGCTAATAGATTGTCGCTCACTCGGGCACAAGTTGTAGCCGAACGAGCGACACAACTAACGTTTTTGAGCCAAACATAGCCACCGAAGGATCTGGCGAGTCTCCGTCCGCTTGCACTGCTCAATCAGATAGCTTTGGAGCACCATGGGCTTCATCCTACGAGCAAACTATACAGCTAGCTGCATGGAATTGCATACGTAGGATAGGGGAAGAGGATTCGTTTTCTTGGTGAAACGTCATTGAGCTGCCTCTAGATGCAAGCGCAGGATTACGGTATATAACAGAGTATTGCGAACAATATCATTTTGTTGTATATAGAGCACTATTTCGTCAGACAGCACCAGACGGGCATATACTTCGGCAAAGATTGTCACTGTAACAATGCTGCCATTCGTTATAGCATTTGAGCTCCTAAACTTGGCCGCTTCGCTGACCGTGCCGTCGGCTCCAAATCATCCATCGCGCCACCTTGGCTCAAACATTCTTCCAAATGTAATCACTCAATTTCCTGCCGGCGCCTGGGTCGAAAACATTGCAGTTCGCTCAAATGGCAACCTTCTCTTTACAACCATTTTACCAAATGCCAGTCTATATGAGGCATCGGATTTGGACTGTCAGTCACCAACAATTACCCGCCTGTTTACTGTAGACATAATCACAAGCCTCGCTGGAATAACAGAGACATCCGATGATGTTTTTGCTGTGGTCGGCGGAAATTTTAGCTTGACAACAGGAAGTGTCAAAGGAACTTTTGGTCTTTGGAGAGCCGATTTCACTCGTGGCCGACCTTCGCATGCTGAATTAATTGCTTCCCTTCCGGATGCGGCTCTTCCCAACGGCGCGACCACAGTTCCTCAAAACAACCACTTGGTGCTTTTAGCAGATTCAATTTTAAACACTGTTTGGCGCGTCGATGTGAAGAAAGGCACAGTGGACAAGGCCGCTCAATTCACACCAGAGAGTGCATCTGCTGCCGCCTCTGGAATTCTCGGCATCAATGGAGTTCATATCCATGATGGTTATCTGTGGTTCACAAATTCTACAGCAACAGCCAACCCCGACACTGGCGATCTCGAATCATCCATGTATCGAATCAAGGTTGACAAGAATGGAGTAGCCGCTCACAGTGCGTCGCCTGAAAAAGCTCTCACTCTGCCCTCAGAGGGTATGGATGACTTTACGTTCGGTCCAGGCGAAAGGAGTATTAAATGGATAGCGGGGAATGTCGACAATCAAATATTTGCCGCTACTCCAAATGGCAAATATGCCGTGGTTGCTGGTGCGTCCAACTCATTCGAAGTGGCGACGGCGACAGCCTGTAAGTTTGGGAGAACAAGAAGAGATTCACATGTTCTTTATGTGACGACTGCTGGTGGAACGATTAACGGCACGACTGAGGGGGGCAAGGTACAGGCGATCGATACGACTGGATTTCGGGTTTGATAAAGAACCAGTTGTTGTCTGCGAGAAAATGCGTTTCTCCTGGAGTAAGTAGAAGGGATTCGTTAATGTTACGGGGACCACATGTAGATTAGGTTAGTAACACCATGATACATTGCTTCCGATCATGGCTGGTTTAACTCATTGATATCTCCTTTCTTCTCTTCTTGATCTTCTCTTGCCGCCTAGTCTTACGTGCATCTGCTTATTTCGTTGGGTAGTAGAAGGATGCACCTGACTTCAGGTCCTGCATTTGGAAATTATGACTGGAAATAGAATAGTAGTTTGATAGTACGCTGTACAGAGCAGTCACATGTCGCAAACTCTCGACTGATAATTGGGAACGCGATATTACACAGGAATCCAACGTTTCGAATGAATTGGTCACTCAAATTGCGGCTCTTTGAGTGCTTCTTTTGAAGGGTCACTTTGCCCGTTGTGTAGTCTTTTTGTAATCCACAAGGCCTCAGCGTGCGCATTTGAATGCAAGTTTTCGCATAAATGGACGCCGTATTATCTGCGATATGAGATCTCGAACAGATGGTAAAATAAGAGCGGCTCTTCAAGCACTTGAACTCTTTCGTAATAGCATAGTGGAAGAGCCAAGTCGAAGTCCCGTGAGTTACTTGTAACGATAGGATATTATTGTCAACATGCAACTCAGCAGAGCCTCATATTGCCCGTGCTAAACTTGGTTTGTCCCCCGATGATGCATCACATCGCCGTATTGTTTTAGGGCAATCCTATAGCTGGGTTAAGATCAGCTCTCATTTTAGGCACTCCACTGTGTGACTCCGCCTCAGCGCCATCTCCGCCGAAAGCTGTTCCGCCTCCAATCGCGGGACGGCATGGATGCTTCAAGACCAACGGCAGCCTCTGTCGTGCGTCTGGTTTAATAATCGCTCGTCTTACGATCAGCTAGCTGCGGGGTTCCTGGCTTAGTTTGTTTACTGAGCACTATTAGGAGCCCTAGTTTTCGAAAAGTCCACCAATGCTTGTGTTTGTTCGTTCTGTCAACTCAAGTTCAGGTGTTTAGTGATCGCCCAACTTCTTGAAGTCTATACGAGTTGTGAGGTTTGCTTAGAAATGTATCATCAAGTTCAAAGGAAGGTTATGGTGTAAACCGGTCATGTTGTGCATAGGCCATGGGCATCCTATTGCCTCGGATATGATGTCTAGTTGCTTACACGCTAGGCAGATAGATGGCAGCTAAGCTGCGTGATCAGTTGGGGGCGGCAAACAAGGATCATGAGGCCATGAGGAGTAGAACGTAATGACTGTGCAAACAGGCATGCATGCCAAGCCCAGTGAACCATTGTTTATTTCGGGCTGTGGAGTTCCTTATAGGGCTGAATGAGTTTAGCTGCAGCTGTTTCTACTCACTAGAATTCTTTGACTAAATGATTTAAGATGAAACGAGCCCCATCTAACCTGTCCAAACTATTGTCCTTCGTGGTTGTTTCATATTCACTTATAGTAAACAGAGCGTCCGGCGCTGCCTGTCATATCTACTTCTGTGCTCTCTCTTATCCAATTTATCAACCCCTCTCTTTGGCATCATGGCGGCCAATGAAGGAGAAAAGAGATTAACTGCTGAAGATATTGAAAAGGATAATCGCGATGTTGCCGACCTGTGGAAGGACGCCCTCAAGCAGTACAAGGGTATCGTTGGATTTGACCTTCAGCCCAAGTTCAACAATGTCCAGGCCATGATAGACTTCGGCACAGGGGAAATGAACAGCTTTCACAAATTTCGACATAACAGCAAAAAGGTGGACAAGCTTCGAAGCCTCTTTGCCGCCAATATCGACTACATCGAGAAAGGCGCTCAGCAGCTGATAAGCGCTGCTACTCCTGCCTTTCCACCAGCTGCTGCCATTGGCACCGCCATCACATATCTTCTCTCGGTGAGATTGATTCTAATCTTGGCGACCAGCAATCAGACCTTAAGCTGACAACATGCGTACCTTTTTAAGGCTTGTAAACAAGTTTCAGCCGACTATGATGTCGTCGTTGTATTCTTTGAAGACATGAACAGCTTCCTAGAGCGTGTGACCATCTTGGAGACTCGGCTCCCATCGCATAAAGCATTCCAGAATTGTCTTATGGACGTCTTTACATCCTTTCTAACCTTGACTGGTTATGCGCACAAGTACATAGAACTTGGCCGTTTTAGTAAGCCACCAGTGAAGGGTCGAGTCTTGATTAACATGCAGCCTTGCTCACATAATCTATGTCAGAGAAATGGATAACCAATTTGATCGGAGGCGAGGATGGCGATTTGAGTGGTGCTCGGAAGAAGATGGACAAAGACCTCACTAGGCTGCAGAATGCCACCGAATTCGCCATCCTTGGTAACAGCGAAGAGCTCAAGAAGATGAATGGTGAGCTGCAGGTCAACCAAGTAGAGCATACGCGCATGCTCGAAGAACAGAAAGAAGTCATTTTCTCAATCAGCCAAGACACTGAGAATATCCGGACCGACGTTGCGAAACTCCTCAAAGCATTCACGGAACAGAATGCCAAGCACGACCACAAGGGCAAGCCATCATCTCAAGAGGCATCAAAACCAGCATCAGCCAGTCGCGTGCGAAACGTGATGCCCGACGTGGAGGGAGAGGGCCATGAGTATAAAATCCTCAAAGAAACCCTCATTCCGGATACCTGCACGTGGGTTTTCTCTCAACCGGAGTGGGAGGCGTGGATAAAACCAGACGAAAAGGACGCTACAGTGCCGAAGCCAATACTTGCTTTGGCTGGACCGCCAGGTACCGGCAAAAGTCACCTGGCCGCGACAGTATACGATAAGCTCTACAGTATTGCAAAAGAAGACTCTACTCAGCGTACCTGCGTGGCTCATTTCTACTTTCGAGAGCAGGTCAGAGATCTATGTTGGTTTTTGAAGGGAATCGTCACTGTCATCATCCAGGTAGTGGAGCAAAGTGCGCCGCTGTGCGAGAGGATCAACGCCGAGCTGGTTCGCGACGAGAACGTTTACAACGTCTGGGAATGGAAAGACCTGTTGCTCAGAATATTGGGGCCTTCGTTTAGCAAGAACTCTCCTAATCGTCTAACTATTCTCTTTGACGGTCTTGACGAGCTTGTTAACTTTCCTCAGTTTCCCGAGTTTGTTAAACTGATCAAAGAGGAGGGTTTCCGCATATCCATTGCGGTTACATCCCGGCCTGCACTTCTGCAGCAGCTCTCGGAGCAAGCTGAAGTAAGCACCATAGAGATCACGAAGGAGAAACAGTTGGCGGATTTTAAATCACTTATATGGCATCGGATCAATGATTTGGGCTATCTTAAGAGATTTACACGCTACGTCCAGCAAAGGATTGCAGAAAAGGTGGAAGAGGTCTCACCAAGTAAGTCTCAAACTTTAAGCTGACATATACATAAAGTACGGAAGACATTTTAACAAGCTTTATATTAGACCTGCTATATGTTGAGCACACTTTGGCAAGACTCGACGCACTTGGTCGCGAAGGTGCGGCTCTACAAGTGCTCGCTCGTCCGCTGCCAGAAACTCTGCAGGGTGTTTACGAGCTCATGTTGAACGAATGTCAGCGCCGAATGCCCGCTGCTCGCCAGCAGATTGCACTTAAACTGCTTCACTGGCTTGCGTTTTCTCGCAGGGTCCTTACTCTCGACGAAGTCACGTCGCTGCTGGTGTATCTTTCTAAAGATGACAACTTCACCCTTGAGGAGATTCCAGAAGTGGCTGCCAAGTTTCTTCAAGTTGGAGATCCAGCTTTGGATGCAGAGTCACGAAGCGGCCGCCGAAACGCCTACGTTACCTCACTTGAAGATGTCGAAAAGGCGGATTCGACGTCGAACAGTCCAGACGATGTCTATAATGATGGCTCTTTGCCTGTCAAGTTTAAAGAAAGATCAATGCGCGCATTTTTCAGAGATGCCGCGTCTTTAATAAACTCTGACTGGCGCTTCACAGCATCAGAAGCCAGCCGCCAGATATTGTTGGACAGTGTCAATCTCGTAAAGGCAGAGCCGCTAGGTCCGGGGCACTCGATTAAAGAATCGCTGCGACTATATTCTGCCTACTGGCTACTTTCTCACTTTTGTGAAATCAAATTGGATGAGCACACACCTCAAGAGAAGGCGGAAGTTATGGAAGGGTTTGCGATGGCGCTTTCGCACACCGACTATGCAGAAACCCTTAGTCGCACTGGGATGGTATACAATAGGAGCGTAAAGAATACGGTGAACGATACGGTAGCTCGGTGGGCCGAGAATCTCAAGATTCAAGAAATCTCATCCATCTTGACACCCTCTACAGCCTCCTGGTGGGCTGAAGTTGCGACTGATTCTCGAAACTGCCGCCTGGGAGTGGCCAAGGGATACGCTCGTCTGATTTACACCGCAGCCGATGTTGGAGCGGCATTGACAGTGTACAAGCTGCTCTATGGCCTTTTGGGCGTTGTGAGTTTTCATCTACTTCTCTACTGCTCTCCCTTTTCTCTTTCTAACAATGCGTAATATAGGCTGGCCTCGATGACCTCCTTACCGATAAAGCTAAAGCGAATTTCCCGGAAGAAGCCCAAGTGGCTAAATCTGTCACTCCTACCTCCAGCGATGGCGAAAACGTTGAATCCCAGACCAAGGAAGAGCTTGGCGAAGAGAAGAGCTCACTCGGATTGCCTGACCTCTTCAGCGACCTTGAAATGGATTGCACTGCGTATCGAGCCGTGGGAGAACTTTTCTTCCATTATAAGCTGTACAAACCTGCAGAATCAATGTGCGAGAAGGCAAATGCTGCTCTTACTGTTGGAGATGATCATACGGAAAAATTCAAGATCGCCATCTTGCACTGTAATATCCTGTTGAAACTTCACAAGAAAGACGATGCTTTCAAAACTATCCAAGAGTGTGTCATGGGCATTGAAAAAGCCAATGTCCCTACCTCACTCAAACGACTTGCTCTGTTGGCAAATGCAAAGGTCGAAACAAAGCGAGGGATGCGCGAAGCCGCAGCTGATTCCTACACCTTCGCAAAATTGATCGATCCCACGGGGCTGAGCCCAGGAGATTCTCTTGTTAACGAGCTTAACTTATTTGAGAAAGCATCTGACTACGCTGGATACTTTCAAACATTGAAGAGCTGGAGTTCCAGCGATAGGCTGACTTGGATGGCCTGGAACTATTGCAACGAAGGCCATGAGCGTCATGATGTCCTTCGAGCTCTCGCCATCCAAGAGGGCGAAACTCATTTTCTCATCGAAGCCTATAAGGACGCTGCCCAGTTCCTGGATCGACTGAATGCTGGTGCTCCTATGCGCCTCGAGCTGGCAGTGACCTACTTCAGAGCAGCTGGAGATCTTGAGAATTCTCGCAAATGCCTGGAAGAAGTGTTTGCGAGCACATCTACTGGATATCCGTATTCCATAACAGACGAGGAGCCACAATCTACGCTCCAGCGTGCAGTAGATACCATGTCTGATGTCTTGTACGAAACGTTTCGGGGCTCGCGCGATCCAAACGTCAAAGCAGAGGTGCTTGCAGCACTTAAAGGGCTGATGGACCGACCACTTTCTTTGTCAGTGCCAATCTACACAGCCTTGGACCTTGTTCATCGCCGAATTGTCATTGCGTCAATGTGCTTGAAAATGGGGCAAGGAAGCGAGTTCCAGGAGCGGCTGCAGAGCATTCTTGATGACTGCTTCGCTGGCCTGACTGACAAAGTCTCCTGGAACGATGGTCAGAACTTGGAAAAGCTGGGCCATGCGCTGATGGTGTTGAGTAAAGCTATTCCAGAGGGACAAGACATCCAACGCTACGCGCGAATTGTCGTGTCTGCCATGTTTTCCAAGATTACTTACGTTGAAGGCGAGGAAGATGGATCAGACTCTGAGTCTGATGCGGGCTCTGAGTCCGACGCAGACTCAGAATTCGGATCCGGTGATGATCAAAACAGCGATGGAGATGCAAAACTCAAAGGAGCAAGGGCGACCTTTGAAGGAATCTCGCATTTTGAAACCTTGGCGAGCCTCAGAAGCGGAAAATCGTCGGCTCCAAAAGACGAGGGAGATCTTGCTAATCCTAGCATTGCCGTATACACCTGCGATGGAGGCATATGCAGCCCCCTGGCTGGATATGCATGGTGGGGAGATTCGGTGGTGCATTACTGCGCTGAATGCTCCACGACTCTGATTTGCGAAGTTTGCTACAATGCTAGACATCACCCTGAGAAGGTGGGATCGCCCAAGGTCATGCATTTCTGTGACAAAGCACATAACTACATCAAGCTTCCAGTAGAGGGCTGGCGGGGCATAAAGGATGGCATGTTGAGGTTGGATGGAGAAGAGCCAGTCAAGTTTGATGACTTTCTCAGTCATCTGCAGAAGGATGTTGTTAAAGATGCTTGGGATCGATTCTGGGTGGGAGCTTGATGAGTGATGAGATATGATACATAAGTATGAATGAGTAAACAGATTGACAGGATTGAATAAGTAGTTGAAGTTTTTTTTATGAATTGATTCGGGGTTACCATGTTCTAACTACACTATATATATGTCTATGCCATCCCCATGAAGATATTACTCCTTTGCTGCGGTAGCATGTTCTATGTCTGTAACCCCGGTTGAACCTTGAACTAACTGAGGATTCTCTTCTTTTAGCTTTGCAAAGTTGCGCTCAGCTTCCCAGGCCCATATACTGTCACTGGCGAAGACAAGATCCATTTCTTCCAATGTGCGCTGATTCGACTCGGGATACAGGGCCCAAACAACAAAAATGGATAACACGTTAACAGCCCCAAAAATGTACAGAGTCTTCTCGTTTAGGCGGTTAAAGATCGTGGGAAGCAGCAGTACCTAAAATGCTATTGTTAGAAACGATCATATGATGATTTGAACAGAGAACTTACAGTCCAGCCATTGCCAATAGACCAGCCGACAACGCCCCAGGCATTTCCTTTGGCTCGAACTTGCAATGGGAAGATCTCTGCGGGATATAACCAGGGAACAGTGAGCCAGGTAGCACCAAATATAGCCGTGTATAGAAAAACAAAAAATGTCGCTGCGCCGCCTATTTGTTTCTGATTGCTGTGTCCTTCGGCGTTGATCGTGGCCCGAGCAAGGCCGCCTGCGACGAACATGCAAATTCCTTGCCCAATCGCTCCCCAGTATAGCGTCCAACGGCGACCGATGCGATCAAGAGTAAATACGCAAATCAGCGTGGCAAACTGACCTTTTGTTAGAAAACGTACTACAAAGCATGAGCGTCCGTCTTACCATGTATGTAATGTTGTTGACGCCGCTAACCCAGAGCCTGTCTTCAGAGCTTATCCCAGCGATACTGAAAATCTCAGGTCCATATATTGTTATTCCTGCAATGCCAATCCATTCTTGTAGAATCTGGAGCCAAATGACGAGCTGAACCCGTCGACCGGTGTGCAGCTTCCCAGAGCCAATGCCGAAGAGCATGTTGAAGTAGCTTTGTTGAGTTGATGTATCTTTTTCGAGGTTTCTTATGTTTACGATGTCTTGATACTCGGCTTCTGCGTGAATAGCATCTTCGCCTTCATCTCCTCGAAGGCGACCTAGGATAAAGCGAGCTTCCTTCTCACGGCCGACTTTCACAAGCCATCGAGGCGATTCTGGCATGAACCAAATGACGACGAAAAGAACTAAGAGCGGCAGAATCTGAAACGCGACGGGGAATCTCCAGATAAAAGAAGACGTATTGTCGTGATATTTAGAAGTACCACTATCGAAGCATTAGTAACGTTTTAAGCAGTTGTTAACCCATTCACTTACAATTCCAGCCAGTATGCTACAACGACACCGAAGATGTTCAAAGTGAACTCAATCGACACAAATTGCCCTCGCGAGGTGTGAGAAGCCGTCTCGGTCGCCCAAACTGGTGTGATGGCATTCAAAATTCCGGTACCGATGCCGTTTAGCACACGCGCTGTACCATTACAAATCAGTTCATAGTTCTGAGTGTTTGACGTGGTGTTGAAACACGGAATCCTGACTCACCACAAAACATCCAGTTTGCATTCATAGCTGCTGACTGCAGAGTAGCTCCGAAAATACACCAAACACAAGCTATGGCAATAGTCTTGATGCGGCCATAGCGATCGCCAAGCCAGCCTCCAAGAAGACATCCGAAGAGCGTGCCAGGAAGATAGTAGACGGCAACTATGCCTCCTTGCAATAGCGGCTTATCAACAACGACAATATTTTGGTCTTCATCCCAGTGTCCAAAGCCCATGCGTTCCGCATAGTCGCGCGCCGTGTTGACGCCGCCCATCAATCCCTGGTCATAGCCGAAGAAGAAAATCGACAGTCCAGCAACAAGACAGACAGTGTTTAGCAATGAGCTCTTATACAGCTTGTTGGCTGCATTGTGTTTAGCCAGCCTTTCAGTAAACGCGGCCATGGTGTCTAATGCATCTGAAAATAATGGGTGGATCGTCGACGTTGCTCTTCCGTCGCAGCTGAAATCTGGGCATGCAACTTTATATATCTGTTAAACGATCCGATCATCGGCATTCAATGTAGTATTAGGCAGCACGGAATGCCATGTTGAGTAAAAATGCCCAGATATGGGTTCCAGATCTGAATGCAGCGACTCTCATTCGTCAATGGCAGCGCTTAAACGCCTTCTCGGTGACACCCGGTCCTGGTCTCAGATGATCGGCCATCTGGTTTGAACGAGCATCGTGAGATCTTACGTAGGTGGTCGAGAAACTTGGCAATAGAAACGTGCCGGAAAACTATCATTAACCGCTTTCATCATTAGAATAGCAACTATCTTGTTCATTGTCTGTCGATCCCTCTCATCCAGAGGTCATGCGCGCCAATAACCCTGCCGAGACTGAGTCAAGATCGAGGGAACTTGGCGCTGATGAATCGCCGGTCATTGCCTGTGGATAAGAACCCCAGACTGTAGAATATTATTCGCGTGCGTGGGGGTAAATGGAAGCACTGATGCGGAGAGTCCATCGCAGTCAGTGTACTCTATGTGTGCTGATCATTTCTCCATCTCGGGTATTGAATATTCCAGCGATCCCCGCAAAATCCACTATTGCGATGAGACACTCACCCGCACCAATCATTTCTGCGATCCCCAGATTTCGAGATGTGAGGGGAAGGGACGATTAAAATTCGGGAATAAACTTCTCGGGTATTGATTATGGCGGTCAAAGGGAAAATAGGCTTCCAAGATTTCTCTCCCGCTGTGACCCATCTGGCTACCTTGCACGGTTTAGAGCGCACTTTAGCCAATGAGAAACAATGTCTACCCCCATAGTGGTATATTGCATTTATAGGTAGGTATGTTCAAATGTAAATATATACATGTTATGTCTCCTGAGTTCTTTATAGGCTGTCTTGTTGCTCTTTAAGCCTTGAGCCCGGCAACAAGCTTGTCTCCCAGAGCCTTGATGCTGTTCTCAAAGTCGTTGGTGTTCTTGGCCGCCCAGTTCGCACCACTCTTGCCGGGCACTGCGCCAGAACCAGTGAAACCAATGAACAGGACGTCCTTGGGATCGTGACCATTGTCGCCGCTCAGGCCATCGTTGGGGAAGCAGAGCTTGCCCAGAGCAAGTGAAGCCTCTCCAGTGGAAGTACCACCATTGGTATCGCCCCAAATGCCATAAAACTTACGTTCAATGTCAGACTCAATAATACCACGTTGATAGGAACAGATTTGATGTATAAACTTACGACTTGGTTATTGCATACGATAGCCATGACACTAAGAGGTTTCATGCTAGGGCTGGGGTTGAAAGAAGGGCTACCACCCTCATTGCCAAAGACAACATATGGGTGAATATTCGCATCAAGATCGGAAATGCCAAATGTCTGGACAGTATCCTTGAATGCAGTCTCGCTTTGACCACTGGGGTCGTTGGCGCAAGCACCAGCCGAGTTATTGGCGCCATCGCAGTCAATATCCATGTTGTCGTAGTTTCCTGAGCTTCCTTTCAGGAAGATGGCACCTGAAATATCACCGCAGTAGACTGCTCCGCCGCTAAACGTTCCCGAAAGCTTGTTGGAGCATGTTCCCGACTAAACAACAGAAGTTAGACGGGCTATGAGTATAATGCTACTTGATTTACCTTGTGGTTGTTGTAAATTGTCTTAAGGTTGGCAGGAAGTGAAAAAGCAGAGGCAGCTGTGCCAAATGTGGCAACGCCAAGGAGAACGCTGGGCAACATTTTGACAAGTAGTGGCGGAAGACGGTTATAACACAAGAGATATTGCGAGGTCGTGATGAATGAATGGTAGAGTAGAGGATTGACTGTCGAATTTATATTCTGTTCAAACAACATACTAAACTTTCGATTAAGCTTGCCACCCTAGGATAGCCTCCCTGCTCTCCACATCCTGATTAACTTGGCTCTCTCCACCATCTCGGCTTGCTGCCGAATCTTTGGCGCTGAAACGCTGGCGTGCAACAGAACTAATCCACGATGAGGTTTCTCAACACACAAGTCTGATAAGTTTAAAGTGAATGGGGAAGGTCATTAGAGCTTTTAATCAACAAGATTGGAGGAAAATCAAGTATTTATGTGCCCCTACATATTTGTAACGTAGTAGCCGTGTGTGCTACACAGGGGAAGCTTGGCTTAGACACGGGCCGCCTGTTTACCGAAGAGCTTATACGAGTTTAATGTATTTTGACAGAAGGTAAAAGGCGCGCGAGACCCAAAAGAGGCAATGCTATACACCGTTGATACGAAAAATTGGAGGGGAAACGAACATGTGTGCAGATCTTGGCGCCGCTAACCACTTGACGCGATGGATTCCGATTGGATTCGAGAACGATCAAAAGCGGTGTAGCAAAGGTGATTACTATCCAGTTTTGCTGAACTGCCATTTGCGGTTACTCAACCCTTTTTTTCGTTGTCGAAGAGTATCTTAAACGAGAAATATGATGTGATACAAGTCCCATGCTCCATCGCGAGCATTGTCGTAGTAAGACTAAGCTAAGTCGTACAAGTACCTCATACAGAGCGAGGAACCATGTCTAGTTTAGAACCTTAAAATAGCCAAGAATGAATAAGCTTTAAAGCCCTAGCAGAATATATTGCTATTCTAGACGGCCAAATGCTGAAATGCTTTCCCACCCATGTATACTTACTTGTATGTATAAATTGCAAGAAAGCAGTATCTACCATATGGAAATTATGTTCTACGTGCTCGTAGTGTACTTTTGCTATCGCTCTTGTTATAGAGAGGCTCCATAAGATATTGTAATGCTATACTTCAATGCTTACATTGCACATGAGCCCAATAGCTGGCTGGGCATTATTCTATTCTACAAGTCCTCCTAACTCTCTGGCCACATCGTACGATTTTCTCTTCGCTCAGGCGGGGAAGAATTACTATTTCACCGGATGTGTATGTCGCTTACTGACATGTTTCAGCCACATCGGAATCCGCTTCGTAAGCGAAAGGTGAAGCCTGAAACATATACACTTAGCGAACGACAAGACAGTATCAAGGCATATATGCGATGAAGAATGCTTGCATGCTACTAAGAGCAAGACTTTATATGATCATCATCTTGTATCGTCCCGATAACGCCTGCGACCTGGTCACTGCTTTAACACCTTATCGGCTATACTAGATTATCCATCCTGTCAGATAGATGCGCAACTCATTATAAATCATGCTTTTTTGGGCTGTCTACTTCGTATCTGTAGATAACTTTCCTCTCCTTTCAGTGGTGGGTCACGAATTTTCCGGAGATCACGTCTCGAGATATACAGTAGTCCACCAGAGGTCGGCAGCCAGAGTTTACAGTAATGACGATCTCAAACACCGCATTCTCTAGCGCTGACAATTATTTGGACCCTCTGCGTAATAAATTCTCGTTTGGGTATGTATTTTAATAATGGCCTTTGTCCAAATTTCCCATCCTCCAACCAATGGGATTGGTCCACTTTCAGGCAGCGCATGTCCTTGCTGGGGAGAAAGTTGATTGAGGCGATAAAACGAATTGTTTGTTTACAATCTCAAAATTTGATTCATTTTCTGCGATACAAGCAGTGTTATAGCTTCAAGGTCATGGGTCGGATGCCGTGGCTTAGGTCTAATGCTGCCCTTTATAGTTGTGGCGTTTTAGTGAAGTCTAGGCCAACTTTCAGGCAAAGACCTTGCTAAAATTGGAGCTGATGGATACAAACCAATCGAATGTTTAAATTTAAGCTGAATAATCAGCTGGAGAGTATCGCTTCAGTCTCTCTGAATATGTGCCGTCTATCCCGGATATCCGTTTGGAATAACGGAGTAAACTGGCAGCGAAGGGCGCATTAGCCTCGACTGCAGCATGGCAAAATGGCAGACGGCTTTGAGTTTATCTTGCATGAGCCCAATAAGCGGCTTTCGCGGGAAACCCACCGCAAGATCAGGAGGCATGCTATGAGAGCCGCTGGGGCATCGCGTCGCATATCGAATAACGGCCAATCCAAATCGCTTTCGAAACTCCACGAGCTGGACCGGAAGAACGCGGTACTTAGCCCACCACCTCCTATGCCTTTATCAGGCCTAGAGCTTCTCGTCAAAGATATCGGTCTGGATCCTGTCAACTTTTCTTCACTTACATCTGTGCACATTGGGCCAGTGTACGTATAGGATCAGCTCCACAACGTCCCGTTACCCGCCCAAAAAATGCTAATCGTCTTAGTGCTTCGACTCTGCTGCATCTGGATTCAGGTCAGCTACCTGGAATTCTGGTAGATAGGCAGTGGTCATATTTCTCTTTTATACCGTCACGCTACGGGCACGTTGAGGCTCTAGACGACGCATTCCGGTGTCTTATAAATGCAGCGCATTCGCTTCTTGTTCCTAACGATGGAGGAGGTGACGAGATCATCCTTCATGGTTATGGAAAAGCTCTTCAAAGTCTGCAGCAGGCGATTTACCAGCCCAGTAATCGATACGCTGCCGAGATTCTATGTGCTATGGCGATATTATCTATCATTGAGGTTGGTCGGATGCCATTTGCGTCGTTTATCGGCAGAAGCCTAATGCTTTTGGCCCAATAGATCTTGAACTCGTCAAAAGGACAATTGTGGTTCCATCATATTGCGGGAGCTGCCCTGCTTATCAAATTTCGAGGTCCGGAGCAATTTACATCCGATTTTGACATTGCTTTATTACTATCATTAAGCTTTCCCATTGTGAGTACTACGTCAACCATAATCCATTCTACTCGAGCGGGTGACAGGTTCTTACTGTCGTCAGTGTGCGGAGGCTCTCCTCAACAACCAAAAATGTTTCCTTGACGATCCCATATGGGCCCAAGCTATCCGAAATGCCACCTGTGAACGACAAACCTTTACGGATCGTTCTCCGCTTGGCATCAGGCTACTAATACTCCTAACCAGACTCCCTGGCCTTGTTAAGAGAACATGTCACCTGGTCACCATCCAGAACACTCTACAAGCGGACAAGTTTGACTCTGTGGCTGCAGAATTGCGAGAATTGCGATCACACATTGCTGTCTGGCGTCGAGAATTCAACATGGCGCTAATACATGCCAACGATAAAGCTATTCCTGATAAACGCTACGAGTTCCTTGGTACTTGTCTAATCATTCAAATCTTTACGAGCCGACTATTGGGCTCTATCTTACCTAATGAACGAGGCCTGCTTGAAGAAGAAGCTCAATGCTTTTCCATTGAGCTTAAACAACTTCAAGCATCAGTGGAGCATCACACGCGCGAAGAGTTTCTCTTGACACAAAAAGCAAAAATAGCTACTGCAACTATTAACACTCGTGATGATTTTGCTGCTGCAGTGGGAAATGGACGTATCGTAGAAGCGTGGAGATTAAGGAAATTTTGCAGCTATATTGGTAGGAAATTTTGTGATGGAATCACATGCTGCACACCGGATGGATGACGATACACCTCAGTTCTCGCTTGTAAGGTAATTTAATGTAGTCTCTTCACGAACAGTTGGTGTTTATATGGACTCTTTCGCTATCAGCTGCTAGCTAGGGTGAATTTCCGGGCTTCCCAGCTGCTAATAATCCACTGCGTGGCGCTACCACGCTGTAGCTATACACGGACGCTGTATAATATTCATACTGAGCCTGTGGAAGTCATCGGCCATGAAGCTAGTCTTGCGGACTCACTCGGCTTTTTCGGTCTTCGACTTGCTTTTGATTCCAATAGATGGAATTTCACATTTTATCAACACGGGAACAGTGGTGAGACCGATTTCGTGCGGAAATTCTACTTGACAAGATGTATGGAGCGGATAGTGGCGATACGGGTAGAACTCTCCACTACGACCAATACCAAGATGAGTTTAGTTACTGTGCAATGAATCGCGTAGCGCATTTACACATACTCAATTAGGCATTCGGTAGCCAAGGCATTGTACGAGTAGAATTCGCCGTATGAGCTATGAAGATGGTTATTGACATCAGTTGCAATGGAATCACTCGTACTTACCTCCATTGTAATGCTATATACTAGAGTTTTTATGAATATAAAATCATGGTAGTTCTTTAAGGGCACGAAAGGTATCAAATAATGTGTCAATTGGAATATTAAAAGATAAACATACATTTGATGAATTTGAGGCATAAATAACCTGAATAAGCATCCAAAGCAACGATAATTGCTTATGGAACAGTTTTGTTCCTTTCATTTTAAACCAGTCCAAAATTTGAGTAACTCCATTGCCCGCTCCGAGTGACTGAAAATCCCCTCACCTTGCAAATAAGCTCCGACTCCAATAACAACACCAAACGCAGCAAAAATAGAAGTTATCTTCTTCATCGGCGCTCCTTTAGCTCCCTTTCTGAACGAAGCTGATGTTCGATAGGCAAAGTCATCCCAGGAAACGAATATGCTTCTTAGCCAGAATTTATACTGCCAGTCCGGGAACATAATGGTGTTTCTCTTGGTATTTCCATCAATGAACCAAGATGTACAACCCGTCGCCCATACGAGCTTCTTTGCTTTTTGTTGCACTGTTTCAATATCTTTCTTCTCTGCAGAAGGCTTAACGGCGACGATGTCCCGATCGGGCCTGCTTACTGCCAACCATGGCAGCTCTGTCTTGATGGCATTCAATATTGGCCTGATGATGCGAATTGCAAAATTAATTTGGCACTCTGAGGTGTAGATGACGGAAAGGTGACCACTCAAGGTATTTGGGCCCATGAGCATGAAGAAGTTCGGAAATCCTGACAGACACGTCCCAAGATATGAAGAGGGCACCCCTTCGCTGACTTGGTTCCACTACAGAAGCCAAGTTAGCCATAGCCCTCATTTAAGTCTTTGAAGTGTTCACTCACATGATCTTGGATGCTGGCACCTCTTTCTCCAAAGATCTCCAGCGATCCAAATGGCTTTTGGGTCTCGAAACCGTGGGCGAGAACAATGGCATCTGCAGAGATAGTCTTTCCGGATTTCGTGCGAACCCCAGTGGCTACAATCTCCTCAATCGGGTCATCGTAGATGAGGTCGACGTTGTCTTTGTGCAGACTAGCGAGATAATTGGTATCGTTGACACGCCTCTTGCATCCAATCTCGGTCTTGGGGACCAGGAAGTCTCGATATTTTGGGGGCGAATTAGCTCGAATATAGTCAGCTGCTTCCTTTGACCAACCGCTGCGAATCTCGGCGCCAGTCTCTATGTCAAATCCCTTGAAGTCTCTTTCCTTTTCCCAATACAGCTTTGCTCTGTACATGCGCATGGCCAAAGGAACCCACTTCATCGTCCACTTGAACAGAGCGGAGTATTTTGGGTTTGGACGCTCAGCGAGCCAATGTGATTGACGGGAGAACTGTGTAATCATCTTTGCTGCTCCAGGGCCGGAACTCATTTCAGGAATTGCTTGTGTGGCAGAGCAGCCGTTTCCTATTGCCCAGTGTAAGTACAGATAGCAGATATTGATGGAAGGAGAGGCACTCACCGACCACAATGAGTTCTTTGTCCTTCCAATTGAATGTGTGGTCCCACTGTGCGGTGTGGAACATTCTGCCCTCAAAACTTGAAGCCCCCGGAATGGAGCATTTTCGCGGGACAGAGAGCGTTCCAACCGCAGATATAAGGATCTTGCAGTAGTGTTCAGTTACTGTAGATGACCGGAGATCTCGAACTGTCACATTCCATGTGCCAGATACTTCATCCCAGGAAGCTTTCTCGACAAAAGATGCAAATTGAACATGTTGATGGATTTCGTACTGCGCCGCTACATCTGAGAAATATTCATGGATTTCTGATTGTAGAGCGAACTTTTGGGTCCAGTTGGGGTTCAGAGCAAAAGAAAAAGAGAAAAAGTGAGATGGTACCTGGGGATCAATTAGTGGAGATATAAATAGAAGCTGACCGAAGACTTACATCGCAACCACAGCCCGGGTACGAGTTTACCCACCATGTCCCGCCAAGATTATCCGATTTCTCAATGATTGTAAAGTTCCTTGTGCCAAACTGCTTCAGTAGCTGAATGGCAAATCCAATACCGGACATGCCTGCACCAATGATGAGCACATCAGTATTTTGGGGGGCGCCTGTGTTTTGGGCCATTTTGGGCGAGGGCTGTTACAATGAAGAACCTGTGAGTCAATTGAAGAATGGAATAAAACAAAAGATGATACTGTAAGCAAGGTAGTAGCTATCTATATACTCGGATAAATAAAGCGTATATAGCGATCTTCATTATAAATTCTCTATCGTGGATATGGAACTGAATTTGCACTCTCATGCTGCGCACTTGAACGCGGGCACATTTTATGATGCAAGTGCCTATCATCAAGGTAACACGAGCAATTACAGAAGGTGAGCCGGAATACACAGTGGCATCTGGCCAGTAATTGGGTCGGCTCACTTTCCTATCTCATCGGACATGCAAGACAGTGGACCTATGTGGCTTAAACTTAGTTCTTGGGCGGCTGCAGCTCCAGTTAACCAAGTCTGTCTAAGGCGATGGTCACATTCGGCAAGCAAGCCGACGCAGTCGAGCAGCAGTACGCAGAGTAGGTAGTTTCCGTTATATGGTTCATGGAGCCTATCTCTGGAAACGATATATACTACTGCGACAATGCGCTAATAAGGAGAGTGATTTAGTCAATGACGCGACAAGAGCTATTATTTTCTAATGTCCACTTTTGCTAGGTAAAACTCGAGTCTATTCATTTGGATAGCCGCCTCCGCAGAGCTAGACAATGCGTTAAGAAAGATGGCGGCGAGTAGTCAGCATTTCGGCTTGGTTGCCACTAATGTTTCTTTATTTCCTCTTTCCCGGGTCGCCACGAACTTTCTTCAAGTAATATGTCGGCATTAATTCCTTAAAGGCTCTACTCAATTGGTCTATCTCTTTCAAAAAAGCAAAACGCAGATGGGCAAGGCAAAGAGCCGAAAGAAAATACGGTCATATAGTGGCTGGTGAGTACGCATCAACACTCCTTTCGAAGTACCCACCTAAGAGTAACTCTCAGCATTACATGTCGGCATCGCAAGTTGAAGTGCGATGAAGTGAGGCCGATATGCCAAAATTGTATCAAGAGCTCCCGTGAATGTTGTTACGTAGAAAGGACCATATTTCGGACGTTTGATGCCAACATACTAGCAAGCGGGAAGACAAGGGACGGAGCCGAGACTCAGCAGCTCTTTGATGATGATCAAAGATGGCTAAGTATTCCAAAAGATTGTATAATAACCCTCAGACTTACCCTCTTTTAAGTTTCAAGCAAGCAAGCAAGCAAGCCGAAATATTCTGACACTTTCTCCAGTAACATTCATCAATATTGAAGATCCCTATGGGTCTGATTCCCCGCCTGTGCTCCCTTGGGATGCAGGGGAAGCAAGTCAAGCGGTCTCTCACTATATAGAGGATGAGACAACAAAGTCACGACTTGATGGCGAGCATGAAACGCTACATGATGGATCAATTATTCCGGCACATTTCCCAGCGGTCTCGGATGAAGATGAAGGGCCGTCTGGTCTTGAGTCAGATACGGCTGTACACAATGGCCTTTTAGCCATGCGACTGCTGAGGCACTTCAAAGAGGGCCCTGGGCAATGGTGAAGAAGGCATATTCTCTTTATCGCTTTTCGGAACTAACAAATGCTAGGATGGATACTTTTGATACCGGGGCCTATTTCTCGCACAAAGTGACAGTCATGGTCGCTACAAAGCCGTTATTGAAATCCGCCGTGTGCGCTCTCGCAGCCAAGCATTTAGGCCACTGTCAACATGGCAAAAGCAGTCAGTTTGGAAAATATTCGTACGAGGGACGCACCGCATTTTCACGGCTTGATGACAAAGTTGACTGGCAATATCAGTCTGTTAAACACTATGGCAGTGCTATCAAGCATCTTAAAGTTGCTATTAATCGCGGAGCTTTTGAGACTGATGATGCTGATAAAGAAGAGCTGTTTGCTTCCATCACAATCTTATGCACGTACGAGCTTATGGATGCACCGGGCACAGCCTGGAGCGCTCATCTCAGCGCACTGCCGCTGTTCAATCCGAACCCCAGTTCCAATTCTATTTTGGGCTCTCCCATCACTATTCCGAGAGCTGCTGTCTCAGGTCCAATATTCTGGAGCCTCGCCAGACAAGATTTGCTTTGTGCATGTAAGTTTCTGGGCGTATCGGCTCCGCTGTTTACTCCATTATGCTGATTTTCTCCAGTCATTAGTGAGACGCAGACACGGCTCGATTTAAAAGATATACGCTTGTGGCAAAATGCAGGCCTCGTTACCGATGAATGTGGATCTTTGATGCCATTCTACATTTCTAATGCCGCTGATGTCGAAGAGGATGCACGCAGCAATGAGCTTGTCTGGCTTCTGGGAAAGATTGCGAATCACATCGCCGCCGGCGACGCATTGAACCCAGAACATTATTCCCTTCCGCCGGGGCAGCGGCCGCTAGTTGGCGTGACTCAAGAGCAGCTGCTAGAGAGATGGAACTTACTTATTCGAGAGCTTCAAGATTGGCGCTGTAATCTCCCAGCGAGCTTCATTCCGAGTGCCCGGACATGTGGTACGGATATGGCGGGAACATTCGATAATAGCGAAGGCCACTGTCCTCCGAACTTTGAGAAGATATGGTACGAGGCATCTATATGTGCCGCAACAATGCAAAGCTACCATATGGCTTGTATTCTACTCTTGACAAATCAACCCCAAGAGTCCACTGCTGTTCGATCTTCTGTGTCTGCTCGCCTAGACTCATATCGGCAAAGCGAGCGCGAGGCTCTCCGCCACGCTAGAGAAATTTGTGGTATCAGCCTGACAAATCCGCCAGATTCTGTACGAGTTCATTCTGTCCAAGCCCTCTTTGTGGCGGGTCAAGTATTTACAGATTCCCAAGATCTTGAAGTCGTACTGGAGCTATTATCCGGTATCGAGCGGGACCTTGGGTGGACAACAAGCCATCATGCTTCTAGGATTGCAGATTTACTAGCTAGACGTAGTAGCGATAATGTCCCGGTTTGGATTTTTGAATAACATTTGAAGAGTTATGGCACATAAAGCTAGAAGACAGGTTAAAGCCTTCTTGTTTGGACAAACAAATATTCGAGTGCGTGTCAAATATATTACTCCCCTATAGCTATTGTTATTTCTGTTCTTGGTATTCAGGGCACGGGTAGCCATGATGCAGCGAGCACCATACCTTATGCATTGCATTGAGTACTTCTCTTTGTACAATTAACTAAGTAACTCTGAGAGCTTAATGTTCAATAATATGTTTCGTTTCAGCTCTTCAGCCCGAAACAGGCGCCTAAGAAGTCATTGTGATTGGATACAGCAGCCATACATCACAAACAGACCCCACACCATCAGGCTGACAGGGAGGGACGTTGGGCTCCTCCGCGTTCTTCCATCATTCCAAAGAATGATCCTACTTCCAAGATTGTCTCCTTGTCCTTTATCTTTCTAATTACACTTACCACTGACTGCTCATTTGTAAAAGTGACAGAAAAGTGGCGCTTGGCTGCTTTCTTTGCAACGGCCTGCCTCCAAGAGTGACACAGGCTGGGTAGCTCTCCATCGCTACCTCTCTTCCAAGGTCAGGCACTGTTTCTCGCTAATTGAGGCAGTCATATATTTTGCAACCAGAGGCAAAATGAGCATACTAATTAATCGGTGTAGCGCGGCAGATAGAAAACATCAGCAATGTCAACGACCGATTCAACAGATCCAGCAAAACTATTGCAGCCTCGTTCTACCGCGGTGGCCAACACAGAATTCGGGAACCATACCAATCTACATCAAGGGGATCAAAATATAGGGCAGTCCAACGTCCATGTGACTTACAATTATGGGACTTGGGTATCACAGAATGCAAGTTTCGATTATGATGGCGATCAGTCCAGTGGTGCCTGCTGGACCGTTCCGTTTGGCCGAAATAAGGACTTCATTGGTCGCGAATTGGTTCTGAACCGACTGCTCGAAATAATTCCCCCCGATGCAGATAAAGACGACTGCCAACAAATCGCCATCGAAGGACTTGGTGGCATTGGAAAAACTCAAATCGCGCTCGAGGCCGCTTTCCGTATCCGTGATAAATACAAGGACTGCCATGTCTTCTGGGTTCCGGCTATCGATATCTCCACCTTTGAGAATGCTTACCGTGAGATCGGCCGAGCACTAAAGATACACGGGATTGATGACACTCAAGCAGACGTCAAGCAGCTTGTAAAAGCAGCACTAAGTGGATGCAACAACAAGTGGCTCTTAATTATCGACAACGCCGACGACGTCGACTTATTTAGTACTAACAAAGCTGCGCTAAGCAATCTTTTACCTTTCAGTCTTATGGGATCTATTCTCTTTACAACCCGAAATGATGAGGTTAGCCAGAAGCTTGATATCCGAAGGGAGAGCATTATTCGTTTGTCAGAATTGGGTCGATCAGAAGCAGTTGAAATGTTGCAGAAGGGTTTATCAGCACATCAAATAAGTGACATACAAAGTATGATAAGCTTACTTGATTTTCTAGCTGATTTACCTCTTGCTATTAAGCAAGCATCTGCATATATGGTGAAGACTGGAATAAAGGTTACAAGATACCTCGAATACTGCAGCTCCAGTGATGAGCGCTTAATTGAGTTGTTAAGCAAGGATTTTGAAGATCGGGCGCGTTATAAGAGCACCGACGCCCGGAATCCAGTTGCTACAACATGGTTGATTTCTTTCAACGACATCTCCCGAAGCAAGCCGCTCGCCGCTAAATATTTGCAACACATGTCTCTTCTTGCTGAAAAAAATATTTCGAAGCATCTCCTACCACTTGACGATGAAATGGAGGCTTACGAAGCTATCGGAGTTTTGAGGGCGTATGCTTTTATTAGTGAACGAGCAGAAAAAGGCTCATACGATATACACAGACTTGTTCGACTAGTGATGCAGAATTGGTTAGTCAAAGAGGGAGGATTGAAAATATGCTCTACATCAGTGATGCAACGGCTCAGCATAGCGTATCCTCATCCCGATCATGCCAATAAGGACGCTTGGACAAAGATTTTGCCGCATGCGCTCGTAGCGTTGAAATATCAAGAGCATTCGTCGGATATGGAGGCTAGGTTGAGGGTTATGTATGATGTATCGCGGAGTATTCTTCTTCTTGGGAGATATAAAGATGCTGAGCAACTGTGGCGACAAACGGTTGATCTGTACACAACGGCGCTGGGAATCGAGCATCCCTATACACTAGCGAGCAGGAGTAGCCTCGCTAAGGCACTCTACGGCCAAGGTAAAAACGAGGAAGCCAAACACATACATCAACAAACACTTGAGCTGCGGATTAAAGTACTTGGTGCCGAGCACCCGGATACCCTACTCAGCAGGACTAACCTCGCAAATACACTTTATTCCCAGGACCAGTACAAGGAGGCCGAGAAGATGTACCAGCAAACCTTTGAGTTACAGGTTCAAGTACTAGGTGCTGAACATCCCAATACGCTTTTCAGTATGTATAACATTGCAAGCGTAGCTTATCGCCAAGGCCGGTATAAAGAAGCCGAGCAGCTTTTCCAGAAGACTCTGGAGCTACGGGTTAAAGTTCTAGGGCCTGAACATCACGATACGCTATTTACCATGAACGGCCTTGCAATTATACTTTATCTTCAAGGGCAGTACAAAGAAGCGGAGCAGATATTCAAACAAACTCTGGCGTTGCAGACAAAAGTATTGGGTATTGAACATCCGGGCACCATTTATAGTATATATAACCTCGCATGTGTATCCTATCGCCAAGGTCGATATGAGGAAGCAGAGCAGCTATTCCAACAAACGCTGGAATTAAGATGTAAAGTGCTAGGGCCTGAGCATCCTGATACAGTCTCAAGCAGCGAGAAACTCGAATTATCTAAGAAGGAGCAAGTATTAGGAGCCGAAGATCCTGAATTGCTCTTGAGCAGAGAAAGCCTAGCTCAATGTACGAAGGAGCAAGTGTTTCTGGCTGAGCATTCCAACATGCTGTTAAGCCAGGCGGTAGATTCTGACACGGTCATCAGCAGGGAAAATATTTTACTGGGTAAAAAGGAAATTGACTTTTTTGGCTTATTGCAGAACATTTATTCGTTCATATATCTTAAACTGTGTTCGACAACTCCATAGCGTTTCAAAATAAAACTTTTTCGTTATCTTGAAAACATTGAGGCAACCTATCCTTGCCTCCACAGTTCTTTGTCGCCACCTCCCTGGCCATGATGCAGTCGGCCCATTCGCCAGCGACATGGAAACTACAACAATGCGAGCTATTCGCGTTAGTAATAGGCAGTTGAAGCAGTAGCAGGCGTCCTGGTATTTGGAAATTGTAAGAGCGGCATCTCCGCCTGGTCACTGGCGAGCTTGTCGAGGATTGCCTGGTTCGGCCTATCGGCATAGCAGCCAAGTTCTTCTTCTTACGCCTGATTAATGCGCTAAAGTTCAAAGGTGGAAAGCAAGCCGAGTCACCAACGGCAAGGCTTCCGAATAGCTGCGCCTGCAAAGGTACGGCAGCCGAGGAACAATGATTGGCTTGGTAATTGGTGCACTCTCAAAGCCATCAGTTCAATGATTTTGGCGACTGGCTGCCTCGCCTGTATTCGACTTATAACTACTGGAGGGCCCAAGGAAGAGAATCGGCAGAACCATTGTTTCATTGCCACAACTTTTCCATGCTTAAATCGAGAGACCACAAAATGTCAGAAGCTGCATCGTCGCAGCGCCTGTTGAACAAGGTTTGCATAGTGACTGGATCGTCTTCAGGCCTCGGGCGGGCTATTTCTCTGGCATATGCTCAAGAAGGCGCGATTGTCGTCTGCGTTGATTTGAGGCCAGGCGCACGACAAGAAATAAAGTCCGAGCAGGAAATCGAAACGGATGTCTTGATTCGGCAGCAGGGAGGGAAGTCTCTGTTCATAAAGGCAGATGTAAGCAATGCGGCCGAGATTGAGGCCATGGTCAACGCAGCAACTGCGCAATATGGACGCATCGACGTGTAAGTACAAAAGCTCTCTTTGTATTAGCAAGAAGATATGGAATGTCTGGCTGAATGATTTCAATAGGCTAGTCAATAACGCAGGCATTTCTATTGAGGCTGGACAAAAGGCTCTCAAAATTCACGAAACGCCCGAGCAGTGGTGGGATTTGACCATGTCAGTTAATACGAAGTCGGTCTTTTTGGCGACAAAATACGTTGTTGCTCAAATGCTGCGCCAAGATAAGCTTGCATCAGGAGACCGCGGCTGGATCATCAACATTTCTTCCATCTTTGGGTTGGTCGGCGGTAAACACATACGTAAGACCTTTATTTCACAGTTTATTTCGCTCTTGGGATGCCCGTGCGGTACGAATCATGAGCTAATGAAGCAAAAAGCGTGCTATGCCGCGTCCAAAGGAGCAGTAGCAAACTTGACCCGGCAAGTTGCGATGGACTATGCTGAAGATGGGATCCATTGCAACGCCATTTGCCCTGGATGTAAGTCATGACTGTTCCACATAGACGTTGATAATTCTGTTTCTAATACTTTGTTTTATTAGATACTGCTACAGCCATTTTTGTCAATACAACACAGATCCATGACGCAGAAGAGATTCGACAGCGTCACCCGTTGCATGGCATAGGTATGCCGGATGATATAGCTGGAGCTGCTGTATTTCTTGCAAGCAGTGAAGCACGATGGATTACAGGGGCCATGCTTCCGGTCGATGGAGGTTTCACAGCACAGTGATGGATTTTGTCTTGTCGTTATCCATAGAAGATGACCAAGGGTCGACTATCCGCAGGCAGATACACACCGCGTCATAGTTTCAAGAACTTGAACAATCGGGAATTTATAGAGAGACAGTTTATAAGGCAAATCAAGAAGCTGCCCCATAAGTGCGGCCTATATGTAAATCCTGCTCAATACGATTGAATGCTACAAATGGTCTGCAGACTTCTCGATCTTATATAAAATACATATACACATATGTATGTGATGACGGATAGTTGATCACTTTTAGCTCACGTAAAGCTGTTTTCTCCAGGTTTACTCATTCCAAGGTAGCATTGCCGATGACACACCAAGCTTACTTATGCATCTGCCCTGAAGCCACGAAAGAATGGAGATCTCGCCCCGCAGCAGAGTTACAGCAGCTACCCTGCTGGATTGTAAATTCTCGGTACCCTTTTTTGTTTCACCGCAAAGTGAGGCCTATTCACGCTTTTCTGACACTTACTCTTTAGCCGCTGGGATAGCCCTCAATTCGTGAGCTCTTGTCCTTTCAGACACGCGGTGCCTCACCTCTGAGACTAGCCTCTATACCACAACGCAGCAATCTCGATATGCTACCGTCAGGCACTAAAGGGGGCGGTATTCGGAAGCGCGACCGCTACGTCTCATACGCGTGCAACCGCTGTCGAGCAGCCAAAGTGCGCTGCAATGGAAAGCAGCCATGCTCTTACTGCGTGGCAAGAGATCCAGCATCTTGCCACTATCGAAGCCAGCGTATCATATATGACTCTAATCAACAAAATCAGCAACAGTTCCAGATCCAACAAGCGCCAGAGGAAGATTCTCACCCTCCGTACATGCAGACAGGAAGCGCCGGCGAGATCAAGCATTCGGATTACGAGAGTATCAAGATGCTGCTACAACGACAAAACGGCAAACTTGACGCAATACTCAAGCGCGTCTCTAATGTAGAGGCTGCCAAAAGATTGCAGTCGCATCATGTTAAAACACCTTCAAGCAATGCGTCACTGGATTGCGAAGAGCCACTTCCGGTCATTCAAAGCTCGACAAGTGCATTGTTCTGCATTCACATTGTTGATGACAGTCTCAAGGCATTCGAAGAGCCAGTCCTAGGCACTCCGCCACTCGAAGACTGCAAACCATCTTTAACGCCCTCTTTCTCCATTTTGCATGGCCAGATTGTGAACAAGATTGCAGCTGATATCGGGGAATGGGGCGTTGCAGAAACAAGTACATCTTCGTCCAGTTCTGGTATCACAACTCAGGGTACATCTACGCATCCGTTGGATGAGCTGGACAATGCAGAGCTTATTCGGTTGATCCAAAAATACAATGACGTGGCCGGAATGGTGTATCCAGTAGTAGATGGAGCGAAGATGCTACGCTTAGCTGGAAGTAGTGGCCAGCTTGAAGAGCTGAGTGCAGAGCCTCATAGGAATAAGTCTTTCCCACTAAGACGAAGCGAAGTAGCCATTCTTCAGATGATGGCTGCCATTGCTCTAACGGCTGAAAACGAGAATGGGTCTGATCTGATCCAACGTTTTCACGACGACGTGTTACCGGATGCCCAACACATAATCTGGAACACAAACACTGATCTCCACGGCTTAATCTTGCTAGTACTGATGGTATGCGCTGCTTAAGTCAATCGGTTCTTGATTTTCGCTAATGGCCACTGGTATAGAGCATCTTTTATTACCACTCTCATAAATGGCGCCTCGCGTGGCGTTTCTTGGGCAATGTAGCACGTATCGTCGTTGAGCTCGGCCTCAATAGGCAAATGGTCCTTGATAGATCATTCCCCAAGGGAGAAGCGCAGACACAAGCGGTCAACATTATATGGTCTATTTTCGTCTTAGAACAACAGCTAAGGCATGCTTTGGGACTCTCCACCATGACACAAGACCTAGCTCTGGACTCGACGTTCCCCAAACCAGTAAGTTTATCTCTGCAGTTTCAATTGAGGTATCAAAATTCACCATGACGCCCTCAGGTCAATGCACCTTACTTAGATGCGATGGTTCAGTATCTCAAAATTGCCAGCTCCACAAGCGCAATAACTTTCGGCAGGCATAATGTGCAGTTAACGCCCGAGGAGTTCCAAGAACTCTACAGCTATTTCCAATATCGTCTCAGCGAGTGGTACAAAAGCATCGACTGCGAATTCCAGCTCAAAGGCGAAGGCGAGAGAACTGAGCAATGGAATCGGTTTCTTAGTATCACGCTTCGCCTAAGAGCACATACACTTCAAATTGGGGTCGCAAGGTTCATCCTCTTTGGGAAAGGAGTTATAGGAATGCCATCCGCGGATATCTGGTCCACATGCGTTGATGCAGCGGCCTCCATAGCATCCAGTTTAGCTGCTATAGATGCCGACCAGCCGCCGTTTCAATCTGCGAGACCAGAGTCGAATTACTTTCTCATCTCTGGCCTGGGTATTTTGCTGCTAGCCATTTCTCAAAACGCAATGCTTCCAGTAGCACAGCGGCCATTGTCTCCCGAGACACTTCAAAGAGCTCAACAAAGCGCCATCTTATGTCTCAATCTCTTACGCAGTCGTGCGATTGTTTCCCGCCCGTCTAAACATCTTTGGAACAGAGTTCAGAGTCTCGCTCTACGCTTGAACCTCTTAGATGGCCCGACGGCCTTATTCGAAGGTGCAGCGGCAGGACAGCCAGAGACTATAAATGAGGAAGTAGATATCAATTCGTTACCGCTAATGCCGGAGCTAAACTTGGCGAGCTTTCCTTCTACTGCGAATTTCGGCTCTTCTGACATGGACGCTATAGTCGATACAACCGACGTACCAAGAAGCCATAATCCACCATTTGGTATGGGTTTTGACTCGGTTTACATGATTAGCGAATTGATGACGGGCTTCGAATAAGTCGAACCCCTGGATAACCTTATACTATCTCCCCTACTTGATACTGTGTTAGGCATCATCTAGAGGTATCGCCTAAGCTAGTTAGTCACTTCCAGGCAACCGTTTGGTTGCTTTAGTCCTCACGGAGAAATGATTTGACGTGGGAATTGTATACGCAGATGTTGACGATCTTTTCTGGAATAGGAATAACGATTTGGAATCTGGCTAGCTTGCTAATTGTTTATCAAGCAATTTATGTCAGGGTCTCACTACTTTATGTGATAATATCAGATTTTAGTTGTAGGGTTCTGTCGTACCATTATGCCAAACAGGGCAAACGACGGCCCGGTCAAAACGTTGATGTTGATTTTCTCTTAGTTACCTTCTTAATCAAACTAGTGCGTTCTTAACTAGATGCAAGACGATAGATGTTAACTAATGCAACTTCAAGGGGGAGAATTGATGCGTCCCACAGCTGATCTATCTGACAAGTTCAACAATCGTATCCGAAGCCTCCTGCGTTTGTAGGGCATTATCTCTTATACGAGATAGGCCACGATGAGAAACTTTTTTTTCCTGCAGGGGTATTGTGGGACCAGATACAAAAGTTTGGGTCTCGATACTTTCCATGAGACGCTGCTACAGATAATTTTTCGTGATCTCGACCTCTTATAATTGACTTTTTCATCACAATAGTCTCTATAATGATGTTCACTGCTCTGATCTTTTGCCTCTGGTTCACAGAACGGTATGGCGGATCATCAACAACTCTATTGTAATAGCTTCTGAAGGTTACCTGTCATATATAGAATAGATGTTATTTTTGCACCCCTGGTCACAAGTGCCGTGTTCTCTCGCAAAGCTCGACAGACGCCCGTAGAATGAAGCTCCGTTTTGATCGCAATGACCAATGAAGTAGCTGGTTTATCCTAGCATCATACTTGAAACAGCAGTCCATTATGGAGTTTTGTGAGGCAAGACGCCTATACGAGGTGTAAGCCTTATGCTATATACGGGAGTTCAAACTGCAATAGATTGGGGTCTAGAGAATAGTGGTACTATATCATTGTCCTAAGAAACCTCTATTTAACTTGGAACAACTCCCGGCGATAAACTTTCGTTCCCTCATCATCTCTTTCGTTGCTCAATACTCCAAGTACTACCACACGACCAATACCTCAATATGAAGCATTATATTTTGGCCACCGTTGCTTCACTTGCCACTAACGCATGCGCAACCGTTGTTCTCGGGCAAGTTGGATCAGATGCAGGCAAGTTCGTAATAAACTATGCTACCAAATACAATGATTAACAAACTCCAGTTGCTTGGATCGGTGGACAGAATCCATGCGGAACCGGCTTGACCCTTATCGCGGAAAATGGAGCGAATCCTTGTGGCGCGAAATTCCCCCTACAAAACGGATTTTCCTATTATTTGGAGAACTGTGGCGGATCACCTCTCCAGCTGTTCAACTCAGATGGCTCTTTCAACTCGAACTGTAATCCTTCGCATGCGACATTTAACTGTGCTGCCGTTCAAACATATACTTGTGGCTAAGTGGGGTAAAGCACCTCGTGAGCAGCATACAGCAAGGAGCATATGAATGGATGCGAGGATACTCTTTCTGATTGTATATTCATTTTATTTTTCGTTGGGTCTGCAATACTTTCCTCTTGAAGAATCTTCTTGGAGGAAACGGGTCTTTTATAACGGACAAAAAACTGGGACAAAAATGTATATATGCTAGTGCAAATCTTAGAATTCAAATCCCGGTTTTCCAACTCTCTTATATTCATCTGCTTACTTGTTAATTCACTTTTTGCTATTCTGCTACATTCATTTCCAAGAGGTAATATATCGCTTATTTACTCATTGATATACACGCATTCTAGTTGGCTAATGACAACTGTTTTATCCCTTTTTTAATTTCTTCACTACATTTTTACTCAATAACCGTATTATGAATTCTAGATAGGTGAACGCATGTATCTCTAGAGACATAAACCTACCTTGGTAACATCATATGTAAAATTACCTGTCTTCGCATACCGGAAAAATGGCATAATCATTTACATGCAACTAATTTATCTTTCTCCATCAACAGAAAACAGTATAGCCATCGTAAGTATCCCAACCGTGTCCGCCTCTGAAGAAGAAATTGGAACTGTCATTGATACGCAGTCGTCTGCCTCTGGAAATAGAAGTCTTGTATAACTGACTTATATATTGAGTTTGAACCCCCAATTAATGTTCTTCTAGAAATTGCATGGCTCCGCTTGACTGAATCGGTGTTTCGTAGAATGATACTAGTTGGTCTGGCTTCCAGTGAAGAGCGAAGAAATGGCCTTATAAATAGCTTGGAACTGGCGGACACGCTTGAAGCTCGAAATGTAGCTAAGATACGTAGTGTGCAGTTTTAGACTTAGATGTGCAACCACATATAAGCAATATTTAATCCAGATAGGTATAATACTACGGGTAGGCGCGAAAATGGTCACAATCGCTAAACAAGTAGATCTTTGTCGTTGGTCAGTTGACTACGGATTGGAGGTTACCGCCAAAGATTAACGCATTGGGTAAGGTAAGTAGCACGTCAAGTGGCACTGTATACATGGAGTCAACCTGTTTACTAGATTTATGTATCCGCACCCACAGAAAACAGTTTTGAGAAAGAAAATTGTATTTGATCCCGTAAATCAATCTTACCCATTAATGATCAATACGAGAAAAAAAAAGTCAAGGTATAACGATGGTTGTAAATAAAGCCCAGCGGCTGTGAAAATTCATATACTAACACATTGGTGGAAAGCGGCTCGACATCCTTGCAACCACAAAGTGTGTGATCCAATCATGAGCTATTAGGGAGGTTTCCAAGAAGCATTATACCTTTCTCGCCCTCTCAGAAGTCTTTGGTACTACGAACATGATTGGCAAGATGTGCTTATATAATGTCACTTCTACAGCTAGGACTCCAATTGCTGGGTGAGCGGTTAAATGCACTCCTTTGTCTTCTGTATCTAGGATTGCCACAGGGGGTTCCACCTCCCAGAAGCTATACCAAATAAACTTTGAGAAGTGTAAGTAACAGGAGTGTCATTTTTCATATCCTCTTTGTCGCTTGTTTATGTTATTATCTTCAAATGAACCTCAAATCATGTCGTAATGCCCTATTGAATTGCGCGATGCAGGCTTCGTTTACAATCTCGCGCTAGGATCGCGTCAAACGTCAACTCGGCACGCAATCGCGGGGGACACACCACCTTCAACCCTTGACTTGCGTCTCAAGACCGATAAGCCGTTAATCTAAGCCATGATGCAGGGTAAAGCTGAGAAAAATTGGGTGATACCCCGCGCGCATTTGCTGCCGACTTCCGTTGCCCAGAGGCGAATGCAAGGCTATATTGATTGCAGTCTTACCAATCGTTGAGCGATATGGCGACTGTGATATCTGACGATGAGATGATGAAATTATAGTCACTGTTGCACAATTGCATGAGACAATTATTGCTACATCAGGCAATATGGATAGTGAGTCACGCCGCTGGCTACATATAGCAGATGTCTCCAGCCGTAGCGCAAAGACTTATGCATAAAGTGTTTGCTACAGAGTACCTGTCTATCATTCAACTCTATTTGCCTTGTATTTAGCAAGAAAAAACAAGAAGCAAATATGGCGCCTGCTGTCACAGAAACCGTGGCTCAAGTCACCGAAAATCTCAAGCAAAAGGTCGTTACCAGCTTGAAAGACCAAGTCCAGCCGAATCTAGAGACCGGACACCGTGAACCGCTGAAGCTAAGCGGTGCCCTCGATCAATTCAAGCAATTCGAGGTCACTCCAGTCATCGGCAAAGAGTTTGTGGACGTTGATTTGGCAGAGTGGCTAAAAGCACCCAACTCGGACGAGCTACTTAGAGATCTGGCTATTACTGGTAAGGCTATATGGAGCTCTTTGCAATTCTTTTCCTCCAAATTGGTTATCGTCTAACATGTTTCAAGTGTCTCAAAGAGGCGTTGTTTTCTTCCGGAAGCAAGACAACATCACAAACGACCTCCAAAAGGAACTCGTGCAGCGCCTTGGCGAGCTCTCCGGAAAGCCAAAGACCTCTGGCTTGCACATTCACCCTGTCAACAACGCCGGCCGGGAACATAGTGTAGAAGACAACGAAATCAGTGTCATCTCATCTGAACAGGCCAAAAAGATCTATGCCGACCGCTTTTTACGGACTAATAAGCGTCAGAGCCAGAAGTCTCAATGGCACTCTGACATTACATTTGAGCCTATCCCGAGTGACTACGCTCTGTTGAGGTTGACAGAGTTGCCCACGACTGGTGGAGGTATGTAGTCTTTACCATGACTTACGCCTGCTGGTATACCACAGGATGCTGATATTCGTCTCCAGATACGCTATGGGCATCTGGATACGAGCTCTACGATCGCATCTCTAAACCCTTGCAGGGACTCTTGGACACTTTGACTGCCTACTATGCTCAGCCTGGATTTAAGGAGGCAGCTGACCACAACGGATTTTCCCTCTTCTCTGCCCCTCGAGGAGCTCCCGAAAATATCGGCGATGTTCTGGAGGCTATTCACCCCGTGATCCGGACCAATCCCGTTACTGGGTGGAAGAGTGTCTTCGCCGTGGGTCACCACGTTCAGCATATTCATGGCTTGTCAGAAGAGGAATCCAAGCATTTCCTCAACTGGTTTGTTCAGTTGATTGTCGAAAACCATGATCTACAAGTTCGCAACCGTTGGCAAAACGTGAATGATTTGGCAATCTGGGACAACCGAAGTGTGTACCACGCTGCTACACCGGATTACCTCAACCAGGGACTTGGCGAGCGGACTGGCTCAAGGTCTGTGAGCTTGGGTGAGAAGCCTTACTTTGATCCCGAGAGTTTGAGCCGCCGAGAAGCTATTGCACTCGGAAAATAGTAAAGCATGGCTATGCGACAGCGGCCGGTGGCTTAGAGGCTCCATAGCAAGTGTATGAGAATTACTTGAATAGATCAACGAAATCTAATGGATCAATTGAGAAAGTATTCTTGCACTCGTCCAGAATTGTTGGTATCACTAACACCATTTACGACTGCAATACTAAATATTCAGAGCGAGAGCAATTCTTGCTCACCTAGCTCAACGACGAGATGGGACAATCACTAAAACGGTAGACTGCCAGCCACGCTAGCATTTCCATAACTGTGCTTGGCTACCTTAAGCAGTCACGGACCACAGGACTTGCATGTGTACGCAGAATCTGTAGCTTGCCTAGAGCTTTGTGAATCCATCCTATCATGCTGCTTCTGTGTGTTATCTACTAATTAGTATGAGCTTATGCATACGTTTGCCGAGCGTCGGCAGCGTACTGCTATAGAAGAGTTCACTACTGCAGCTACTGGATACCACATGACTTTTCCACAAGAGTACTCCGTGTAACGACTTTTAACAACGGCCAAGAGCGTAACTGGCTGCTCCGAGCCCAAAGAATGTGGATGTACCTATTCTAGAAAAACAGCGCCGAGGCTCCGGTAGCTCGCGTTCGTGAAACGTGCTGGAGGGGCGAATAGCAGGGCAAAATGCTTAAATTAAGCTTAACTCAATACAGCTTTATCGCGGATTCACCAGTACGCCTACGAGCGCAAGGCAAAATATAACGCAGACCCAGCAGTGCGGCTGAAATGCATCACCTGATAGCATGCAGCGACTAGTCAAAGCGTTTTAAGACAGCTTCTTCAGCTACGGTGCAAGCTTTTGCGTTTGACATCGTCAATTCTTCATATCAAGTCCGGCAGCATGTCGCTATTCGAGTTCAAATCATTCAAACCTTTCAGTTATCCTCCTCTTTCTCCGTTAAAGAGAATATTTCGCCTAGTCCAGCTTCTTCCCCCAAAGCCGTCCATCGTACCGGGCGCCAATGGCACAATTCGAATCAGGCTAATAGAAGCCGATGTTGATTCCGGCGTACACTACGATGCTCTCTCATACGCTTGGAGTTTGGGACCACGTTACCAAGAGCCCAATAGACAAATTATTGTCGAAACAGAACAAGGTTCCTACAAGCTGTACATCTATCCGGCACTAGAAATTGCGCTACGATATCTTGTCTCCTCGCATATGACAGAGTATCTTTTCATCGATCAAATCAGTATCAACCAGAGAGATCGCGACGAGAAGAGTCATCAAGTATTGCTCATGCGAGACATCTATACAAAATGCGCTCGCACAATTGTCTGGCTAGGTGCCCCAACTCGACTATCCGATCAATACTTTGATCTCGTTCACGAAATGTCACAAGAAGGGATACTGAGCAGAGTCATGGGACCTCATGTCAGCCAGTTCATGCACGTTTTCGATGCCGTGATGGATCCCTCTTTGCAAGTAAACGAACAAGTTCGTGAAGATCGAGATGATTTGCTGGACTTGGTCCAACGATACGGCGACCGCTTCCCCCTAGATGGATTTGCCGATGTATTTGATCGACTCTGGTTCAGCCGCCTGTGGGTGATCCAAGAAGCTTGCCTGGCTCCAAAAGTGGTCTTCTTATGTGGTAAAAAGAGTCTTTGTTTCGACTGCTTCCGCTCTGGTGCACTCTTTTACAACATATACAATACCTACTGGGTGCGACGGATAACCGGCGCAGTCCCTCAGCGTGTTCTTCGTCAGCGAGATGCTCTTTTGAACAAAACGGATGGGTTCATACGGATATTCCAAGAGCGTAAAGCTATCCATCAATCTGGAATACGATTGGGCTTGCACGACCTCGTAATGAAATACAACGTGAACGATGACAAGAAGAAAATCGGGGTAACGCTAGAGCAAGACAGAATCTTCGGCTTACTAGGGCTAGCAGCGGATAATGATGCTCTCATGGCGCAAGTTCAGGTCGACTACAAGTCCCATATCACTCAAATGTATTCTCAGATTGCCGGCTTGCTTCTACAAGACAGCATCGATGTCTTGTTATTCAACCAGTACCCAAAGAAAACAGGGGGGTTACCCTCATGGGTGCCAGATTGGGCAATGGATCTTACTATTCCGGCAGGATACTCGAGCTTAAAAGAGGCTACCTTTTCTGCTGGTGTATCGACGACAACCGAAGCTGTTATTGCTATCAAGGGTAATCCCGCCCAGCTTCATATCAAGGGAATCGCTGTGGACGAGATTGAGGAGGTGGGAACACAGCTATACCGCGCACAGCCCCATCCGCAAGTGTCAGAACAAATTGACTATCGCTCGGTAAAAACGTTTTTCGATGAAGTCGTCGAGTTCGCAAAAGCAGCAACTGCCATGACGAAAGATGAAACGTCTACCGACACTGAAAACGCACCAGATCCCGGATTATTGATGAGCCTGTGCGATTCCAGTCTTTCTTATAGACATTTTACCCAAACTCTCGGTCCAATTGGAAGCCTTGAGAGACTTCAAGCTTTGCACAGGAGTCTATATACGCTTGGGGAGCGGCTCATCAAATCGGACGAGTTTGTTGCATCCTACCACATCACTCGCATCTATCAAACAGTAGGAATCATTCCTTGGTATTTGAGTCTGATGCCCGAGATGGATAGTCTACAAATCTGCGCGCTTGATCCGCTGATATCAGGCAAGATCGCTTATGAGGCTGTGAAAGACATTATTACAGATGCGGCGGGCTTGCTCATCGCCTCAGCAAGGGTATGGTTTGCATCAAAATACATCAAATTTCGTCACCGCTTTGGCAAAATGAACATACGGCCGTCTCACGAGAGCGTTGAGAAGGTTGGGCTCGATCCAAATGTTAGCCTAGGTCCGGATATGAATGTTCTCACAACAAATATGCTCAAAAATCTGAGGAGAAGGCTGTATCGGACAAGGACTGGGTTTGTAGGCCTCGGGCCAGCAGAAATGGAAACAGGCAACTCCCTCGTCATATTTCATGGAGGGACAACAGCACATATTTTAAAGAAGCGGGATACTCAGCTTGAAGATGATGAGTATCAATACTTGGGCGAGGCATATTGCGACGGATTGATGGACGGCGAGATTTTTAAAGACAGCACCAAATCTGAGCGAATGTTTACCTTGGTATAAGTCCGACGATTGCTAGAGGCAAAGGTTGGGAAGGATTATGACACTCACATGCAAATATGTAACTTGAAATTTTGATTCCATTGTCTAATGAAAAATCAAATTGCGCAGAGTTTGAAATCAAAAATAGAAATAATGCAGTAACGTTTCATGCCTTTATAGCATACTTTATACAGACACACTTCGCCTCTCGTCCCGAGAAAATTCACGCAATTGAGCGCTGGAGCTAACAAGTTGTAGCGCATCGTAGTCCAATTTACAGCCTACCGTTTCAGCTCTAGAGCCCTAAAGCTCGGCTTCCAGCTGTTACCCGTAGCTTGCGCATAAGAGGATGCGATCTACACACCAAGAGTTTAGTATGGGCTAACAGCTCTCTACTGGAAACGCGCATGATGGCCTTGACGTCATGAGCTGCTCATTACGAAAGCTTGCGTCAAGGCCACTTTCATCATATAAATTGTATTCTCACACCATTGCAATTATACATCGACGAGTAATTGTCTCTTGAGAAACTCGGATTTTATGTAAAGCAACTGCGCCTTCGCAATGAATGTCAACACTGCAGAAATAATCAAGGCCGCTGTTCCAGAAGCGGAGGGGCGGAATGCGCGCATCATCTCACAGAATGTGCAAGACAACAGAGATCCCAATTTTTTGTCCAGCGATTTTCCGCGAAACCCCCCAAAGCTATATATAACAGCGGAAAGTGACGACTTTGACGCTGTAACCTTTGCGGAATGGCAAGCTGAAGGGTTTGACGTTGAGTACCTTCCGATGGGTAATGGCGGAGATGAATACCTGCAGAAACTGCGAGGGCTGCGAGGGAATCAGACCATTAGCGCGTTTGAGACTTTTGGCATCATCGGTAAATAACGAGGTCTTGACTAAAGATAGAGAGGCGAGACTGACATGATGTCTGGCAGCATTTGGTGACGCAGCCGCACTTTGTCTGAAGCACTACCACGTGTTGGACAACAACCCTGACTTCAAGCTCAGGCTTCTCATTGCCTACTATCCAACCGAAATCCCAGATCCACAGGGCCGCTTCCCAAACAACATCACAGCACTGGTGCATTTCATCGCCGGAGAAGATGTCGGCGTCACGAAGCAGACGCAGATGGTTGGCATCCAAGGGAAGAAACGCACAAGCCGTAGGACTATTCAGCCCGGCATAGGCACGGGCGGCTTGCTGCAACTCGCCTTTCCCAGCTATACTTACCAAGCACAGGCGGGATTTGCTGAGCATGACTTGGATGAGTATAATATGATTTGCGCAGACTTGGCGTGGAGTCGAAGCTTGGGTACGGCGAGGAGAGCATTTGCGCAGACGGTGGATTTGGAACATGTGTGGGAGGAAAATGTGCAAGGTAAGAAACAGATTGCTCTTTTGTTAGTGGCATAGGATTGAATCAATGCGACGACTTCAATCTGCCATATACAATGGCAATATTAACATATGACATAGGCAAATTCTTCACACACAATCTTAAGCCGACAATGTCTACCTACACAACGCATAAGAGTCCACATGTCACCTATATCCCTACCCTGACTGGGGGCATTGGGGCCGAAGAACTGCAAGAATTCTACTCTGAATATTTCGGCAATCCAAAGTCACTCAAGTTAACGCTAATATCTCGTACCATCGGGGCCGACCGTATCGTTGATGAGATTCACGTTCGATTCAAGCATACCCAAGAGATGCCTTGGATCTTACCCGGAGTACCACCCACCCAAAAGATAGTCCGGATTCTTGTGGTCAGCATCGTTACTCTAAGAGGGGGCAAACTCTATCATGAACACGTATACTGGGACCAAGCTAGCGTGTTGGTACAAATTGGAGCTCTAGATCCTAACGTGGTGCCAGAGGCGGCTCGGAAGATTGGAATCAAGAAATTGCCCATAGTTGATGGCGCTGCAGCTTCAAGAGTGTTGAAAGGTTGGGATCCTGAAACAGAGGGAGAGGCGGACAATGAGTTGATACCCGGGTGGCATGATGACGAGGACGAAGATGAGGACGAAGATGAGGGCGAAGATGAAGCCGGAGATAAGTCGGCAGGTAAGAAACCTGTAGGACACGACGAGGCTGGAGACGACGTCGGCAAAAGCAAGTCAGCCGAAAAGTCAGCCGAATGAGGGGATTGCAACTCTGAATTATCACAGGGAATGGAGAGGTGTCAATCATTCATCGACATGTAAGTAATTGTAATAAAAAGGCTGCGGCTAGACGATTAGCCGCCAAGTATAAATTTGCAACTATGCACTCAGCAACTTATAAGCGAGAAACGCGACGATGTATCTCATCCAAGCAAAGCCAAGTGGGTAAAGCCGCACTGGCTCTCTACTGTCAGATCTCAAAATAGGGCGGAAATACAGCGCCTCTCAGAAGGCAGCTAAGAGAATCATTGTTTCCGAATTGTGTTACTCGTTGGAGCTTAGCGGAGGGCGCTGGGAGAAGTAAACTCGCCGTCTAAACACTAAAGAGCGGCTGTCAATGGCCAGATGCGATCGCGGAATAGAAACGGGCGAGATTAAGCCGAAAGCATCCGCTAGGCCCGCATGCTATTGTGAGATCGGCAAATGGGGAGTATAAATCTAGGGTAAATTAATTGGGGTAATAGTTACAAAGCATTACAAAAGAGATAGTAGGTATATATACGAGATTCTGGAATGTTATTGGGGATAGCAATCGGCAGCTATGCATTTCTAACAACTCATCTGCGATACCAAATCTCGGCAGCAAATAACCAGCCATGTTGACCTTGAGATTTGTTGTTCTGACGGGACTCTTTCTACTCCTCGCCCGTCTTCTTTTCATCATTGCAAAGAGCTTCTCTTCATCAACTCGCCATCTACCAGGTCCATTTTGGGCGCGATTTACTCGACTCTGGTATTTCAAGCGCGTTGCTCTCGGCGGCTTCGAGCGAGAGAACATTGCACTCCATAGAAAACATGGCCCGATTGTACGACTCGCGCCAAACATGTTTAGCATCGATTCACCGGAATCAGTAAACACGATATACGGCATCGGTTCAAAACTGCCAAAATCAGACTGGTACGACGGCTGGAAGCACCCGAGTCCCGATGCATGGACTTTATTTCCCGACAAGGATATCAAGAGGCATGCTCAGACAAGAAGAGTGTTCCAGGGCCTTTACAGCATGTCCAGCTTGGTGAGCTACGAGAAGTACGTGGACGAATGCGCGGATATTCTATTAAATCGCATGTCTATCTGTTCGAAAAGACGCGAGCCCATCAACATGGGCCACTGGTTTCAGTGTTACGCTTTCGATGTTATTGGCAATATTACGTTTTCCAAGCCTTTCGGATTCCTCGACCGCGGGGAAGATGTTTCGGGTATCCTGCAGGCTTTGAACAAGGTTTTTGCCTATTCTACTCTGATTGGCATTTTCCCTTCTCTGCATCCCTACATTTATGCCGTGACCAGCGCTCTGGGCATCGGAGGAGCAGCCGGACGCACGTATCTCATTCGCTACGTAAAAGAGTTAATTCTCCAGCGAAAGACCGAGAGAGATTTAAAAGACGAAAAGGGCATAGGAAATGCTCACGGAATGCCTGAGGATTTTCTCGAAAAGTTAATGGTGAAGAACAAAGACGCCCCAGCCAAAGTAACCGACTACCATGTTTTCATGATGAGCATGTCCAACATCATTGCGGGCTCAGACACCACTGCCATCAGCCTCTCGGCAATTCTATACCATCTTCTCAAATATCCAGATGTGATGAGCAAACTACGAGACGAAATTGACCAATCGACAAATGAAGCAGGTCAAGTCCATCTGAGCTTCAAGGAAAGTTTAGAAATGCCATACTGGCAGGCAGTTATGAAAGAGGCACTGCGTCTCCATCCCGCTACAGGGCTTCCTCTGTGGAGAGATGTCACTGAGGGCGGTCTGCATCTGAATGGGCAATTCTTTCCCGAGGGCACGACGATTGGTATTAATACCTGGACTGCGCACTACAACGAAGATGTCTTTGGCACGGATGCCGCAGTGTTTCGGCCAGAGAGATGGCTAGAGGCAGAGAAAGAAGGAGGGGATAGACTGGCCCAGATGAACGCATATTATTTCCCAGTGAGTATCGCACATGTCTGTTGAGTAGGTATTGAAGCTGACACAGATGCAGTTTGGCTTGGGATCGCGAACATGCATTGGCCGACATATCTCTTACTTGGAGATGTCGAAGCTGATCCCACTGCTCATTAGGAACTTTGACTTCGAGTTGCAAGATGGAAAGAATGACTGGCAAACAACGAATTATTGGTTTGTGAAACAAGACAACTTTAACGTCACAGTTAGGCCAAGGGCGGCAGCGTGAAAATATATGAGTGTAAACGTATACATACATTCATAAAACAGCAAAAGTAGCTCTTTTGCCAGGAATAATACAATATTTACAAAGCCCCTCTCAGTATAAACAATTAAAAAGAAATTATATTAATCTAAATGCGCCTCTTCCTTGTGTTTCCCATTCATTCCGTTTACTGTATGTGTATTGGGTTTCTTTTCTGTCATTGTCGGAGCAGTCGTCTCGGGCTCCTCCGGAATCGTGACAAACTTCTTTAGCACTTTTTTCAGGGCTGGCCGCCGTATGGGCTTGCTCAAAAACTCATCCATCCCTGACTCTATGCACTCTTTAACATTGCTCTCTTCTGAAAATGCAGTGAGCGCCACAATGGGCGCGACGTAGCCCATCTTGCGAATAAGTCGTGTTGACTGTAAGCCGTCAACGTTGGGCATTTGAATGTCCATGAAAATGACGTCGAAACGCTGATTCTTCTCCATGCTGGCTTTGACCAGCTCATATGCTTCTTGGCCGTCCTTGGCAATGGCAACGTCGTAGACGTCTTCGAGCTTGAGCATCCTGCTGACCACTTCGACATTAGTTGCGTTATCATCGGCAACCAGGACGCGCAATTTGCCATTGCCTGCTTTATTAGCCATTGCTTTATCGATTTTATTAGCCATTGCTTTATCGATTTTATTAGCCATTGCTTTATCAATGACTGCCGTGGCGATCTGATCATCCTTGCTCGGCGACGCGGGTTTTGCAGCGAAAAAGGGGGCACTAAGGCCCACAAGACGGGGTAGTTTGTTTTCTATCAAAGCAGGCGTGCTTTTGGACTTTGGCTCTTGGTGTTGGTGAGGAGATGCTGAGCCGTTCAACGAGTTGCGGTGACCGTCAGCATTCGCTGTGGACCTGACGCTTGTCGGCCTTGAATTCGTGCTGCTGGAAGCCGTGCTTGGCGGGCGATCTTTGACGTATTTGAGCGGGATCTGCATCGTGAAAGTCGACCCCACACCCACGGTGCTTTTAAGAGTGATTGATCCGCCCATCAGTTTGGCAAGCTGTGAACAGATACTCAATCCCAGACCTGTTCCTCCAAACTTCCTGTTCAGGCCGAGGTCTCCCTGTACAAATGGCTCGAAAATCTTATCTTGCATATGTTCGGGAATACCTGGGCCAGTGTCTTCTACCTGAAATTCGAATATGTACGGCTTGGCATTTGGCGGAGGCGGTGTTGGCGACCTCTCCCGAATGCGTACGTGAGGAGTAGCCTTGGGATCCATGGGATTGATTGACAGAGCCGTACCGCCTTTGACCGTGGAAGAGGAGTTTGTATTTCTAGAGTTGGCAGAGCGCGTAGATCCCGTGCTGCCGCGATGCCGGCTGCGCCCAACCCTCCCAGAGCCACTTTTGGACAAGGATGAAGTCCGACTATCATTGTTGCTGGTATGCTCGACCTCGGCAATGCATCGAATCTTGAGATGCACTTTTCCCCCGGCCGGCGTAAACTTGAGACTATTGTTGACAAGATTGATCATGACTTGTAAGATTCGATGCTGATCGCCCCAGACATAGGCGTCTTTCAATCTGCCCATGCCATTGGGGCCTAGAGCAGGCAGTCTCTTCTCGAACGTACTATCATTCAGAATTCCATTCAGCTCTGCGTTCTCGCTCCCTAGGAAGCTGACGGTGAAGGCGATGTCACTCTCGCGAGCCTGTTTATCGAAAGTGAAAAGCATTTGGGACTTGATTTCGCCCAATCGAAATTCTTTCTCTTCAAGGCTGATATGCTGGCCGATTTGGTTTTTGGAAAAACTGAGCAAATCTTCTAAAAGATGCAGTAAGAGGTCGCCTATGTCTGCAGTTAGCAAGAAATCAAGAGGTACAACAATGTGCAGAATGGAGGCTGCATACCTGATCTATAAAGTGTCTTGAGTGACTGTTTTATCCGCACAATGTCGTCCTCTTCCATGCAAACAGCACACATGCCCATAATGCCATTCAGCGGCGTTTTCAATTCGTGCGAAATGTTGGCAATGAACAAAGTCTTGCTCTCGTTGGCAGCCTCGGCCGCCCTTTTACTAATCTCCAGTTCCCGCGTTCTCTCAGAAACTTTCTCCTCCAGAGATGTGTACTGCTTCAACAGCTCATCAGACATTTCATTGAACGTCATCGAAAGCTCCGTTAATTCGTCAGTAATGTAGTGTTTCTTAACGTCGACTCTGGCAGGAATTTTGAAGACGTGTCGGTTGGCATCATCTTCACTGATGGGCTTAATCTTCTTCTTTGGGAATACCTTGCGCCAGATGGTGCCGAAAAAGCCCCTGTCGGATCGCTTGGAACTAGTAGCTCCCGAGCTTGGGTGCTCTTCATCAAACGCATCGTCAAACTCGTCTTCATATCCTGGAGGGTTGATGGACTTTTCCGTGGCGTACTTGAGTCGGCGGATGGAAAGCACGCTGATGTGTGCGCAGGGAAAGACCAGAATGGCAACAAGGCCGGCGGTGCCAAAGACGCATCCCAGAAGGATATCTCTCAGCTGGTTGATGGGCTGATAGGCTTCGGATTTGGACTTTTCGACGACGACGGCCCAGTTGACGAGGGTGGTGTCCGGGCGGGCGACGCCTACGGCAACGGCAGTGCCTTGCTCGTTGGTTGTTGACAAGGCCACAGTGGAGTTGTTGTTTGCGGAAAGCTTCTGAGTATAGACTTTCTGCAAACTTGGATATGCATGTAGCGGAAATGGACGTGCATAGTTTCTACCATCCTGATAACTTCGCTCAGAATGTCGATCGGATTGTCCTGGGATAGAGACTGGGGGGATGACGAAGTGAACAGGAGTGTTTTTGAATTGATCCACCACGGGAGTATACGTGTCGTTGCTTGCTGGCGCAGATGCATTGAAGCGATTGGAAGGATTGGCCGGTCCTACGAGCAGGACGACGCCCGTCGAACCCAAGCCGTCAGGCGCCATCTGGATGTCGGTCAGAGACCCCGCGGCGACAACCACCGTCATGTAGCCAAGAATGAAGTTTGTTATGGCGAAGGAGCGGACGGGGATGGTGAGGGACAACAAGGCAAACGTCTCGTTGATGACCATTGGGCCGAGAAACAGGCCGCCGCCGCTACTAAGATTGACGTTGGGAAACGCATAGGCGCCAAAGGCCGGGGTCGACGGGACGTAGGGGTTGGGATATCCGAGGTTGGTGTAGGTGATGTTTGGGTAGAGCGACGGCGGGTATCCGAACTCGGTGTCGCTCAGGTTGACGCGGGAGCCGTCGGGCGCCAGGTAGGGCAGCTGGATGTTATCCGTGGCATTGCCCACGCCGGCGCCGGTGACGCTGACGAGCCCTTGGTGGCCGCCGCCGGTCGTGTTCCGCGAGTACAGGCGGGCCTGCAGCAGGCCGGAGGAGCGGCTGGAGCCCATGGCGCTCTCGAGGTCGGCGCGGGCATTGGCAAAGGGGTCGGACGAGTTTTGGTTGTAGAAGTCGACAAAGGCCTGCTGCAGCAGGATGCGCGTGGCGACGGTCTGGCAGATGGTCTGGGCCAGCTGCAGCTCCGAGGCAATCTCAGACGCCTTGAGCTGGGCCGTCAGCGCCAGGCCGTTGGACTCGACGTCGACGACGAAGTTGTGCACGTAGATCCATGTCGGGATGGAGATGATGGCGAGGGCGACGAGGACGGCGGACAGGACAAGCGCGGCGAGCTGCTCTCGGATGGCGATTCTCATTTTCGGTGCTGGCGAGGGATGAGCAGGCAGGGCGCAATGCGTGGCATACTGCGATACTGCTGGGGAACGACCGCAACTATCGTTCCATGCGCGACATGCTTGCCGGAGTCGTGGTCGGGGAGAAGGGAGATGGAAGGCGAGGCTGGGTCAAGGCCAAGGTGAGGCTGGAGGCGTGGGTTTGGGTTTGCGGGCGAGCCGACGGCGGCAGCGTATCTGAAATTATGCCCGGGAAACCGGTTTTTGTCCTGGCCCTTTTTTCTCCTGGGGCTCTCCGTTTCCCGTCTCTCTGGTTCGGCTAGATCGAGTCGAGTCGAGTCGAGTCGAGTCGGTCGAGTCGGTCGAGGCGCCGGGACGTCCCTGGCCGGCCGCCGTTGGTTTCGGTCGGTCTGTCGTGTCGCTGGTGAAACCGTGAAGATGCACTCACAGCGTGCCTCGGGCGTTGTAGTTGCTACAGTAGAGCCTGCAAGAAACGTCCAGTAACGAAAGACGGCCAAGAGGATCAGCGCTGGTGCATGGCTGTGGACGCGCGAGTCCGAGCCTGTGGGCAAGTTCAAACAGGGAACAGGGCCACGGCATGGATGGAATTTAGGTACCTACTAGTAGGCGGAGCCGCTACGTCGGTTCGCCGGAGATTGGTCGGCTCAACCTCTGGCCAATCATGTGGCCGCAATTCCCATATTGTCTGGCAAAAGTGGGGTGCGCGGAGCAAAGCGTCCTCCTAAAAATCTTTTTTTGCAGTTTTATAGTGCCCCAAACGGCTTGGTAGGCTGGGGTTTGCGATTCTAGAGCATCGCCTATACCAAGATTAGGCTGTGGGTAAATGCCAGCAGAGGTGAGATGGGGGCGCTTTGTAATAATTCGGTGTAAACTACGTGTAGGTAAATAGCAAATTGAACTCTAATTACGGTCTGTATTTACAACAGACGGGAGAGATTGCCATCGATTTGGCGTCTGTATTCCTCTGCCCTCGTGTTGATAATCGTCTACGTAATTTGCATGACACTGCAGGTCTGGAACAAACGCTAATACGTGCCCGTGCAGAGTGCAGCGCAGTAAGCTCAGCAGCAATCGCGTGTCGCGGCCGGCTGGCGACCTTAGACAACATAAGCGTCATCTAAAAGCAGCCACTTGGATGTGAGATCTCGATCTCTCCTGAAAGCAGTTAGTTGGTTGATTCCAGCGCAACTGTGGTTCTATGCACGATTTCGGCCCAATTTTTTACAGACGGGCTCACCGGTGTCAAAAGGTCCTAAACTCAACTAGCAATAGTTACTCCTGCTCCAGGAGTAAAAGGGAGAGCCTCAAACATTGACAAGGCAACGCGCCTTGGCGTTTCTTCATCCGCGCAAGGCACACACGGCTAGCATTAAACTCACCATTCAAGTGCTGATCTTCAAAAGTCAATTGCGGGATCGCCAATCTGCAGACCTTCTCCAGCGCGTGACCCAACTTTATGCATATTCCCCGGATCGGCATATTACTAAGACCATACCTAGTAAAAGTCAGCTGGTTGAATGTTACACAACCGTGCGCTCTCTACAGATTTACGTTGAGGTATTACAAGGAGGTAGTATATGCCTGCAGATCGACGTATGGTCTTTTTTTTTTTTTTTTTTTGTTATTGTCTTCTTAAGGTCCAATGTGAAAACCTCAATGAAAATAGCGTTGTGTTTTTCGAACTTAAACTCAGGCAACGCTTTTACCTAAAATCTGAGTACTGCTCGTCGCATACGCCGATCTTAGTCGGGATTCACTTTTAAATCCCTAGTACATCGGTATTCAGTTGCAAGCACAACATCAGAAATCGCTTCTACTCAATGATGCATGTCTCTATCACAGCCTAGTGCTTCGAATATAATTTAAGCTCACGTTGCGCAGCTGTCTTTGTCTTTAAGTGCTATTTAGTTTCTTTTTCTGGATTAGAGATACAGGGTAGGAATTGGCTACTGTTCTTCGCCAACCAGGTAATACGACACAACAGTCCTGCAGCTTACTTCTAGCTAAGTACGGTAAGTAATGCAATACCACTAACCATATATCTATTTTGAGTCTCTGCAAACTTTAGACAAGCAATGCCATTTCAGCTATTGGGCTTTACAAATAACAAAGCCGCCTGCCATTGGCCGCTGAAGACCTCAAAATCTGTGTACAGGCCGCTTGCATTCATCCAGCCAGGATCGTCACCTTAACTAATTGTTTCATCCTTCTAATTGCCTTGCATTCCTCTACTTTCTCTTTCAAATAGCAAAGTAACTCCAGAGGGGCGTTTAGTGTCTATAAATACATTGCGTAGTGATTAGGTAGGTATTGCTCTTCAATTCCAGTTGTGCAGCACATTATCCACTTCACTTAGAAGCTGCTCCTTTCTTGACGAAGAGCACCAGCTTCCAGCAATAGCTCCGCGAGCTATCTTCCCCCAGTCATCCACGGTCAATCCGAAAGCTTCCTGAACCGCGCAATAGTTTTCCTGGATGTAGCCTCCAAAATAAGCAGGATCATCGCTGTTGATGCTAAATCTCACATTGGCGTCTAAGAACTCGCGGATTGGGATATCTTGCATCCTATCAACTCCTTTCAATATAACGTTTGACAAGGGACATAGAGTCAACATGGTGGCTGATTCGGCAAGTTGAGCGACAAGATCTGCATCTTCAGCAGAGCGTCGGCCATGGTCTATACGGCTCACATTGAGAAGTGATAGCGCGTCCTTGACATAATCCGAAGGACCTTCTTCTCCATAATGAGCCGTGAAGTTGCTTACTCCAGCGGCTCTTGCTGAATCGTAAACAGATTTGTAAAGCGAAGGGTGCTTTCCCAGTTCGGTACTGGACATTCCGAAACCGACCAGAGTTCCGTCAAAAAAATGACCAGAGGCGAGCAGCTCGTCGAGCAGCTCATGTGCTGAAGGCACTGGCAGATGACGCAGCAAACAGGGTATGAACTCGATACTGAGCTTGGGGAAGTCAACGGCAGCTCTAGCTTTTGCGGCATTCATGCCGGCGATGATTGTGTGGTATGGAACATTGCGCGAGATATGGGCTTGCGGATCAAAGAATATCTCGGCATGGTACACATTTTGCGAATACGCAAGAGCGAGATAGTCATATGTCAAGGCTTCAAAATCCGAGGCATTGATGAGTGCGGAGAATCCAACAAAGTAGTAATGTAAGAAGTCATCGAGAGAAGTGAAGTTCTGATAACGCGCGTGCAGAGCTGCTGGGCTCTCAAAAGCCGGGTCGTCTGACGGCAGTGTTATGCCGTTCTTAGAGGCAAGTCTGAAGAACAACTCTGGAGAGATTGTGCCCTCTATGTGAACATGATGCTCACACTTGGGGAGAGCCTGCAGAAGCTGGTGAAGTTTGTCGTTGCACATGATGGTCCAAGCGTATTGTCGATTGAATTGGGGAATATCTCTCTACATGGCGCCTTTTAAATGGTGGTTTTCAACTGGTGCTAGTGAAACGGAGTGGGTGGAGATGCTGTCAGTCTTTCTGCTACTAGGACTACTGCGGAGTAGTGTTTCAACAGTATGCGCTCCAATTTGGCACATTTGGCAACATTTGGCGGCGCTCTCATCGGAGAGCTCCGAGCACCGGTTCTACATCATCGGGATTGCCAGACACTCTGGTGCGTAGTTTACAAAAAAAGGAGATACGAAGAATACGGCCTTGAGAACTCTTCGACGATCCGATGCGCTGAAATTGCCGTCAGCATAGCCGTTATCACTACGACGATTGAATTAAACTGCACCTCTATACAAGAAAAACTTTGCTTGTGATGCGTTTCTTACCGTCCCCTCTATCTACTGACGGCAATCTTCGCTCCCGAAGTATCGTTCTCTTTGGCAAAGTTTGCGATTGTTTCTTCCTGGCCAAGTTTAAGTCTCTGGAGATATGCGTAATACATATCCACTGAAGTGATTCCTCGCCGCACTGATGAATCTGGAGTATAGAGGCTTCGTGTCGGTGCTAAAAAGTTTCAGTTTCAGCTTATTTGGCATAATGGTTATAAGACAGGTGACATCAATTGAAAGGGAATGCAACTCTCTTGTTCCAAGTACGGTGCTCAGGCGAAACAAGTCGTTTACGGAATTGGAAAAAGAGAAAATGCAAGGCACCGTTACACAGTACAGTGTTAAGCGCGATCAAAACTCCCCATCATTTTGAGAGCTGACCTTGTGTGGCAGAAGCGCACCAACCCAAAGATTTTCTTGGATATAGATAGGCCTTTCTGAGTACCACAAAGCGCTCGACTTGTAGATCAGTCAAACTTGCCACTTGCTATTCACCTGTGTTCCGTCCACCATCTCTCAATATAATATATCTTATCAGTTCAGTTGCGAGGGTTGTTTTATTATCAACGTCAACCTCGTATGCAAGTTAGTTGTGAGGGTTGGTGGGATAAATCTCTTGTGAGGCTTAGGCACTTCTGGGGCCGTATATCTGTGTGGCGTAATATTTTAGTTGGGCTACAGTGAGGCGCCCAGCTAAGGTATTGTGTATTGCGATAACATGCCATCACAAGTGTCAACTGCTTTTTCTCAGGCTTAATTCCACCACCAATAACGTGGCTAGTATCCCCCGACAGGTTAGAAGTTAATGGAATACAGAAGATTTTTTCTTAGGTTAGTGCGGAGAGACTTTTAGGAGCAACGTTGTAGCGATAGCTTATGGCGCAGTCACAGTAGGGATTGCAATTACTTATAGATTTACTCGTGAAAGAGTGCTTGCTTCAAGTCGCTATGGCATCATAGCTGCAATATGTATCAATTCTATACCATAGCTTGCTAAGGTAAAAGCCTGGATAACAGACGGCCGAGCTTAAACTCCTTTGGAGAACTCCATACAACGACTGTATCTTCCCTGTTCGAAATTGATATATTGATTCAGCGACGACAACAGCCACAGCTTTGTCTTTTGTCGAGGTCTTCGTCGTCAGAACAACAGCTTTCACTGAAGTCACATTTAAGACCACCACAGCAGTCGCGATTGCTATAACAGCCGAGATTGGGTATTGCGCATGTTTGTCGTTCTTCTAGGTTCGCCCCTCCTCTAGGTCTTATGCCCGCGATGGCTAGACCCGATCCCATAAGAGTCGTCAAAATAAGAATTGAAATCTGCATTTTTTTTGCTTGTAGTGGGTGATATTGTAGATAGTGTTTTCCGGAAAAGAAGATGTTGGACAAATTTAAGGCAGAGTCATTTTGTGCGGTGGAAGGGGATTGGGATTTTATACTATTGTCGTAACTCCTAAACGTAGATTGCCTCAGGGGACATACCGAGCTCCTCTAGTTATGACGTCTTCGTTTCTTCTCTTTTTTCGTACCCTTGTGGTAATTAGATTGTCTTGAAGAATGTGAGACAATATTTCAGCTTTCATGCGGTAACAGTGGCTGGGTCAGTAGTGAGACACGGCAAAACTTAGTAGCGTCTATCGCGCCGATTCAATATCAACCTGATGATATTGGATGCTGAGGTTAAACTCCGTAACGGGTTCCTTCCGGCACCACAAGATTTCCGCATAGGCCTTTGCAATGAACTTTGTTATCTAAAAACAGAAACGTATTGCTCGCCTGCAACGCTATACAACCGTTGTCTCCCTTGTATTACTGCACAAGATGCGAAGAACGGTTATAGCTTTGAACGTGTTTATCCCAGCTCCGGCGGTTTATGTGCAAGGAGCAATACGACTGACTTAGGCTCATAAGCAGTATTGAACGAGTTTATCAGTCAAGTTAAGACAGGCATTAACCGGTCACGAGATATGGACTGTGGTTAGCTTGAGCCGACGAAGCCTGCCCTACTCATTGCTACCCATTTCGTAAGCAGCAGGGGGCCTGTTCTGTTAGCTCAGGTCTCCACGATTGCCGATCTAACACTAAAAACAATCTTAAAGTCTTAGAGGAATATGTACGGTACATACATGGCCACACTCAGGGGTTAGTTCTTGGGTAGACCACAGCAAAGAACAACGCGAAATGGTTGTGGCTCACCCTTCATCTCTCCACTCTCTGGGGCAGATGCAGCTATTTCAATGCGGAGATTGAGTTTCCTTCATGATACAATAAGTATTTGCCTCGAAAGTAGAGAGCTTTTTGCCAAAAAAGGAAAAGCTGAGACTGCAACTTTGGGCCATGGGTAAAGTCACTGCTTATCTACTGTAAGCACTCTCCGACTGACTAGGTTCGTTCCCATTCCATCTTTTTAAATCGTATTGTCGACTCTTTTCGGTACTGCTCTATTCTGTGTGCTGTAAGGCCACACCTGGCTGGTTTGATTCACCACCAATGTAACACCCTCTTTATAATCCGCTGTCACTCTTCTTCCAATCAACACGTTAGATGCAGTAGCAGCCACCAAAACATCAAAACGCCTTGCGCAGGGACAAATTGGGATCCTGAAATATTACAGACCTTCAAGATCATCGATGAGTCTGACCTTTGCAACTATGAGGAGATTTTATAAATTGCTGCTGATGAGCTGATGTTGGATGGTACAGCTTGCCCCTTCAACCCTCTATTACAGTCATTCATCTCTGTTTGGGTGCTTCTATCCTCCCTAAGGTTATCGCCTAGTTCAGTGATGGATCGGTTGCCTTCTCTCGACAAGGTCTTTGAATTTAGAGGTTTCAACATCTTCTTCTATTCCGGTAGGTGTACGCATTGGCTTCCTCGCGAGTGGTTTCTGTACTCTTGAGGAATTAACTGGGCGGGTGGTCCCGCTAGTACCCTTCTTGGTGATGAGAACGTAAGCTTCAAGCTCATTAATCAGGAAGATTTCTTAACTATTGCCCATATGAGTAAGTCCATCCCGTCACTACCTAATGGCTCAGAGTAAGGTTGGAGCTAACCTTAGAATTGTAGTCATTGATAGTGTGGAGAGTTTCGACAAGTCTGCTGCTCAAGAGGTGCATGGGATTGGCAGTAGCATTGCTCAATTGATTTTGGAATCGGCGAGGAAAAGATCCCATTGCTCCCAGTCGATAGTTTGATACGCTCTGTTATCTGCGCCGACGTCCCCAGCCACCAGAGAATCCAGGTCTATGTCTTCTATAGCATAGGTATATTCAGCTTCGCCGCCGTGCTCATTGGCATGCTCGAATCGTTGATTTTGACTATCAGCATCCACGTGTTCCGCAGCGTCTTCCTGGTTGGATATCGTGCCGTGCTTAAGACCTGTCGATGCGGTAGTGGCCTCTGAGCTGATGGGGTCCCACTGGAACGCATCCTCGGCTTTCCTAGAGTAGGCTTGTCTTTTGATCTTCACCTTCTCTTGTCGCTGCCGTAACTTCAAAATAAACGCCGGCGTCTGGAGAGCATAAATACCATTGCGCTGCAGCCTGTGAGCATCGTATGCCTTCAGACAGAGACTGCGCACGGCTCTGTGGATGGGCTTTCTCGAGTCGGAAAACATGCTCATATTATTCTCGAACGTGTTCGCAATCAGCCTCCACGCTTTCTCGGCATCCGGCGTAGATGGATTGGCTCGGAGGCTATCGAGCACGTGGATGAAAGCAGGCCATTGCATGGTAAACGCTGCGTGCCATGCAAACTTCTTCAGTGAGGGGTTTGACTGCAGCATGTCGCGCTGCTCTAGAAGCCTGATGCTGACTTCCCATACCCATTGACGCTCAAATGGCGGCGCCTGGTTGATGCTGGTCCATCTGCGTGGGTGGTGTGTCATGAAGCGAATGGTGTCTATCGCAGCCCGTGCCATCAGCATCGACATTAGCTGCAGCGGCTGCGAAGGATCGCAACGCCGAAGGTATTTTTTCTCCAGATGCTCTTCTATTTCCTTCACACTTTGATCCGTCTCCGCCTTGTCACCTTTGGATGCGAAATCCTGATCCCACTCGCTTAGACTCTTGCCTAGACGACGAAACTTGGCAACGCGGGCGGCGGCAAACCAGAGTAGGTCGTATCTTATAGCGAGAAACGTCATGTCCGTCAAATTTCCCGACTCCACCGGCGAGACAGGCATTCCCGGATAGAGCTCAACGTCGTTGATGTTGGTGGGACGCCTCGTGGAGTCGCTGCTCAGGCCAACATCTCGAAACTTGGGAAGGCCGCACAGCTCAGCATGATGTAGATCTTGCGCTTTCAGAAACCACCACATGCGTCGCCGCAGCTCTGTTTCAAATGGTGGCAACCCAAGAAGTGTTCCATCGCGATCAAGGCCCATGCCGTTGGCAACGCGAACCGCCACACCTGTCAAGGTCCAAAGGGCGCGCGGTTCGTACATGTCTCGCGCTGAGATGATGTGAATGACCAATGCCTGAAGAACTACAAGGTTAGCTGTGCTCATGAAGTTGGCTCGCGATAATGCTGCCTTCGTGGCAGTCATTAATCTAGATCGCAGAGACTTTCGAGGCTCGTGAAGTCGTTCCTCACATTCAACGTCGCTCAGTGACATAACGGCGGCGCTGTAGATGGCAAACATGAGTGCCTCAAAGCTCTGCGAGACCGTGTCTACTTCATTTGTAGCTTCATGGAATGACTTTTCCAATGTGGGGATATGCACAACTTTGGAGAGAGGATCAACATTTTCCACAAAAGTGCGCCATAGTTCATGTATCTGTTGTGGCGGTGGATGAAGGAGTTTGGTGCGAGATATCGGTGGGCCGCCAAGCACAAAACTAAAGTCATCATTGAGGGTTTCTGCATCACTCGAGTCGTCTGAACTCCTCCGCAGAGCATCCTCGGGGTCGTGAAACTTATGATACCGTTAGCGCCCAGCAAGCAACCCAAGCAAGATACGCGGCAGGACACTCACCTCTTCCACAACTCTTGACCACAAGCTACTACGCGGGGACTCAGCAAATATATCCAAATTATTGGGGGTCTGAACTCACTTATCAATCAGCATTGACTGCCCTCGTCCTTGGATAACTTGAGTTTTGCTGACATTCCCGCTCGGCTCTGATGAGCTCGATTGTGAGCCGCGAATTTCCTGACTCGACAGATGGCTCCGTGAATCAGTATCAGGAGGATTGGGTGATTCTCTCGGGCTGTGGCCTTGCGCTTGAAGGCGTGTTTGCGGGTATTCGCGCCTATCTACCGAAGGCCCAGCTGCCCCAGGTCGACGTCTTCTCCGAGGAGGCGGCGGAGGTTGAAACACGCACTCAGCTCCATGTTTGACACACGCGGTGCATGGTACATGTCTGTCACATTTTACTTTCCGCCCAGCGCAGCGAACGCAAGCAAAAGTTGGCCTGCTGGGAACGCTCAAAGGTGGATTGCGTGCAGTTCCCATGGCATCCGATTAGGCGGAGAGAAAGTATGATTCCTCGTTGTAAAGCTAATCCCTATTCCCTGCCGATCCACAGTCAGTAGTTATGTCGGCGTGCAGAGTACTGTCGTGAAGAATGCTAATGAAACAGAGATGAAGAGATAGAGATGAGATGACTCAACATTTGTGCCATCAAGTCGGGCTGGGCTGCACGCTAATTATCTAGTAAGAGCGGCCATCCACGTTGGCATCAATATTTCATCTGCACGGTAGCTCGGGCCGTAGTGGGCTCGGGCCTTAGTGACTCGGTCCCGAGTGGTTCGGCCCCGAGTGCCGCATCACCCAAGGTGGGACTTCCAAAGCCGAAAGCCTGCTGGACATCAGATAGGTAAAGCCGCGAGAATAAGAAAAGTATATCAAGCATGCTTCACTAAGGCTTTAGAATAATCTTCACTCGTACAGCAGCCCTTCTTCGCCCAAACTTCACATGTTTGTCACTGCACAATGAAGAGTGTCATTGCCATCATCGGGGCCGGCCCCTGCGGCCTCACTCTAGCCCGCCTCCTCCACCGCAAGAATATCCCCTTCACCGTCTACGAAAATGAAGAGTCAGCGGCGTCTCTAGTCTCTAGTGGCTCACTTGATATACGCAAAGAAACAGGTCAGCTTGCTCTTCGGGAGGCTGGTTTGTACAATGCTTTTGCTCAGAAAGCAAGATGGGAGGACGATCGGGTTACCTTTTTTGACCACTATGGAGAGCTGTTGCATCGAGCTACTGGCGAGGCAGAAGATGGAGAAGACGGCTTGAAGACTGGTGGAAAGCCCGAGATTGACCGTAGGACCTTACGAGACATCCTTCTGGAGTCAATCCCGCAAAACCAAATAGTTTGGTCTCATCGTCTGACAAAGTTAAGTTTCGACGGTGACAACTCGTCTCCCGTCCTACACTTTTCCAATGGCAACACAGTTGGTGGATTCTCGCTCGTTGTCGGGACAGATGGGGCCTGGAGCAAAGTACGAGCTGCGGTACGGCTGTCCTCACTTCCTCGATATAGCTAGACGTCTAACAAAATAGTTATAGATCACCTCTACGAAGCCACAATATGCAGGAAGTACCTTCATCGAAACTCGCATACAGGAAAGCAGCTTGTTGCACAAGACGGTGACGGACAAAATCGGTCATGGCATAGCTCTATTTCTGGCAGGGCCAAACCGTATGATCATTCAACGACAAGGCGATAACTCATACAGGATCTATTTTGGCATCACTGCCCCTGAGCACTTTGTTGGCACGTCTATGGACTTGAACAACCCCCAAGCCACTCGCGATATGCTTTTGTCCTCTTTCTTCAAAGGCTGGGCTGAGGATCTAAGAGATTATATTCGAAACGCGGAGAATTTCCGCAGCTGGCCGCTGTATCAACTTCCTGCAGAAAGCTTTGGTTGGAACTCGGTACCAGGTGTGACTTTGGCGGGAGACGCTGCGCATTTATCGTTGCCCAATGGGGAGGGTGTCAATCTCGCCATGAAGGATGCCTTGGAACTTGTCACTAAGATTGAAGAGAACGGAGTGGAGCATATAAATAAGGCTGTAGAGGAATATGAGAGGGATATGTTGAAACGCGGCAAATATCACATCAAGGCCGGTGAGGAGATGGATCGACTCATGACGCATCCTAAGGGAGCGAAGGCTGTTGTGAAGGCTTTCGCTGAGAGCTAATCCTATTTACAAATAGAAATAGGCCCCATCTACCATTTTACTATTACTACAATATACGATTTACTTCTGACTCTAAATTTACTTGTAATTATAGAATTAGTTATGCGCAATATATGTACAGTTAAAGGCGAAATGGGTGTCGCTAAATTTTTAGTTAGTTGTTTTAAGCAAGGCCCACTTTTGAATCATTCTGGCTTGCTACCCCCGCTTAGTTTGTACTCCAATGGTACCGCCATTTCCTGCCATAACAGAGAGGTAAAGCCAATTTCTTGCTTACTTCGCAAAATTGGTGTCTCTTTTGCGCATGAAGAGAAATTCCAAGCGCAGGCTACAGCAGCCACTACTGGCGCTAACCTTTGGCGTTCTTTGTGCCTTTTACTTGATGTGAGGCTCTTCCTACAATGTTACTTTCTGGCTGGGCACCGTCAGGGAGCTCGGTTCGGGGATCGCTTGGCGGAGCTGCCGGGCATAAGCCATCGGAATTCTGATGTGCAGGGATCACCTGTTCTCAATAAATTTACCTGGTGGATTTGGCCAAAAAGGCTCTACTTTCTCTCCAGGCCAAGCTACGTGGATGACACTCAAAAGAGCCGCATCGTCCTTGCTACTCTGGTGGCAGAGAAGTGGGCGTGGTTGGTAATCGTCCGATCCGCCAATGGAAGTGGACGTTCAACATTGAAAGCTGACCCCGCATTTGGGCTCGACAAGGCTGGGTAACAGCATCTCTAGAACTCCCATCTGTTTAAATATCAGGATAGTATGTATTATCCGTATCGACAAATACTTGTCAGATTTTATGGCTCAGCTCCTTGAGTGCGCTGATCATCCAAAACTGTGTTGGAGGGTGACACACGCTGGAACACAGTCTCGGCGAGATCCACGCAACGGAGACCACCTAGCCTCAGCTACCGTGGAGATTCACGCTGTATTTGCGTTAACGCAGGCTGTCAAAACACATATCGACTAGAGCAACAGAGCTCCAAGTTGCTTTTTATCAGTCTTCAGTGATAAACAACATGTTTATAATTGGGCAGCACAAAGATGCCCTCCAGTCTCTGTCTATACCATCGACACAACGAATCTACCAGATGGAGTACCTTTGTTGAATATGGAGTCACTTCAGGCCGCTCTAAACATAACCTACAAATATTCAGCACACGAATTTCTGTTTCTGCACAGAATTCCGGCTCAGTGTATTGTGACGGATAAGAGTCTGGATATCCAACTTAGCGGCCCATCAACGTCACAGGAGGGCACCGGCTATACCACAACTCTCGAATCGGGTCGACAAGACGCATTCACCTCTGCACATAACAACTTGATTCAGAGCTTTGATGCACTCAGCGATAGTTTACAACAGTTCATTGATGCATCAACTAAAGCCAATGGTGTCCTGACCAGAATCGTGAATAAGAGAGCTATAGGCGACGCCGCCAGTGAGGAAGCGAAGGAGATAAAGGAAGATCAGGAGAACCGGTAGGTATCTGAGTCTCACGAAAGCGAACAAGTCCAGTAACTTGGCCTGCGACAGCGGGGTCGAGCCAGGAGTTCCCCGGCTGTCTCATTTCACACATCATCTTCTACTTCATCCACCTGTGCCGTACGATAAACCTCCAGGTTATCATTCCACCAGACAGATTGAGATCACCTGACGCCCTCCAAATTTAGACACATAAACTGGTTATCAAGCCTGCTTTACCTATCGCTCATATGCTGCTGAGCAACGGCTGTTACTAGCAGGACAGGCGTCAGGGATACTAAATGCAGCCTGTGGCTGGCTTTTTAATCTTTTTAATCTTTTTAATCTTATTAAGCAAAATCTATCCCTAGACGTGTCTATAATTGTCAGGACTGGGTACACAGAAGAGTGAAAGAGCATCAAGTGGATTAACTGCGTTCTTATTGATAGGCTGCAGCTAAGTTCCTGAAAAGACTATATTTTTCTCTGCCCCCTCTCTTTACAAAGCTGGGGAGCTTTGTTTCTTTATATATTCGTTTTCTTATGGCAATTAGGCTCTAACTAGTTGCGTCACAGCTTCTTTGTTCCTTGTGATCTGACAATAATTCAGTCCGTTTACCCGCTTCAGTATCAAATTTACATCATCATTAAGCTAGACGACATCCTACCTAAGAAATGTATGGCCTAGATGAGAAAACCTAGTCGTAGTCTGAATCATTCTTCCAATATGGGTCATTCCTCCGGCGATAGTACTCTTCCTCCCACTGTTCTTGCTCTTCTCTCTCCTCCCTCTCCAGTTCCATTCTATTCATCTCGTCGTTATATCTAGAGCAATCTTCATCGTTGTCAAATTCGACCCTGCCATCATCAGAGATCCAAACTCTCGGCGGGACCTTGGTGAGCTCTATAACCCATTTGTTGCTCGGCATTTTCTGCATCAGGCTCTCGCGAGACGCCAATGCCTCTTCGTCAATATCATACTCCCCACGAACCACAAAAATCTTCTCTAGAGAAGGCATATCCTTAAGGCCGGCGTCATCTAGTGTTTTCAGCATCTCTGCAGCGAGGTCAACATCCCAAAGCGAGAATATACTGTCGGGTGGCTTGCAGAAAATCTCAACTGTCTTCAAATCCGTACAAGTATCCCGAATAAGTTGAAACACTTGAATATGCTCCTCGTGAAGAACGGACGGTTTCCAGGAAGCGAATGACGTCGGGAAGTTGATACAAACATGCCGCAAAAAGCCCGCATTAGATCCGATTTGTCGAAGGAAGGGCGCGATATATGGTACGTCGGAGTTGTACAATGTCAAGCCTATATCAGGTTCGAAAGAGGTGTACGCATCAGGAAATCGAAATCGGTTGTTTAAATAGACAAGCGGTATAGCCTCTCGATTTATCGTCTTGTTGACACGAAGAATGGCCGGATAGAGTCCTTGCCTTTCCATCCGCAAAAGGCGTGGATTGATAGGGCCATGGTCCGCACGAAACTCAACAGGGCTATCTTGGACAAGTAGTTCGGAATACACACGGAGACGGATCTCAATAGGGATGCTGAGAAGAGACATTGAAAAGTTTCAGGCAATTAGGCAGACTGTTCCGTGGTGGTTAATTAATACTTAGGAGATGGAGAGAACAGGGTCAAGTCGATTGAAGAGAGCCGCAAAGAGACTTCAAACTCCCTTTTCTAGGGAGAGACTTTGAGTAGACATGAGGTGGGTGGCTCAAATACACATGCTGGTACAAGGTAGCCAGAAAGCCAGGAGCCAGCCCCACAGTCACCAAATAAGTTATCTAAATAATTAGCGACACCCTTTTCGCCTTCCACTGTAATGCTCGCCCTAAGAAAAAGATAACGATCCAACTTCCGGCCAACAGAACCCCGAACCCATTTCTAGACAATGCTAGGCCCAGTTTAATAATGTACGAGCGTCTCGACGTCTACACTGTACAAGCCACACTGCGCCACAGAACTGGTCCTTGCGGAAAGACTTTCGTTATAATGAAAACCAGACACTAATATCGGTTTTCTACTGTACAGTACACTGTTGGTAAGATTAAGCACAACCCTAGCATTAATTCAAGTTGCTATGACCACGCGCTATGCGTAATCTACAATACGTATTCAATCCAGCAAAAGGACTAGCATCTTTCTGCGCCCCACCGCATCAATAGCAGGTCGTCATCAATATAGGCCATTTCCCCCTTGCGAGGTCTGCCGTTGGTGAGCATGTTGGCATTGGCTTTCGTGACAAGCAAATAACTAAGGGCTGCTGGTTTGTTTGTCCATCTGTCGGCAGTTACAAGACTCCTGAGGTTAAATTGATTGAAGATTAGCTGGTTGGACACAGACATACTTGGTTCTCCGCTACTGCCACGATGAAGAGAGACAAACAAATTAAACTCATGTTGCTTACTGTACACTTGGCATACCACGCCGCCAGATCCCGACCAGATGATTGAGAGGACAAGAACATTCATCTCAAGAGAGAACTGCGCGAATTGTTGGTCCGAGAGATTTTACTGGCCCTCAAGGCCTTTTTGACTATTGGACCGCAAAGCCGTACCGTAGCTATATCTCCACTGACTATATTGACTTGTCGGGTATCTCTGGAAGCATCAAGACAGCCTCAAGTGCTGTTGTATCTTTGTGAGTAGTAGTATCTATTGAACCTTTTACTTCGCAGCTTGAAATGGCATTGCTGTCTGACAAATTTGGCCAAGCTTACTTCTGACTGGTGGTTAGGGGATGAGTTGGCTTATTTCTCTAGTCAAGGGTAGAAATGGACAAATGTTTGTTAGGTCCACAGAGTGTATCTATAGATCGTTACTATTTTTCTGACCTCTCTATAGGCGTCTCATAGACATGCGTCTGATCAATCTGGGCGCCCCGCCGTCAAAGAGCACTGATCAACCATGAAATTGCACCATCAAGCCAAGAGCTGTTTTTGATCTTTAAATAGTATTATTTTGAACTGAAAGTAACTTGGCAAACAAGTCTAAGAGATCCTGCAGGTTTTATAAGTACGCGATATGTGGCCTTGAAAATAAGTCTCTTTTCCTTACTGCTTCATCGCCCAACGTTGCACTTACAATGGCTAAATTGGCGGCACTTCGGCTCGTCAGCCTTCTATGCCTTGCGGCTGCGCAGGCCTCTGCTGCTGTGCTTGTGGAAAGCATCAAACAAGTGCCTCACGGGTGGACTTCAACCTCAGTCCCAGACCCTTCGTCATCGATTGTCTTGCAGATCGTCCTCGCGCAACAGAATATTGATGAATTGGAGTGGCGACTCGCGGCTGTTTCCACGCCCGACTCTCCTGATTACGGCAAATACCTGGATATTGACGATATTAACAAACTTTTCGCCCCAAGCAACGCTTCCTATGCAGCCGTGGAATCGTGGCTCAAGTCCCATGGTGTGCCGACCTATACCAGGCAAGCTGGCAGTATTTGGTTCTACACTACTGTCTCTACTGCAAACAAATTGCTTAGCACAGACTTCAAGACTTATAGCGATCCTGGTGGCATCGAGAAGCTGCGTACTCTCCAATACTCGCTCCCAGAAGAACTAGTCGGCCATGTCGATCTCATCTCGCCTACAACATATTTTGGAAACAACCGAGTCCCGAATGTGAAGAGACCTAAGAAGAGGGCGGTCGTTTCTGGAGCAGACCATCGTGCCGGGCGGCTAAGCTCTACTGACTGCAATGTAACAATCACCCACAAGGACCAACCGTACCAAATCTTCCACCCAGACTGCCTTAGAGCGAAATACGGTGTTGAGGGCTATACCCCATCTCCAAAATGTGGCAGCCGGATTGGTTTCGGTTCATTCCTCAACGAAACTGCAAGTTTCTCAGATCTTGCGCGGTTTGAGACGTATTTTGACCTTCCCAACCAAGGTCTCACCACCCATTTGATCAACGGAGCAACCGACGTTCAGCCACCTTCCAACAAAAACGACAGCGAGGCTAACATGGACGTTCAGACCATGTTGACCTTTGTCCACCCTCTCCCTATTACCGAGTTTGTTGTTGCCGGAATCCCGCCGTATATTCCTGATCCAGCTTTGCCGATTGGCGACCCTGTCCAAAATGAGCCGTGGCTGGAATACTATGAGTTTTTGATGTCCAAGGCCAACGCAGAGCTTCCTCAAGTCATTGCAAACTCATACGGTGACGAGGAACAAACAGTCCCACAGGCATATGCCATCCGAGTATGCAACCAAATTGGGCTGATGGGTCTTCGTGGTATATCTGTTATCGCATCATCAGGCGACACAGGTGTTGGAATGTCTTGTATGGCTTCGAACAGCACTACTCCTAAGTTTAACCCCATGTTCCCGGTATGTTTTGCACTCACAACCTGTGCGTTTTCTTTAGATTAACTGACTGATCCCCTTTCGCCTTCTCTTTACCAAACTATAGGCTTCGTGTCCCTACATCACCACTGTCGGTGGAACTCAGCACCTTGATAAGGAGATTGCTTGGGAGCTCTCATCCGGAGGCTTCAGCAACTACTTCCCAAGGCCGTGGTATCAAGAAAACGCAGTTAGAACATATCTTGACCGATGTGTCAGCAACGAAACCAAGGTTTATTACGAACGTTACGCCAATTTCCTGGGACGCGGCTTTCCCGACGTCGCAGCACTTAGTCTCAACCCCGAGTGAGTTTCGCCATTCTAAAGCCTTCAACAGACGCTAAACATGATACAGTTATCCAGTGATTATTGGCGGAGAACTTGGTCCCAATGGAGGCACTTCTGCGGCCGCACCCGTCGTCGCTAGCATCATTGCACTCTTGAACGATGCACGCCTTTGCGCGGGCAAACCTGCTCTTGGCTTTTTGAACCCTCTAATCTATCAATATGCTGATAAGGGTGGCTTCACGGATATCACGTCCGGCCAGTCTTGGGGCTGTGGCGGAAATACCACTCAGACGGGGCCTCCTCCCCCTGGAGTACGTATACATCTTCATACCCATGGTTGTCATTGTTAACTAACTTTCGGACAGGCTGGCCTCATTCCAGGGGCACACTGGAATGCAACCAAGGGATGGGACCCTACAACAGGATTTGGAACCCCGAACTTCAAGAAATTACTCTCACTGGCTCTGTCTATCTAAAAAGACATGGATCGCTTTGTCACAGCATTAGACAACCCTTTGATTCTAGCTGACAGCTCATTGTGAGATTTCCGGTGGCCGGAAGTGAATTAAGCGTTGTAAAAGGTACAACTTTTAAAAATAGCATCTAAGTTAGGTATCTTACGTTATAACTTAGAATACTTTTAGAAACTAGCAGCAAGCCTTGTGGCCTCACCTCCGCCGAGACTTGGATAATATACATCTAAAGAGTCTTCGTTGCTCCGATAAACTCCAAGGCAGAATACAGCAGCTAAAAACTGGATTCACCTATATAATTGTTTAATTATACTCCGTTTCATAGGGAAATTGACAAGACTCACTAATACGAAGCTAATATCCCTCGTTATGGCTCAAACTGGAGCAAGATTGCCAGTACCTAGCCCATATGCAAGTTCTCCTCGTGTTGGCGCCGCAATGCCCACCTTTTTAAACTCTCACGTCAAACTCAGAGACAGCCTATACACTATGATAAGAGACAGAGATTATGACATAAGCGCTAGGAATGTAAATTAGCACAAGCTATATGCTTCAAATAATCTTTTCCTAAACTATCGTACTGCGTGGCATGGCGTCAGCGCTAGACCACTCGTCGAGAGTCTAATTATGACCATAAAATCATATATAGATCGCTCTACAGATAATATATCAAGGCAGAAAAAGCCCATTTCTCATTGCAATTGCATATCAGCTCATAAAATGGAGTCACAAACTTATCGAATTCGCCCTGAATCCCCTTTCAGCGCTGAATATCCTTTATCAGAATGCGATCGCCAGGTTCCTGTGCGATTCATCCGCAAAGCATTCATCTATGCTACAGATGATAATATCTCATCTACATCCCAAGACGGCAAAATCCTTATACAAAGACTCCAAGAAAGTCTAAAAGTTCAGATTCGAGATCTCAATTCAGATACCTTTACCTACCCGCAGCTACTGGGCCGTGTTATCCCGCCTACTGATGGGAGACCCTCATACGTCAGAGTCGAAGAATCGTCTGCTATCCAATTGAAAGTGATAGATAGGCCGGATATTGAGTTTCGAAATCTTCATCGAAATGGAAGGTTCCCTCTGGAAACTATTACCACTGGCGTATTCGGAGTAGGACTTGAGAAGGAAAATCTAATTGAATGGCTAGGTGGGCCACCAAATCTGGCCATTCAATTAACTTTTGTTTGTGGTGGATTCGTCCTTTTGCTCGCATTTGATCATCGAATTTGCGATGGCTATGCGGCCGGTGGATTTGTTAAACGTTGGTTTCGTCAAGCTAGGCTCGGATCAGTTGCAGGTCTTGAATCTGAAGACGGATCAATATCTACATTTGCTATCCATGATAAGACCGTGCTTAGCCAAACAGAACTGGAAGGGAGTGAGCACGCCGCCCAAAAGATGAGAGCTTTATACAAAATCTCCCTACCATCACAGCAACCGAAGAAATGGTTTCAAACATCAGCAGAGACAACATCGAAAGTCTTCTGGATTCCGGCACCCAAGATCAAAGAATTAAGGTCAATCGTAGGGGAAAGCTCCTCGCTGACACCAACTATATATGAGTCTCTTCTCATTATTCTCTGGCGCAGCATTATTCGCAATCGGGTAACGACTGAAACTGAATTAGCATCTACGATGAGCAAAGCGGCCATAGTTATGTGTATGCGCAAACGTTTAGAGCCTCCGCTCCCAAAGGACTACTTTGGAAATGCCGTCGCGGGAATATTTGCCATGCAGCCGCTTTCCAATTTCAAGGAAGAGGACTTTATTCCGAGAGCAATTCAAAAAGTACAGGAAGCAAAGAAACTTGATGGGACGGGTTTCAATTTACAGGTAACCAGCCTGTTAGTGGGAGAGCAACTGCGTAAGTTTGGTATCGGTCCACCAATAGATCTTTTGGGATATGATGTTATCTTCAATTCTTGGGAGCATATCTACACGAGCACCGAAGAGTTGGACTTGGGAATTGGCCAATTCTGCACGATGCGTTTTTTGATGGATAACCCAATCAGCCCTTCCTACATATGTACCCTTCCAACTTATGGTAAGAGATCAGTTGATCTCAAGGATAGCGCATCTTGTCAGTATCCCGGCGGCATAGAATTACAGGTGAGTCTTGTGGAGAATGAGATGGCTCTACTGGAGAAAGATGAAGAATGGCTGAAATATGCCGTTGTTGTTTGAGGATAGTTTTGTGGGTATTTATGCTTTTAGTAGAAAGAGTAATCTAAATAACTTGGACGTTGGATTCTTGCATGAGTTTGGTAAATATAGTACTATATGGTTTAAACATCGCGTTTCGAAGTACGTTTATCCAGGTCCCGTCGCATCGTGTATAGGCACAATCCTTAAAGAAGCCGCTTAGCCTCTTGTATCATCAACGTTTCATTCCCCATCTCCACCGGCAGTTCACTGGAAATTGCCGATCTTTGACACAAGGATACTGGCGTAAGGCGACCTCGGGCGTTTGGCCAGCAGGCTTGGCAGCGGGCTCGGCTCAATTTTATTTCCCACAGCATCTTTAAGACCGATTGCCGTCTCTAACAGCTATGCAAGATTACGGAAGTCATCCGAAATTTCTCGATGAAGAAAAACGTTCAAATACGATAAGTGCTCCGTACTAGCTAGCAATGTAACTGCGGGGAGCGCGATACAACACGGCAGAGATAACACCCGTCCTATGCAACGGGCTGCCGGACTCCTAAACACAAGTAATACTATTCGCGCATGGCCTGTTTTCTGTTCGCAAAGTCTTGCACAATAGCATAATATTCCCCTTTTAAATCACATTATGGAGAAGGATAACGCACGATAGCTTGAAGCGGTATTGGCGTGCTTCGAAAAAGTACAAGTGCATCTCCAGCCACCATCTTGATGAAGATAGTCTCGATTCTGTGGCCTGCCTGTCTGGGAATCAATAACAAAGTTCTTTGTATTATGTAGGCTACTGGCCACACTCACAACTGAACTTCTTATCTTTGTATATTTATGTATGGATCGATCATTAACTATGTAAACGCTTATCTATATGAAGTCTATCACATGCAAGGTTTCTGTGCCGCTCATGGAACTTTTTTCTTACATCCTCTTCTGGCATGTTGCCTGATCTATATGCATGGCAGGGATTGTAGAGATGAACTAAGAGTACGAGGTACCGGATACGGGATACTGGCACTGTTACTGCCGCCGAACTCGTATTTCCCTCTTCAGGTTACTCATTTAGAGCGGGATTTGTATGGTTTGGTTAGTTATCGTATCGTGATAGAACGAAGACTAGAGTGGCGATCCTGGGGCTACTGTCATTTATCTTCCGATACCCCGCGGTAGATAACTCGGCAGCCGATTGTCGGCAAAGGCTAGTAGGTATCGTTTGGCTTGGAAACTTGAACTGACTAGTAAACATCATATGTACACTATTTGCTTGGGGGAGTAAGCTCTAAATAATATGATCCAAAGATATGTAAACCAAATAAAGGTCAACTATAAAATCCGTGCATTGTTGTTAGAGTTGGCCAGCAGTGTTGTGAATAATCGCCAGTGCAGATTCGCCCGGTGCGGCTTTGAAGTGCGTATATTCGACCGATCGCTGAGAGCAGTGGTAGCACTCGAAGTGGACGCAGAGGCTTGGCCTTCCGATTATCCGGATACCTTCCCGATCTGATAGCTGCCTCCGCCAGGATCCATGTCCAAAAAGATGATGCAACAGACAGTTTGACACACATGATCAGCTCGAATAGCCCAATCTGCCTCCATAAACAGAAGATGTAGAAATAAAGGTCAGTCTAGTCAAGTAATTAATTACCTTAGGGCGCGCGTAATGATTCATGACGTGCGCAGTTGTGAACGTTTTTGACGAGGAATTCCCTAGGCGAAGAAAAAGGATCCCGCGGAAGCGTGAGATTACCTTGGTGTTTTCGCATCTAAACGAAAAGCTAGTAACCTAGTTGTTATGCTTGTTTTTCGAGTCTCCATTCCACCCGTATCAACGGCACTAAATCAGGAAGGAGTTCGTTTGAGGATTTATAAACTAATAGCAAATGCTGCCAAATAATGGTTTATAATACGTCAAACGCGATGTATTCCCCATTTTTTCCAAAGTTCGTGGTCATGGGCTCCCCAAGTTTGCCGAAAAGGGATGTTTTCCAATGGGGAGCGTTGACTGTGCCAGAACTTTTGAAGAAAAGATAACATGGCGGGGAAAACGATACTCTGGAATCAGGAAGGTGATTCAATTACTATAGCTAACCCCTCTCGGCATCCAGACCAAGCGTTTCGAGCAAGAAGCGGATGTGTAGTTTTAGAAGTCAATCAGTATCTATATAAGCCAAGCATTCGCCATGCAAAGCCAAGAACTTTCTACAATCGACCCAGAGCATCCCACAAGAACAAAGTATTTGGCAAGACTCGCACAAGCAATATGAAGATCAGCCTGGTTGTTCTCAACAGCCTTTTGGCTGGGGCTCTTGCAGCACCAACTGGCTCTCAAGTAATCCATGAGAAACGGGATACCAACAGCCCTCGATGGATTAAGCGGGAGGCGGTCAACCCGAGCACCAAAGTCCCCGTCCGTATTGCCTTGAAGCAGATCAATCTGGACAAGGGAATGGATTATCTACTTGATGTGTAAGTACCTACCCAACTCTACCTCTGATAATTCACGAGAACATGTCTCATGCCAATATTAGGTCGCATCCAGATTCCGCGAACTACGGCAAACACTACTCGAGTGACCAAGTAGTTGAGCTTTTTGCTCCTAGTGAAGACTCCATCAGCGCTGTCAAGGCCTGGTTGGTCAAGTCTGGCGTCCCAGCCAGCTCAATCACTTCCTCCAAGAGCAAAGGATGGCTCGACTTTGTCACGACATCTGGACAGCTTGAGTCGCTGCTTAAGACTTCCTACAGCACTTACGCTCACGTCGAGGCCAGAGATGTTCATATTGGTACAGACGAGTATACGCTACCAGATGAAATCTCTCAGCACATTGATTTCATCACTCCTGGCGTAGTCTTCGCCCCCGTAAAGAGCTCCTCCAACGTGGAAAAGCGTGAAAGCAAATCGATTCGCCAGCCTTCCAGGAAACTGCCTGCTCACATTGCTCAGCTTTTAGCCGCAAACCCTCGTGAGTTATTTTCCTTTTGTTTTCGGATGGTCAGTAATACTTATACTAACAAATTTGGTAAATAAGTGGCTACAACCTCGTGTGGTACTGCAATCACACCTCAATGCATCAAGTCGATGTACAATATCACGGCTGGAACTTCAGCCATCTCCTCCAACGCATTGGGCATCTTTGAAACCGAGGATACATATGCCCAGGCAGACCTTACCTCTTTCTGGAAAGCTTTTGCTACCAACATTCCTTCCAATACCGGACCAAAGGTTGACGGAATCGATGGTGCAACTGCTCCCACGAGTGTCGGTAACGCCGGTGGAGAGTCTGACTTGGATTTTGAGATTGCCATTCCAATCATATATCCCCAGACCACAGTTCTCTTTCAGGCTGCTGTGAAGAATGATGATATCTTCAACACGTTCCTCGACGCTATTGACGGAAGTTACTGTACTTTCTCCGATGACGGCGAGACTGGTGATGATCCTACCGTGGATGGCACTACTCGCAACGAGCAGTGCGGAGCTTTCAAGCCCACAAATGTCATTTCCATCTCTTACGGCACTGCAGAGGCTGATTATCCTACTTACTACCTCGAGGTCAGCATTTTAAATTTCGGATGAATGGTCCAGTTTGCTAACTCAACTTACAGCGCCAATGTGATGAGTTCATGAAGCTCGGCCTTCAGGGCACAAGTGTTGTTCTTGCCAGTGGCGACGACGGCGTTGCGCGCCGATCTGGTGCTTGTCTTGGAAGCAAACACAACATTTTCACTCCTGGTGAGCCGGCTAGCTGCCCTTATATTACCTCTGTCGGTGCCACCACACTTCCAGCTGGAAAAAATCCTGGTGATCCAGAGACTGCCGTTACATCGTTCTCCTCCGGTGGTGGCTTCAGCAACATCTGGACAACTCCAAGCTACCAAGCTAGCACTGTAGCCTCGTAAGTTGCAATGGGTTCTTTATATTCCATCCGAGACTTGAGACTAACATCCACTCAGATACTTCGCCAGCCACAACCCTACTTATGCTTCCTACAACACATCAGGAGGCGTGATCCCTACCACTGGAGGCATCTACAACAAAGCCGGTCGTGGATACCCCGATGTCTCTGCCGTGGGTGACAACGGCGTGGTTGTCAACGAGGGCGAACAAGTGCTTGAAGGCGGTACCTCAATGTCCGCTCCTCTGTTTGCTGCCATTTTGACTCGCATCAACGAAGAGCGTATCAATGCCGGCAAGAGCCCCGTCGGTTTCGTAAATCCTGCTCTCTACAGCAATCCATCCATGTTTACCGACATCACAGTTGGCAACCAAGCCAAGGGTGGACCAAACGGCGATGGTGCTGCCAGTGCTTGTGGCAACACTGGATTCTCCGCTGTTACTGGCTGGGATCCTGTTACGGGTCTCGGAACACCAATCTACCCTGAAATGTTGACGTACTTCCTCAGCCTCTCGTAAGCGGCGATGTTAATGCAAGGAAAAAGAAATAAGCAAGAGGGAAAACTATGATCTTGAATGTCTTTTTGGACGGAGACTGCATTTCGTATTATTACTAGAGCTGTAGCTAATGACGAATGCCAATACGGCTATAAATATCCCTCCCCAAATGCTTCTCTCGTATATCATCCACCAAGAGTTTGTGAAAATGTTAGGGATGAAGATAGGTTGGTCATAAATGATGGATGCAGCTGAATTGTAGGCTTGATACCAAGTTAATACGAAACCACATGCGTCGTTGGTTAATCTAGCGGCTTGTTACATGTACATTGTCTTCTGGCACATGAAGCTTGACATGGAATTTCTTTGCCCGTGTCGAGAGACCAGTGTTGGAGATATCATAGGTCCCAGGATCTTCGTTGTCTTCATGGCAGTCAAGGAATACTAAGGGAAGTGGACTATTCCGCCACGTATGCACTTGAGCTCTGCGTGTTTTCCATACGGTTCCTAGTAGAGTGGCGACACTGAGTGCCCAGATGGCTACAGGGAAAGCAAGCCATCCCCAGTTAATCCGAACGAAAGTAAGACTAACGAATGTCTCCCCTATCGCCATATGTGCACCTTCGATACCATGACTTATATATGGCGTGTCCCAGAAAGATTTAGACATAGCTTTAGCGACGTTGTTGACAGCGCAACCAACTTTATCTAAAGGATTGTCGCAGTCGGCAAAGTCCCCATAATAGATTGCTTGTAGTATGTCGGGCCTCGATGCTTCGAGGACTAGGTCGTCCGACGCTATATGCACCTTGCCCGAGAACAGAGTGGAGATATGAAAATTGAGCGCATCCAATGCATACCAATCAATTATAAAGCTTTGACCTTCCTGAACTCCATAGTCTAAGCCCCATGGGGGGTTCATAGTTATATTGAAAATACCAGTCTTGTCGTACTGGAGCCAATAGATCGGTGTGGATTCGTTGTAAACGCTTTTCCCAACAGAAGTCTGGACACTTCGCACGCATGGCACAAGAGAGCATTCCGTGGCTAGGAATCGCGTTTCGTTGGTCAATTGGAAGCTGGCATATTGATTCGTATCGTTGTAGAGAGCCTTGATGCTTTGAATGAGAGGCAAAGTGTGGTTCGTATACACCAAGGGACTGATATTATTGTTTACAAAAGAGTTATCCATAATCATGGGGTAGCCTTCGGTCCCTTCGTCTACAAACCAAGTGGCAAGGCCATTAGTAAGGGAAACGGTACAGTTTCGATAAACATCCATGTCAGGTAGAGCCTTGCAAGACACGGATAGATCTGTACTGATGTCGGAGCAGAAAGGGCAGATGCCGATGCTGGCTACGGGCCCCCAGGTACAGTTTCCTGTGTTACAGACGTACTGGGGTTGAGCCCATAATTGAGATGCTTTGGGGTTCAGAATAGCATTGTAGACATTAGCCTTGAGACCTAGGTCCGCATCACTGTCTATGGCAAAATTAGCGCCAGAACGATTGATATGAATTGTCGACCTACGGTCTCCACCCATCAGTTGACCAACAGCAGTGTAGGTTGAAGCATTGGCCAGGTAGGCAAGCTGGGAAGGGTCTGAAACAGCATTCGGATAGTAATGGATCAAGTTCTGAATGAATGGGTCCAATCCAGAAGCCAAAACGATAGTTAGACTACCAATAGCAGCAAAATGTCTGACACAAGTAATGACTCAGCTAAGCACCTGGATTGTTTAGGAATTCTGTATTAGACTCACAGTCCTTTCAGCCTCCAGAGAAGTTTAACGCTTCCAGGAACGCTTCTACTTGCAGAATCGAATTCTTCAAGGTCTGAAAGCGGCCGTTCCTTTTTCGCAAACCACACCCACTTCAGCTGACCAAGGCCCCTGGTAATGGGCACAAGAAGAAAAAACCTGGCAGCAGTGCTAAGCCAAGAGATGAGAGAGTTTAGTGAGACATGCTTCCAGGAAGGCTGCCTCTTGCCATCGAATCTATTAAGTATGATGGCAATACCAATAATTAGTGCAGCCGACCCAAGAACTCCGAAGAGTTCCCAGGCCCAATAGTCCTTTGAAACCTGTAGGCCACTGGAACCTCGCGATGTCTTGTTCTCCAACGGATTGTTAGGCGTTGTTGAGGAAGAAACTGTCTTCGTCTTGATTGTAGGATTATGTGCATTAAGAAGAGAATCCTGGAGACTCGGCTCGTTATCGACATCAACATCGCGATTCAGCATTGTAAGAATGGTAGGCCCTTCAAATTAGCATGCTGGAGATGATCGGGAACTGGTTAATTGACGTGTCGCGGGATTTTTGCAACACTACGCCGCAGCACCAATCAGCAACACATTGAACGCGTACCAACCAACCACTTGTCTGCCGCTCCTTACCGCTTGCCGGATCCGAGTAAAAGGATGCATATTAGCCCCTTTACGAGGAATGTATAGAAGTACTATAACTATATTGCCATTTGAACTTGGCGTTCCTTGATTTTTCAGGCAGACACAAGAAAATAAGCAAACGGATTTTTCTCACAGCTTGTGGCAAATTGTGGGCCTTGACTGGTAGAATGGATGTTGCTTATAACACGAATGAGTTTAGATAATGCTCATCATGCTTATGTAATAAAACTATCAGCGTAAAATACTCGAAGATAATGCCTGGTAGTATATACAAAATTCATACATATATACAAAATTCTTATGTTTTTATATGTACAAGCTGCTCTTATATATTTGCATAGAGAAAAGAATCAACCGTAGAGATAACATAGAAAAAGCAGCTTAGTTCAAGACTCTGGGCGGCTCATAACCTAAAGACGGCGGCGGCTGTCTCTCTCGGATCGCTTGTTGGCTGAGCGGCGCTGGTTTACGGGACCGGTAGGCTGACCCGGTGCGTTGGTGTCGAAGTTGTAAACGGTCTCATCGAGGATTTCCCAGCTAAGGTCAAAGTGGCCATTGAAGCACGCGTTGCTGTTCAGCTGTTGAGCAACGGTGAAGCTGAAGTCCAATCCTGGAGCACCATCAGGGTTCCAAACGGTGTTGGTGCTGGGGCCGCCGGCGCATCGCGCACAACCGTCACCGATAAACAGGTCGAGGTCATGTGCTACGCCATTTGTGGTGACAATGACTTTCTTTCCGCAATACTTGGCCAAATCACCGGCCAGCAGGGTGTGGTTCATGGCAACGACGTTGTCAGTGTTCATCTGATCTAGTGAGAGACCAGTGAAAAAGTTGCACTCGACAAATCCCAGGTTTTGGTTAGAAAAGTCGTCTTGACAGCCATTTACATCAACGACGTCGTAGTAAAGGGTTCCAAAGCCATTTCCGCTGTTCAAAACAGCCTGAGCGACAGCAGAGGCGGCAAATAGGCCGACGGAGGAGAGCATTTGAGTCTTCATGTTTGCGTTGAATAGGGAGTGATAGTTTTAGTTGAAAGGACTGAGATAAGGTTGAGAGAGCTTTGGTATTTTATGAAAAGAATGTAAAGAGTAGCCGAAAGGACAATGTTTTGAAGGAGTGTGTGCCACCAGTAAAGACTGCTGCTCGATAAGTCCAAACCTTTCCACGTAGAGGAAAATTTGCGACTTATATACATATTAAAGAAACTCCTTTAATTATTTTCCTGAAGCCACGGATGGACAAATAATTGCATGAACGCCGATTAGCCGTGTGCTATAGAGCAGCGGCCCGAAACATCGTGAGTCCCTTAGAATCTGATTTCCACCGATTGAGACTAGTGCAAGTCTGATATAAGCACTCTATAGAAACTGTCCTGCCATGTTAGGCAATGAACAAGCATTAGAGTCTCGCTAGATTACGCTAGGAGGCACTCGTTAAATTACTTGTATCTTCGTTCATGGAAGCTGAGTTGCGCGTTTCATGGCTGTTGCTTTAGTGGAAGGTCGAAAACGCATGTAGGAGCTGGTGAGGCAGTAAATCCACGTGGATGTGGGTTCCTCATCATTCCGGCACACCATTGCCGATCAAGTGCCTTAAAGGGCATGTTCAGTGATCACTTTATTCGCCCGGATTCAGGAACAAACTGCTACACATGCCTTTTATATACTTCGCTAGCATCCGGCATCATCCGATAGAAACTGAACTGCTACATATGGCCATAACCTACGATGAAGAGTATACCCTAAAGACTCCTGTAAGAGCTGCAGCAAGTATCTCTACTATAATCAAGTGATGAATTATGATATACTCTGCTAGTGGGGTAGATGCTGGTTTCGATTGCGTAATATAATGTCGCCTTGACACTGCGAATCTAATTCTTCAAGCGCTCCCATCATACCATACCCACTTGTGAATGTCATCTTTGGCTTCGAGCTATATGTGTAGGCACACTTGCACTTCTCGCACTTGTTTAGAATGCGTCGACATGAAAGTATTTGCCCTCCTTTTTCTCATAAATACCCCTCACGTTCCTTCTTGAACTTAGAGCTACATATACAGTAGTTACATGTGATACTTCTTTGTAGACGACTCTACGCCTCATATGGGAAATTTGAGACCATCTTTGGGGAGATTGTTGCCTCTCGGCATTGCTGCCTCTCTCGCCGACCCTGGAGCCTCTACAATATCTTTGTTTCATATGAAATGGGGAAGAAAAAGTTGTACTAACTCAATTATACATATTACACCTTCTCAATGAGGAAGGCTGAGCTGATCGTTGATTGGCATACGCCACAAAGGACAAACGCGCCGTGCTTGTTCTCTGACATTATTTAACTCTTTATATACCTATCAGTCCATCTAGCATGGCTCTACTGCTTCAGCTAATCTTTGATAGTTTCACAATCAGAATTACTATTGGCCAATGACGATATGTTTCTCATTGAACCAGAATATTCTCAGCGATCAAGTCGCGGTACATCTAATCCAACAAATGAAGATGATCGACTGCTGAATCAAGAGCGATCAAGACAAAATGTCCCTCGCAATCTACCGCTGACTACTCGACAGTTTGAACCCTACGGATGATTGTTGAATGAAGGCCCAGTGAAAAAGCATAGTAGGCAGTTAGAACAATGTCAGCGATGGTGATATGGATGCTGGTGGAGTTACTAGTATAAGAAAAGTAGATATAGCTATGAATGTAGTTGAAAGACTATACTAATATTCAAAAAGTAGGTCAAGAATCGAGATAATCTACATGTAGTTCTAGCTGTGTAAGTTGAAATAGATTCGAAGCAAGCTTGGTGGTCTTAGAGACAAATCTGGCTATGAGCGTGGAGTTGGATCTTATCTAACCTTTGGTCATTACTAGAAGTTGTCTATCTCTCCCTATGCTTGCGGTTCCTCGGAACTTTCTTAGATACCATCTCGCTTTGTAAGCTGCACGTTTATGGGGCCCTTCTCCCACAACATATATACTTTACTTCTTGCATCCCACCCAATACTTTCTTCTGACAGCTCTATGTCGAAATTCCAAACAACCTTTGCAAGAATCAACCTCATTTCTGCATACGCAAGACTTCGGTAGAGTTAGTTTTGCAGCTAAGTCTGAGAATCAGCTCTACTTACTTGTGTCCAATGCAGTTTCGCGGCCCAACAGAAAACGGCATGAACACGTCTCTTATATCATTCTCGAAGCGTGCATCACCAAGCCATCGCTCCGGGATAAAAGATTCAGCGTCACGAAAATGGGCGGGATTATGATGATTCACCCATTGCCATACTCCAACGATGGTCTGTGAAGACATATGTTACAACTCAGAACGCAAAACTGCATCACGCGGCACACGAGGAAAATATCACTTACACCAGCTGGAACATATTTGCCGACAATTACGTCGCCACCGGGTGAAATGATGCGAGGCTGGGTGCCAGGCGCTGCAGGATATAACCTCATCGCCTCATCAATCACGCCTTGCAAGTAATTCAGATGCTGCACACTAGTCAAGGTTATATCTTCCTCTAAACGAAACGCTGAACGAATTTCAGCAGCTAGCTTCTTGAAGGTTTCCGGATATATTCCAAGATAGTAGGTTGCCGCTGACAAAGCTGTGGCAGTTGTCTCCGAACCAGCAGCGATAAGCAGACTGGCGTTTGATACCAATTCTTCAAATGATAGTTCCTATAATCGACGTTAGTTCTCCATGCATGTTCGCGTATATGTCTCTGCCGATAAGCTACCTCTGCAGACCCTCGAGTAGTTGTCAAAGCCGTCATAAAGTCTGGCCGGCTTGATCCCGAATCAAGTCTCCTGCGTGTTTTCTCGATAGACAACCTTCGGTGTTCTCTACCCTTTGCCGGTAAATCTTTGGGCACAAAAAGCAATGCGAGTAACATGCCAAGCTTTCCGAACTTTGAGCAAACAGAAATGAATGACATATTTTTGACGCCAGAAAAGATAAGTGCCACCCACGGGTGGTAATCCGATTTTTCGAGACAGTAGAAGGGCTCACCAAAAGCCAGATCCCCAATGATATCAAATGTTGTATAATTGTACCACCTAACGACATCAACTTTCTCGTGGTTTGCGCATCGTGCTTTGAGTTCCGTCAATAGCGTATTGATGTATCTATTGATGATTGGTTCTTGATCCAGCATTGCTTGATGCGAAAATCCGTAGGATAAGTTTCGTCGGTATCGAACATGATTCTCCCGGCTTGCACCAATAGCATTGCTTTGATTGCCAGAGTGTAGGTGAGGATCTTTCAGGTGCTCCACCCCTTTGCCTTTCCGGTGACCACGAATTTCCTTGGAGGCATCTGGGTGACTGTAAAACACAGTATTGGGACCAACGCGCACAATTGGTCCATACTTGATGTGAATTTGGAGCATTTTCTTATGGGCATTGCCACTGATTGATACTAAAGAGTATGGAATGTCTGACGCTGCCCAAAGCCATGGTCCAGGATAGTTACGAAGGGGGTGAAAGAAGAGGTTATAAATCGTAATGTAAAATGCGTAGGCCAACCCCTACAATGCCAATTTACCAATTGTGACGACCTGAGTCACCAATATCCTAAATAGTTAGTGGCTCGTGAGATTCCCAAGGGATAAACCTAGTCTATGGTTTATGTTGGCGGATTGGTTAGGAGATCTATGGGTAATGGTAAATAGTAAATAATAATGTCACTTAGAGAGTAGGCTGTAGAGCGTGTTGCAATCTAGATTCTGTGTTAATAACTGGCTATTTAAGTTATTTAAATAAGTATAAAGAAGTAAACTTATATATTTAGTTGGAATGTCTGGATTATTAAGAATTTTAATGATCCTTGTTGTGGATTATCTTATAGGATTAATAATCTATGGGTTAGATTATTTGGATTATTAGTGATTTAAATGATCCTGTAATGATTAGCTAACCGGTCCTTCTTTAATCCAGTCTAGCCTACCCTATAGGCCTATTGTTATAACTATAAGAGTTAGGTTATAATATAATACTCCCCTCTTATTAGTCTTATCCCTAAGACCTTATTTAGTCTTAGTATAAATAATATATCCCTTACTTAGTAAGTGCGGTTATTCCTTAGTTCTTTTACTAGTGTTTTCCTAGTGTTTCTTATTAACCTTTATTATACTAGATAAGATTTCTAAATTGCCTTATTCTAAGATAATTTATTATAAGTTTTTGTTTTAATTAGTTATTTCTAAGGCTAAGAATATAAATAAGTATTATTCTTTTTATATTTTAAAGAATTTTAAGGAGTGCTTATCTTCTCCTAATAACTTATTATATTATTTTTATTATGTTTATTTAAATAAACTGTATTATAATGTTTAAGGGCTATTTAATAAGTAGCTTTAAAGGGTATTTTCTTAGTATTTCTATTTAGAAAAGGAATTAGAGACTGCTAAGGATGCTTTAGCTGAAATAGTGGCTAAGGTTTCTTATTTAAGGAAGTAAAAGAAAGTTTAGTATAATTATATGCGTTGCGCTATTGCGTAGGGTATAATAGATTTGGAAGAGTTAGATTGTGTTAAGCGCGAAGAGGCGGAGGCTGCTTATTAGGCTGCTACTGTGCAGCCAGTAGAGGGTTTTTCTGGGGTTAACCCCGCTTCCTTAGGCTAGGTGGATTATTTGGCGATATTAGAGATAGATCTTAAGCTAGCGGGATTCCTAGGTTTTAGTAGAGTTTTTCTATAAAAGCTATTAAATTCTTAAGGTGCTTAATAGGTTCCTATATTTCTTCTTTCTTATTTCCCTTTTCCTATTGCATTTTATAGCGTTATTTACTATTATCTTTTATTTTTATAGCATTAATGTCTTTTACTTTATATTTTTTTTTTCTCCTTTAATAATAATTTTATTCTAAATAATTTCTTTAGTATTTTTATTAATTATTGCTTTTTCTAGGAGTAAAATATAAAAAATTAGGTGGACTGGTTTCCCTTATTTCTTTTATTTTTCTAGGAGTTCTAGTTTATAATTAACTTTTCTAATTTTCTTTAAAATTTTATATAGTTTAAGTTTTTTAAAGTTAAGCTTGTCGCTTAGCCGATTTATTTTAATATTTACTTATTTATTACCCTATGTATAGCGGAGTAACTAAACTATATCTCTTTCCTAAAGGGTTAGTCCTTTAAGCCTGTTTTTATCTATATGTTAGATTATTTGCTTTTTAATAAATTTAAGTTTTTACTGGGCTTTATTATGTAGTTTAATTATGTCTTCTGCTTTAATAATAGCTTTTTTAATATTTTCCCCTTGCCTTAGTGTTTTATAGGCTTTAGGTTTAAATTTATAGTTTAGGAAAAATAGTAATTTACCTATTAATTTTAATAGTGTGCTGTTATATATAAGTTATATAATGGGAAGGAGTTTTACTTAGTTATTTTATTTAAAGTTAATATAATAGCATAAATAGGTCTTAATAATTTAATTAACTTTTTTTATTTATTTATCTGTTTATAGGTAATAAGCTGTGTTAGCTTTGTGGTTTATTCTTAATTTAGCTGTAAGTGCTTTCTAGAATTTAAATATAAATATATTTCCTTTATTAAAGATTATTTCTTTTAGTAATCTATGGCTGCTAGTTATATATTTTATTATTATATTGTCACGGCCTGGTCCTCCGTAACAGATAGATCCCTTTATAAGACGCTGGTTCCGTTACAGTAATTGCTACAATAGCGATTATTGGCCTAATCTTTTGCCCTGTTGGCTTAACGGTATAACGGATCGTTACATATATATACTAATCCTTTTGCATTACTTGCTTTTTTAAAAGGGATAAAATAGGCTATTTTTATAAGTTAGTTAACTATTATAAAGATGCTATTATATAGTATTTTTATAATTAGTTCCCTGGAAGGTGGCAGTTTAATAATAAGGTTAAATGAGATAGATTCCTATGGTTGTTGTGGCACGGGTAATGGTTATAGCTATTTATATGGCTTATATTTAGAGCTTTTGGCTTATTAATAAAGATTGCATTTTAAGACTATATTAGTGACCTTACCTTTAATTTCTGTGAATTAGTAATACTATTTATAGAGTTTATAGGTGGTTTTAATTCCTTAGTGGGCTGCAGCGGTTATACTTTAGTGTATGTCTCTTATTACTTTATCTTATAGTTTTTTTAATACTTAGATTTTCCTATTTTCCTATATTGGTAGGTTACCTTTTATTGAGATGCCTTTAAGGAGGTCTTTTAGTAAGAGGTTGTTTAGTTATGGTCCTGTGAATTATACTTTGATTTTATTAAGGACTGGGTGGTCTTCCTTAATGGTAAATAAGTTGTTAATGTGTATTTATTTATAGTTCTTTTTGTGGTTTTTCCTTAGGATTTAAGCTTAGACTTCTGGGATTTTTTTAAAGTATTTCTCTTTTCTGCTTAGGGCGTCTGCTCTTTTATTAGCGGTGCTATTATAATAAATGAGTTTGTAGTTAAAGTCTAAGAGTGTTTTAAAGTATTGTGTTTATTATGCAGAGAGTTTCTGGGTTTTAGTAAAGTATATAATATTATAATAGTTAGTGTGGACCTTAACTTTATATTTACTTCCTAGGCAATAGTGTCTTTATTCTTTAAATGCTTTAAGAATTACTATGAATTTTTTATTATATATAGGGTATTTTAATTCTAGTTTATATAGTTTTTATAAGAAGAATACTATTAAATGATTTTTCTTATTTCTATCTTTTTATATTAATATTCCTTTAATAGTAAAGTTTAATAAATTAGTTTTAATCTTTAAGGGTTTATTAGGATTATATATAATAAATATAGGTTTACTAAGGAGTGTGTTTTTAAGTTATTTAAATGTTTCTTTTATTTTTAGCTTATATATAAGTTTCTTATTTTTTAGTTTTTTTTTACTTTTTTTATTTTCTTTAAGTTAAGTGGCGTTAGTGAGTGGCTTAGTAATTTTACTATAGTTTCTAATGAATTTTTAATAGTAGTTTACTAAGCTTAAGAAGCTTTGCATTCCTTTTTTTATTTCTGGGAATTCCTAGTTTTAGATTGCTTTAAGCTTATTAGGATTTATTTAAACTTATCTTAGTAAGATTAAGTGTCCTAGGAATTTAACTTTTTATATATAGAAACTATATTTTTTAAGTTTTACTAAGAGATTAGCGTTTTATAATATTTATAGTACCTTATAGATATATTTTTTATATTCTTTAAGGGTTTTTAAGAAAATAAGGATGTTATTAAGGTAGATAATTATAAAGTTATTAATGTATACTTATAATATATAGTTAATTATTTATTAAAATGTTATAGGTATATTAGTAAGCCTAAAAGGTATTACTAAGTATTTAAATAGTCTGTAGTGTGTTTTGAATGTTATTTTTTATTTATTCCTTTTATGGATGTAAATTAGGTTATATGCTCCCTTAAGGTCTAAGGCAGTGAATTAATTAGTATTAGTTAAGCGGTCTTAAATTTCTGTAATAAGCGGTAATAGGGTTTAATTTTTAATAGTGATTTTATTTAGCTGTTAGTAGTTAATAATTAGTTTAAGTTTTTTATTTTTCTTTAGTATAAATATAATAGGGTATTTAGCTAGTGATGTAAATAATTTAATATATCTCTTTTTTAGCTATTTTTATATTTATTTCTGAAGTATTTATAGCTTTACTTTGCTAAGATTATAGATTAGAAAGAACTTTATTATTTTACTGTTTATAAGATTTATGTAGTAATCTTATTGTAAATAAAGCGGCTGTACTATTTTTAGTGTTAGGTTAAATAGTTTTTTATATTTTCTTTAGTATTATTAAGGTGCTTTTAGGAGAGTTTCTTTTAGTTCTCTTAGTTTTTCTTTTTCTTTTACTTCTATTAGTGCTTTATTTAAAGCTTATAATTTTATTTTAATTTATTTAATAATTTAGTTAATTTATACTTATTCTCCTTTAACTCTTTTATAGTTATATTATAGTAGTATTAGTAATTTTTCTATGTTAAATTTAATTTTTTTCTTAGGTTTTATTCCTATTTTTTCTATATTTTCTTAATTTTATTACGCATGAGATTTTATTTTTGGGTCTATAGGCGTGTCTTTGCTTTCTTTGCCCTCTCTATGGCTTAGTTATAGCTCCTGGGTAATATCTATTTCCTAGAGTATTTATTTAGTTTTTTAGTTAATTAGTGGATTGCCTTATTTTAACTATAGGTATTTAAGTAAAATGTCACAGTTACTAAGAGGTATAATATTAAACTTAATAGTCTTAGTATAATTAGTAATTGTAATTAGGAGATAATTAGTTTTATAGTTAATTATTGCCTTAGTATTAGGTGTGGTGACACTAGATATATATATAAGTTATTTTTTCTTAGTGTATGGTAACTTAAGTAAGTTTACTATTTTAAGAGTAATAAGGTTACGATCTGCACTACTATTTATATATATCTTTACTAGCTGTTAGTTAATATACCCTTTAATTAATAATTTCTTATTACTGCATTTAATTAAATTAATTTAGATACTATTTAAATAGTTTTATTCTTATATAATATTTTAGTATTTTG